TTTTCCCTATAGCATATAGTAATATCTTAAAAAATCTTCTTTTAAAGAACTCAAAGAGCTAGAGCTAAGATATTTAGCATCAAACATGTTCTAATAGGTGTCTACCAAGTTTGTTCAAATAAAGGCCCTGGGGTCAAAATTGGCCCCGCCCCAGGGGGTCATTGATTTTCCTTTTATGTGTATAGCAAAAACTTAAAAAATCTTCTTTGAAAAAACCCAAATAGCTAGAGTTTAGATATTTAGCATGAAACATCTTCTAGTGAGTGTCTACAAAGTTTGTTCAAATAAAAGACCTGGGGTCAAAATTGGCCCCGCCCCAGGGGGGCATTGATTTTCCTTATATGTGTATAGCAAAAACTTAAAATCTTCTTTGAAAAAACCCAAATAGCTAGAGTTTAGATATTAAGCATGAAACATCTTCTAGTAAGTGTCTACAAAGTTTGTTCAAATAAAAGCCCTGGGGTCAAAATTGGCCCCGCCCCAGGGGGTCATTGATTTTCCCTATATGCATATAGTTAAAACTTAAAATATCTTCTTTTAAAGAACTCAAAGAGCTAGAGCTAAGATATTTAGCATCAAACATGTTCTAATAGGTGTCTACCAAGTTTGTTCAAATAAAAGCCCTGGGGTCAAAATTGGCCCCGCCCCGGGGGTCATTGATTTTCCTTATATGTGTATAGCAAAAACTTAAAAAATCTTCTTTTAAAGATCCAAAAGAGCTAGAGCTAAGATATTTAGCATGAAACATGTTCTAATGAGTGTCTACCAAGTTTGTTCAAATAAAAGCCCTGGGGTCAAAATTGGCCCCGCCCCAGGGGGTCATTGATTTTCCTTATATGTGTATAGCAAAAACTTAAAAAATCTTCTATGAAAAAACCCAAATAGCTAGAGTTTAGATATTAAGCATGAAACATCTTCTAGTGAGTGTCTACAAAGTTTGTTCAAATAAAAGACCTGGGGTCAAAATTGGCCCCGCCCCAGGGGTCATTGATTTTCCTTATATGTGTATAGCAAAAACTTAAAATCTTCTTTGAAAAAACCCAAATAGCTAGAGTTTAGATATTAAGCATGAAACATCTTCTAGTAAGTGTCTACCAAGTTTGTTCAAATAAAATCCCTGGGGTGAAAATTGGCCCCGCCCCAGGGGGTCATTGATTTTCCCTATATGCATATAGTAAAAACTTAAAAAATCTTCTTTTAAAGAACCCAAAGAGCTAGAGCTAAGATATTTGGCATGAAACATCTTCTCGTGAGTGTCTACCAAGTTTGTTCAAATAAAAGCCCTGGGGTCAAAATTGGCCCCCCCGGGGGGTCATTGATTTTCCCTATATGCATATAGTAAAAACTTAAAAAATCTTCTTTTAAAGATCCGTAAGAGCTAGAGCTTAGATAGTTGGCATGAAACATCTTCTAGTATATGTCTACCAAGTTTGTTCAAATAAAAGCCCTGGGGTCAAAATTGGCCCCGCCCCAGGGGGTCATTGATTTTCCCTATATGCATATAGTAAAAACTTAAAAAACCTTCTTTTAAAGAAGCCAAAGAGCTAGAGCTAAGATATTTAGCATGAAACATGTTCTAATGGGTGTCTACCAAGTATGTTCAAATAAAAGCCCTGGGGTCAAAACTGGCCCCGCCCCAGGGGGTCATTGATTTTCCTTATATGTGTATAGCAAAAACTTTAAAATCTTCTTTGAAAAAACCCAAATAGCTAGAGTTTAGATATTAAGCATGAAACATCTTTAAGTAAATATCTACCAAGTTTGTTCAAATAAAAGCCCGGGGGTCAAAACTGGCCCTGCCCCAGGGGTGTCATTGTTTTTAACTATATGTGTATAGTAAAAACTTAAAAAATCTTCTTTTAAAAAACCCAATGAGCTAGAACTTAGATGTTTAGCAATTGAAACATCTTCTTATGGGTGTCTACCAAGTCTGTTCAAATAAAAACAAATAAAAGCCCTTGGGTAAAAATTGGCCCGGGGGAGGGGGGGGGGGGGCTATATACAGGTGAGCGACCTCAGGGCCATCATGGCCCTCTTGTTTACATTTGCTTATTATTGCTCTAAGAACCTTTCTTTTTGTTTTTGATATGAATACACATTTAATGACTATCTTTCTGATACTGGTATGATCAATGTTACTGAGACCCAGCTAAATATTTTAAACAGACTTTGCCCATCGTTCAAATTAATGGGATATTTAGATATGTATTGACTGAATATCTAACAGTGCATGTTGCGATCAGACGACACATACATGTATATGCCGGCTGATCTTGTTTGACTCTGGTCGTATGTATAGTCTCAGATGCTTCCACTCGCTCATGGTTAAAAATGTAGATTCTTCTTTATCATTCAAAGTTTGAAAAAGTTTTTATCTGTTTAGGAGAGCATCTGTAGGTTTTGTCAATATTTGTATCATCTATATAATGTTTTAACCACTTTTATTTAAGGCAATGCTAGTAATAACGATATATGAAAGACTGATTTTTCCCCTCTGCTATTAATGGTAGATTAATTGAAAAAGTCTTTATTATAGGAGTCAGAGCATATTGCATTATGACCAATCTCCTGTATTTAGGCAATGTGTCCAAAATCTTATTTTATGACTTTTATTGAAGCTGATGTTTTATGCTTTAAAACAAACACATCAGTTTGGCCTGGATTTACTTTAATTTTGATTGATTATTAATTAAACATATCGGGGGGGGCGTCCGTTGCCAAGTGGTTAATGTCGTTGACTTCAAACCACTTGCCCCTCACCGCTGTGGGTTCGAATCCTGACAGGGACTTTGGATTCTTTCATGTGAGGAAGCTATCCAGCTAGCTTACGGAACGTCGGTGGTTCTACTCAGGTGCCCGTTCGTGCCTGAAATAATGCACGGAAGGGCACCTGAGGTCTTCCTCTACCAGTAAAGCTGGAACGTCGCGATATGACCTATACTGTGTCGATTTTACGTAAAACCCAAAACAAAACAAAAACATATCAGGAAACAATTTAGTATTCATTATTATAACTTTATGTAAAGTATTTTACAAGTGTGAAATAGTTTTGTTTTCATGACAGGATAGTATATGAGATGATAATATCAAGGATATGATTAAAATAAAAATGTTCTATAAAATATTGTGTTGTTACAATGATATATCACTACAAATCTAGCCTGTATCAGTTTATGAGGGCATCTGAGGTCGAGAGGTAAAGGTCGTTGACTTTAAACCACTTTACCCTCACCTCTGAGGTAGGTACTACGCATGTGCCCGTTCGTGCCTGAAAGTATCATGCTAAAACGGGCACCTTGTGTCTCCCTCCACCAGTAAACCTGAAAAGGTACCATATAATCTGCAAATGGTGTAACGTAAAATCAAACCAAAAAATGATAATGGCTAAGAACATCAAACATATTTGGTAAAAAAGGATAAAGTGGACTCAAAAAACTGTAGAATTGAGGGCACTTTGACCAGGAACAGTAAAAGTTCAACGTCACTGTTTAAAGTTGAATTTTATTTCTACAGTAACCAACCAAATTGATCCACATCATTAAAATTTAATCTTTGCAGTTATTTGCCAGAGGACCCTTTTTGGTCTTAGAAGTCAAGGTCATTATTAAATAGATGCATGCACAAAGAATGAATGACTTATTTAGGTCGAGGTCACCTTTACCTTGATTTTTTTTTAAAAAAAAACCATTTCCTCTCAATATGGCAATAACCGTTCATGCAAAGTTCTTGAAAGTGAGCTAATGTTTTCCGTTCATCGTTACCCCATAATTTCAGTTTGATGCATAATATTTATGTAACAAGATCTCAAAATAGACTTTATAAAATGAAATCTTCCTCAGGAACTCCCTAGTAAAGTGTTTCAGGCCCTGGGCTAAATGCATGGCACCGCCTTGTCTGTCACTTAGTTTTCATAGTAAACATATTTTCCCTTCTACAAAGCTCAGACCATTTAAATATTTCACATATTACATCGCTTTGTGGTATTCTATATATAAGTTACATCTTTATAAATGAACACAATACCCCTTTAGTCAAAATTCCATTTCTTATCTTATAAGATCTTAGGGCTGTCGCACGATGGTCGTTCGGAAGTGCGACAATCTTACGACAGTCTTTACAAATTGCCACTAGTCACTGATAATCTTAAGTAGTCTTTAGTTATCGTGTGATGGTCGTACGACAAGTTGTAGGTGATCGCATGTTATGTCACGGGTAGTCGTAAGTAATCCCAGGCAATCTTGACACCATCGTACGTTTACTTATGACCTGTCGTGCGATTGTCAATGATGACTTCTCTAAATTAAATTTATCTGTGCAAAAATGGTTTTGGTCGCAGACAATCGCTGATGATCGTCAGTTTTACAAGTCGCCGGTGGTTGCAAGTAATCGTAAGCTCTAGTGTGACTACAAATAGGCCCACATCATTTTCAGCAAAGTGTTGAGCATTTTACCAATATCGCCATGTGAAGCGAATGATACCGTTCCTTGCGATTCTTCGTGAATAAAAAGCACATTGATATGTTAATCTGAATCAAACTGTGTAAGAGTATATTAAGTTCTACCCAAACATTTTGTTGATGATACTTTGAAGCTAAACTTGGTTTTTTGTCTTTGAAATTGTCATTAATAAATCATCCCTGATGTCAGCCATTTCTGTATTAAAGTAAAGTTTTCTTTATTTTGAAAACCTTGTAAAACATTAATTTCAAACTGTAATATGCATAAGAATTATTTTATCTAGTATATTTAGTGTATTCATATTGCACATGTCTGTCCCTTTTCTTTGTCATTGGTAGCTATTTGAATTTTATTGCCAGTTATCATTGTTCACATCTAATTAATTTTACCTAAATATCTGACCTTAAACTGCGCATCGAGCTATGTTTTCAACTTTGAGTAATTGTCAAATCAGCATAAGTAACTTTCAGATAAAAATATTCCATATGCACGCAGTCCACTGCTAGAGAATTAAACAGGTGTTCATTTTAATATTAAATGACCTTACTAAAGATAAGAGTTTGAGACGGACACATATTCATTCACTCTGTTGTAATAAGGTTTATAAAAGCGTCTTTTGTTCGGATACTGAATAATGTTGGCATTTGTATTCATGACTGTAGTCTTAATATACCCGGCGTCTACATCCCCTGATTCAAAAGGCGATGTTCTGAATGCAGGGATTATACGTGAGATTGTTTCATCATTCATGGAAACGGAGGGAAGTGATTGCAGATCTTTAGCGAATCACGTTGCTGATTTGAGTAAAGAAATGAAACAGCAAAGTATAAAAATGGACGATATGGTATCAATTATTGCTACACAATCTAACGATATCAGAGAATTAAAGCACAAGATCAGTATAATTGAAGAGGATAATGAACGTTTACGAAGCCTATTCAATGAGGAAAATGGAAAAAATAACACAACCAAGCAGAATGATGGTCTAACCAACATTGAAAGTAGCAAACCTTCTCTTGATGTCGATGAAGTCGACATAAAATCAAGAGGTGTTGTGAACAAAGACGGACAGAAATATTCGATGAGTCAAAGAATAAGAGCGAGTTCTACGGGAGTTGTTGCATTTACGGCATATTTAGATCATGCGCTTACGGGTTTGAATCCAGGGATGACTATTAAATGTAATATAATAATTACTAATCATGGACATGGCTATAATACATTTACCGGTATATTTACGGCCCCAGTATCTGGGATATATTTCATAACATATACAATTAATTGTGGAATGAAGAAGACAAATATTCGATTAATGAAGGACGGGGTTAACATTGTCGACGCCGTTGTACACGCTGATCCATATTCCGGGAGTTACAGACAAACAATGGCCACAAATAGTGTTGTGATAGATGTTACTGCTGGACAATCAATTTGGCTTGAGACAATTTATGACCATGACGCCGAACTTATCAGTCTTGAGGATTATCGTTACGTAACGTTTACAGGATTTCTACTGGTGTGATTCAACCCGACTCGTTTATCCTATCTGTTATGTTTATAAAACAAATGTTACAATAAAAAATAAATAAATTATCTTTTTAGAAATTAAAGTAATTGTATGTAAAATACTTCCAACCTTAAAATATCAAAGGACACATCTGGCTCAATTAAATTGAGATTAATTTTTTATTTGCTTTGTAAGGTGACCTTTTTCATAATATTTGAACTATGTTTTCTTTAAAGATCCTGTACGTTGTAATTGAGGTTATATACCACACTTAAATTTAATTATATATTATGTATATAATTATGCTTATAAAACAATCTTCAAACATCATAGAATATGTAAAATATGTACTGCAAATATTTGTACATATTATATGTAATCATCAAAATATATGCATTCATTTCTTATTGAAAAAATTGACTTAGACGTTATAGAAATTAAATAAAAAAAATTATTACCTCCCTTAATTTACATAAACTATTAAATTCGGTAGTATATTTATAGATAATGCTTTTAGAACTTACAAAAATGATATGTCTTAATTTAAGCATGATATTTATAATTAAAAAAAAAAACATAAAAAAATGTGTTACAGGATCTTTAAGGCTTAAGTGAGAAAACAGTATTTACATGGTTCAAACTATCCAATAGAATGAAATCTTCAAAACGTAAGCCCACTAGCGATCAAAACCCTAAAACACATACTTTTTAATTCTTACATTGATAGGAAACTTAAAGCGGAAAATATGGTTAAGATCTGAAAGAAATAGGCAAGGAATTAAACGACAAGTGTTATTCTTAGCCCAGTTAGAGTTAAAAGCGTTTAAAGAAACGCTTCTCATTTTGTGTCATTTTGCATGATAAAATTTTTATTCTTACAAAATGAAATGTACGAATGATATGAAATTGTGCACTCATGTTGTTGGTTTCTTGAAAAAAAAAACAGCTATGATCTGACAGTGCTAAATTTGTTTGTCCAGACTATATCAAATAGTGCGTACACAATTCTCGATAAAATATTTCAAGTCAAACAATAACAAACTTATTGTAGTCCCTTTTAAATAAACTTTTATATGTTATCCCTTACAAGTACAATCAGTGATACTGATTGCCTTAAAATTAACGTCAGTAATTCTATGCTAGGTCTCAAATTTATGATCGTTTAACTAGAAGACTCGAAACTATTTGCTGCTAAAATTTGGCATTACAACATTTACATTATGGACAATACCATATTTAAATAAAAGAAAGTATATAAAACAATTTCAGTAGTGTAAAACAAGTTAATCGCATGGATCGTAACTTTTATAGAATTCACCAGTTCAGATTTTGAGATCCGAGATACAATATGATAAAAGAGTTCATCAAGAGTTTGTCAATATTACAAAATGTTTTATTTCTTAAGGTTACGTGCGTTTTGTTAACAGCACGTTCCATTTAAAAATATGTATTGACTGAATAGCTGACAGTGCAGGCAATGTTCAGACGACACGGATATACCGGTTGATCTTGGTATGCTCTGATTGCATGTGTAGTATCAGGTCCTGCCAGCTTGCTTATAGTTGAAAGATGGATTTTCGGTTTGACAATAATTAGGAGAACATCCATACATGCAGGTTTCTTCTATATTGGCATCAACAATGTTTCACTCCATTCATTTAAGGTACAGCTTTTAATATATGAAAGACTGATTCCCTCTGCTTTTAATGTTAGATTTATTCTAAATTAAGTTATTATAGGAGTCATACAATGTTACGAAATTATCACTCTCCTTTTAAGGCAGCGTGTAACAAGTCTTATTTTATGTTTTTAACTGTTAAGTAGATTATGTTTTACAAGCGTAAAACATAATCTACTTAAAAAAATCTACTTATGAAAGCAAACACATAAGTTGTGCATGGTTTGGCATGGATGTACTTCAATGTTTATTGATTATTTATTAAACATATCATGAAATATTTAAGTATTCATTATTATAACTAACATGTAAAGTAATTTACAAGTGTGAAAAAGTTGTTGTTTTTTTTCATGGCAGGATAGTATATAAGATGATTATATTAAGGATATGATCAAAATAAAAATGTTGTATAAAGATTTATAGAGCTCTTACAATTATAAATTAGTACAAATCTAGCCTGTATCAGTTTATGAGGGCATCCGTGGTCAATTAGTTAAGGTCGTTGACTTTAAACCATTTTCCCCCACCTCTGCGGGGTCGAATCCCGACAGGGACTATTGGATTTTTTCTTGTGAAGTAACTACTACGCATGTTACCGTTCCTGCATGAAATTATAATGCACAGATGGGCACCTAATGTCTCACTCCACCGGTAAACCTGAAAAGACACCATATGATCTGCAATGTTGGTGCGACGTAAAACCAAACCAAAATATAACAAGTATAATGGTTTCCTGCGGGGAACATTTTTAATGATATAAAGATATTTCATTTAACTATTTTCAACATTGTTTGGGGGGGAATAAATAAACGTTTGTATCAGGAATATAGTTGACAATAATCGATCAATATAGAAGAAGGTCTTTGGAAACTGGTGACCGTTGATGACCGGAGAAAGTCGAACATAAAACAATTATTTCTTTTTAAGAAAATGATTAAATAGGCCTACCATTTTATGAATAATTCCGAGCAAAAAAAAAGTTTTCGCAGAAAATATCTCTATTTATTATGGCAGATGCCACAACGATTTTTTTTTATTTTGTAGATTTTCAGTATAAACAATTTATTGTTTGTAACATTTTGAGATACATATTAAAGAAACATTGATAATTTTCAAACACATCATTCAAGTTTTTCTACCTTAAACGGTAACATTATTATAGAAAATTAAAGATATCACGTAATAGTTTTTTGTTCTAAATAGGTGTAATTCTGACTTATTCCCTAGAGGATTATAATTATCCGTAACGTACCGGCAAACGGTATTTAGCCAGGTTTTCGAAAAGGTCAATTAACCAATCATATACGGTTTACAGATCACATGCTCCTCCATGTACCGAAAACAGGTCACGTGCTCCTCCATGCCTCAAAAGTTAAACGCGTACCAATACCCTGCGGTCTCCAGACCGCAGGGAATAATAGTTAAAGAACATCAAACATATTTGGTAAAAAAGAAGAAAGATCCTGTGGACTTAAAACGCTGTAGAATTGAGGGCACTTTGAACAGTAACAGTAAAAGGTTAACGTCACTGTTTGCTTAAAGTTGAACTCTATTTCTACATTAACCAACCAAATTGATCCACATCATTAAAATTTAATCTTTGCAGTTATTTACCAGAATAACCCTATTGATCTGACAGGTTAAAGGTCAAGATCATTATTTACTTCACCTTGGATTTAAAAACCGTTTCTGCTCTATAATAAAAATACAATTGCACACACACGCTTTGAAATCCATAGGGCAGATGCATGTACAAAGTATAGATGACTTTTTTTAGGTCGCGGTCACCTTTACTTTGATTTTTAGAGAAAACCCCATTTCCTCTCAATATGGCAATAACCGTTCATACAAAGTTCTTGGAAGTGAGCTTTTGTTATCCAGGATCGTTTACCACAATTTCTGTCTTATGCATAATATTTAGGAAACAAGTTCTGAAAATAGACTTCATAAAATAAAATCTTCCAGCCTTGGGCTAAATGCACGGTATACCGCCTTGGCTGACACTTAAGTTACATATTAAACACATAATTTTTCAACTCTTGAAGCGACGGATACCGTTCCTTGCGATTCGATCCTCATGAATAAAAAGCACATTTATATGTTAATCTGAATCAAACTGTGTTAGAGTTATTCTACCCAAACATTTTATTGATGATACTTTATAGCTTAACTTGTTTTTTTTTGTCTTCTGAATTGTCAGCAATAAAACATCCATGATGTCAACCATTTCTGTATCAAAGTAACTATTTTTCTTTATTTTGAAAATATTTTTAAACATTTAAATTTAAAACTGTAATATGCATAAGGATTATTTTATCTAATATATTTAGCTTTTTCATATTGTACATTACTATCCCTATTCTCTGTCATTGGTAGCTAGTTGAATTTCCTTGTCAGTTATCAATGTTCACATGTAATTACTTTTACCTTTATATCTGACCATTAACTGCGCATCGAGCTGTTTTTTAAACTTTGGTAATTGTCAAATCAGCATAAGTAACTTTTAGATAAGAATACTCCATATGCACGCAGTCCACTGCTAGAGAATGAAACAGGTGTTCATTGTAATTAATAACATTACCAAAGATAAGAGTTTTTAAACCCTACGTAGGAGTTATAGAAAAATTCTGTAAACAAAGTGATCCCTCGGAAGCATTAATCACAACAAAATAACATAAGAATTGCAGACTCTGTTTAATTGAGTCTGTACAAATTTTACAGGAATCCTTCGGTTGCCCTCTACAAATGTTATTTTAAAAGTTTCCGTCTTATTTATATGTAGGTCATGTGAGATAAACAAAAGCTTTAAAGTGAAAATCTTGCATGGAAACTACAATACCCAAATAATTAAAATTTAAAAGTCTTTTCTTAAATAACTCATTGTATAAGTGTGTGAAGGTATTGTGTATTTTATTCCTTTTAAAGAATGAAATGGAAGCCATCTCCATATCAAACTTGTTACTTTTTCATTTATTCTGAAGAGCTACTAAAACATTAGATATACATGTATATTGTATTTTTCGCAAGGATCATTAAATTATGTTATAGTATGTGTATATTACATGTTTAAGCTAATTTTCTTTCTTATATGCTGATTAAATTGTCATTTATCATTGTAAACGTCGAGTCACTGTTAATATAAAGATAAACTGTGCAACGATATAAAATTTGCAATCTATGATTAAAACTCAAATTATCAAACTTATAAACTGGTAACCTTGGGATAAGATTATAACGATAAGATATGGGTTTGTAACTGACACATTTTTATTCACTGTGATGTAATTAGTCTTAAAAAAAGTGTCTTTTGTTCGGATAAGGAAAAATGTTTGCATTTGTATTCATGATTGTAGTCTTGATCCACCCGGCGTCGACATTTCCTGATTCGAAAGGTGATGTTCTGAATGCAGGGCTTATATATGAGATTGTTTCATCTTTTATGGAAACAAAGGGAATTGATTGCAGATCTTTAGCGAAAGATGTTGCTTATTTGAGTAAAGAAATGAAACAGCAAAGTATAAAAATGGACGATATGGTATCAATTATTGCTAAACAATCAAACGATATCACAGAACTACAACATAAGCTCGGTATAATTGAAGATGGGAATGAACGTTTACGAAGGTTATTTAATGAGGAAAAAGAAATAGATAACACGACCGAGCAGAATATTAGTCTTACCAACATTGACAGTAATGTGCCTCCTCGTGATGACGATGATTTGCACATAAAATCAAGAATTGTTGAGAAAAAACATGAATGGCAATCTCCGATAATTCGAAGAATAAGAGCAAGTTCTACGGGATTTGTTGCATTTACAGCATATTTAGATCATCCACTTAAAGGATTGAACCCGGTGACAACAATCAAATTTAATAAAATAATTACCAATAGTGGAAATGGATATAATACATTTACCGGTATTTTTACGGCTCCAGTGTCTGGGATATACTTTATAACATATACGTTTGAATGTAGCCTGAAACAGACAAACGTACGGTTGATGAAGGATGATTTAAACATAGTCGATGCTGTTGTATACGCTGATGTAGATTCCGGGATTTATAGACAAGGAATGGCCACAAATAGTGCTGTGATAGAAGTTACAGCTGGACAGTCAATTTGGCTTGAGACCATTTATGACTATGACGCCGAAATTTTCAGTTCTGAGGATTATCGTTACGTAACGTTTACAGGATTTCTACTAGCGTGATTCAGTCCGAAACGTTTCTTCGTTTGTAATGTTTTTAAAAACATATTATACAATAAAAAGGATAACTTTTCTTCTGCGATGCGGTGGCATAAAACGGTTCACCTGTGTGTGTGCGTGCGCGTGTATGTCTGTGAGCGTGTATGTGGTGCATGCGTGCGTGCGTACGTGTGTACGTGCGTGCGTGCGGGCGTGTGTGTGTGTGTGTCTGTCTGTCTGTGTGTTCTATAAAGATAATATAGTGAACTTAAAAAATCTTCTTGTGAAAAACAACTTTTCCAATTTAAACCAAACTTGGTAGGATAGTTCCTTGGAAAAAGGGCTTCCAACGTTGTTCAAAAATTTCATTCCATGCAGAAATCTGGTTACCATGGCAACCAAAAGGATTATACGAATAAATTAAAAAAATCTTATTGTAAAGACCCACAAGGCCTAGAACATAGATATTTTGCATAAGGCATTGTCTGGTATACCTCTACCAAGATTGTTCAAATTATAGCCCTGGGGTCATGGGGTCAAAATCGGCCCCGCCCCGGAAGTCATTGATTTTCACTGTATGTATATATTGTACAAACTTAAAATTCTTCTTGTCTGAAGGTAAAAGGCTTAGAATTATGATATCTGGTATATGATATCATCTATAGGTACTCTACCAAAGTTGTTCAAATTTTGCCTCTAGTGTCAAAATTAGCCCCACCCCGGATAGGTGTTCCGTTTATGTTTATAGTAAAAACTTTAAAAAATAATTGTCTCTAAATTGACGAAGGCTAGAGGTTAGATATTTTGCATGAAACATTGTGTAGTTAATCTCTAGCAAGTTCAAATTATAGCCTTGGGGTCATAATTGGCCCCGTCCCGGGGGCCATTGATTTTCACTATGCACATATAGTAAAAAATTAAAAAATCTTATTGACTGAAGGTACAAGGCTTAGAGCTTTGATATTTGGTATATGATATCATCAATAGGTAATCTATTAAAGTTGTTTAAATTTTGCCTCTGGTGTTAAAATTGGCCTTGCCCGGGGCATTGATTTTCATTATGTACACATAGTAGAAACAGAAACTAAAACAAATGTTTTCTGAATTAGAGAAAGCTACAGCTTAGATATTTGACATGAAATGTTGTTGGGTGGACCTGTATGAAGATTCTTTGAATTAAACCCTTGGGTCAAAATTTTGCCTTGCCCAAGGGGACAGTGACCTTCTTTCATGTCTTTTGGTGTACAACTATGAAATTTGGACTATGTGCACATTTTTAGTTGTAGAATTGAACTTTGTGTCAGGTGACCTAGATCTTGATTATGTGTTCTACGTTCTTGTCCTTTGATGTACAGCAATGAAAATTAAACTTTGTGCACAGATTAAAATGTAAAGTGAAGTTTACGCCGCTTTCCATGGAATGGCACTACTGTGTCACATTGAAGGTTCAATGATAACGCCGTATGAACACATCTGCGGATGTTTCTAAATTCAAAACTTCATCATTTTCGTGTTAAATGTTGAATTCTGCTTAATCCAGTGCTGAGGGGCGTGGACGGTAACTAGCACTTTCAAGTACTGTCCATAATCAGACTCAATCAAACCGGGCCTGCAACATTTTCAATTTTGTTGTTTTGGACTTTTTTAGGGATTCTGTTTGTCTCTATTTGATATCAGCTGGCCTAGATTTGACAAAGTGTCTTACTGTGTTGTCATTTGATGTACAGTCATGGAAATTTTGGCCATGTGAAATATGACCTTCGTCACCAAATTCACTAAAATCAACTGCATTGATGGATCCCTACTCTGAACTTTTATATGAATAACAATAGATTTAACCACTAATCTGATTAAAAGAATTAGATAGGTCAGTGATCTAAGCATTATGGCAATCTTCAATTGTGTAGAAACAAACAAATCCTGTTCCTACATTACTATTTAGTGTTATTTTTATGCGGTTGCATAGGATTTTTCACAAATGCAATCTTGTTAGAAATTGAAGTAACCGTGTGCAAAATACTTCCAATTTCAAAATATCAAAGGTCACAAATGGCTATTAAAATGAGTTTGATAATTTTTTTAATTATTTTTGGGAGGCGACCATTTTTTCATTATTTTTGGACATACGTACACTATAAGTCTTAAGTAAGAAAAATGTATTTGCATGGTTTTAACTATCCAATAGAATGAAATCTCCAAAACTTAAGGAACCCCACTGACGTCTAAAACCTTAAAAAAGCTTACTTTTAAATTCTTACATAGATCATACATAGATCGGAAACTAAATGCGGAAAATATGAATAAGACATGAAGGAAAATACTTTCTTTCAACTGAAAATCAATTGTAAGTGTGATTCCTAGCCTAATTTGAGTTGATTACGTGTATGATCTGACTACATAAAATGGCACGTACAAAAATCTTGATAAAGTATTTCAAGTCCTTTCATTAAAAAATCAACAACAATAAAACTTTTTGAATTAACTTTTATATGCTATCCCTTACAAATATGAAGGATGTCCGGAAAGTTCATATTTTTCTTCATTTTTGTGTCGCCTCTACGGAGTAGTGGCGACATAGAGGGATCACTTCTCCGTCATCTGTCTGTCCGTCTGTCCGCCTGTCTGTCTTTCTGTCTGTCTGTCTGTCCGTCTGTCCGTCCGTCACAGAACTTGTTCGGACTACTCCTCATAAACTACTGGTGCAATTTCATCCAAACTTTACAGGAATGATCAGTACCAAGTCTAGTTGTGCATATTGTCAGCATTTTCCGGTTCAATGATTTTTGTCAGAGTTATGGCCCTTTAATAATTTTTAATTTTAAAGTTTGTCCAGACTATTTCTCTTATACCACCAATGCAATTTCAATGAAGCTTTACAGGATCGATCTGTAGCTCAAGTCCTTGCGCATATTGCACGGTTTTTTTGGTTGAATGATTTTTGGCCGAGTTATGGCCCTTTGATAAAAATGCGTTTTTTTCTGTGTGTTGCCAGATACACAAAAGCTTGTCCGGACTACTCCTCATAAATTACTGGTGAAATTTCATCCAAACTTTACAGGAATGATCAGTACCAAGTCTAGTTGTGCATATTGTCAGCATTTTCCGGTTCAATGATTTTTGTCAGAGAAATGGCTCTTTAAAAAAAAATATTTTTAAACTTTGTCCGGACGACTTCTCTTATACCACTAAAGCAATTTCAATGAAACTTTTCAGGATTGATTTGTAGCTCAAGTTCTTGTGCATATTGCACGGGTTTTCTGGTTGAATGAGTTTTGGCCGAGTTATGGCCCTTTGATAAAAAGGTGTTTTTTTCTGTGTGTTGCCAGATACGCAAAAGCTTGTCCGGACTACACCTCATAAACTATTGGTGCAATTCTATCCAAACTTTACAGGAATGATCAGTACCAAGTCTAGTTGTGAACTGTCTGTCTGTCTGTCCGTCTGTCACAAAATTTGTCCCAACATGAAATTGGCCATCATGAGGCGACACATGTGATCACTGATCGCTCTTTTTTTTATTGTATTGCATTAATACCTTGTACAAATTTTGCCAGCAAAATATACTTATCCAGCGACACATTTATCAAAAATTACTGATGCTGTAAATTACGTTTGTATCTTGACATTATTTACATACAGCATGTATACTTCGTCATGGAGCACTTTGACAACCTCAACGGCGTGAAATTAACTTCATGTTTACCCACTATTCAAATTCTTCCAATTTCAAAGTAACATGTTTAAAATGACAAAAGTAGATTAACAAAGTTAAACGATCTTAAATCATGCATAACGCCCCGCCCCTCTTTGACAGAGTGTTAACGAACTTCTGTTACGGAAATATACGGTTGCATATTAATAGTAGTGCACGGATACAGTGAAAATACTTTGGAATGCACGTTCGCATTTTCAAAAGATTTTTTTCAAAGAAGCTCTTTACATGTCTGGAATTTTTGCAACTAATGCCCTCCATAAGTATACTCTTTATCGATGCAAATTTAAGAACACAGTTCCAAGCGTTCAACTTTATAAAATGGTGTCGCTATTCTTTTGAGAACACAATTATATAGTGCATAAAAACAAAAATAGGGTTTCAAAGTTTGACAATTTAAGAGGCAAATATATTTCTTTGCTGCCTAATTGAGACTAATGTTTTTAGGCTTGATCCACTGGGTATTGCACCCACTGTCCTTGTTTGTATCTTTCTTTCTTAAACACCTTGAATGACATAAAATTTTGGTCTTTTTTAATCTTCCTTATGATATTAAGGCATAAAATATTCATGACAAGAGGTACAACTCTTAATTCGATATCAATTTTAAAATGGTAGGAGTTGTTGTTTCCCTTGAATTAAAGACGTTTTTTCCAATGTAAGCTCAATGTTAAATTGGAATTTCTTTTTTTTTCTTTATGTTAAATAAGTTCTATAATATTGTAAAGTAATTACTTCTGAAAATGAAAATTCAGTGATGTAACACAAGGTAATCGCATGGGTCGTAACATTACCATCCTCATTTTATGTAATTTACTAGTCCAGATTTGACTTTGTTATTTGTTAAGGACTCCGCCTAGTCATATTTGAGTCTTAATTCCAGATTTCTCTATCCTTGTAGAATTATATACTGTCTTCAATATAAGGCCTCAACACTATCCTAGTCAAATGAGGTCCTAGATACAATATGTTAGCCAATCTACTTTTTTCAGAAATCTTCATAGAAATAAAGTCTATTTAGGTGTAACCATGACCTGTATGATGGTTAAATATTTTATTTTTCAGTGAATATACAAGAAGTGTTTATCTTGTTTTTAGACTTTTGTCAATATTACAACATTGTTTTATTTCTTTAGTAACGACTGTTTGTTAATAACACGTTTCATTTTAAAATATGTATTGACTGGATAGCTAACAGTGCAGGCCATGTTCAGACGACACGGATATACCGGCTGATCTTGGTCTGCTCTGATTGCATGTGTAGTATCAGATGTTTTTAGGCAGCATGTAACAAATCTTATTTTATGTTTTTTTTATTGTTAAGTAGGTGATGTTTTACGTTTTAAAGCAAACACATAAGTTTGGCATGGCTTGGCATGGATGTACTTCAATGTTAATTGATTATTTATTAAACATATCATGAAATAATTAAGTATTCATTATTACGATACCCGGTAACTTATATGTAAAGCCATTTACAAGTGCATGTGAAATAGTTCTTTTTCATGACAGGATTGTATATGAGATGGTAATATCAAGGATATGATCGAAATTAAATGTTGTATGAAATATTGAGTTGTTACAATTATACATCACTACAAATATAGCCTGTGTCAGTTAATGATGGGCGTCGTGGTCGAGTAGTTAAGTTCTTTGACTTTAAACCACTCTCCCCTCACATCTGAGGGTTCGAATCCCGACGGGAACTGTTGGATTCTTTCTTGAGAGGTATCTACTACGCATGTGCCTGTTCGTGCCTAAAATTATAATGCACAGACGGGCACCTAATGTCTCCCTTCACCAGTAAACCTGAAAAGGTACCATATGATCTGCAATGTTCGTAAACCAAACCAAAAAATAATAAAAGTTAAAACACACCAAACATATTTGGTAAAATAGAAAGATCAGTAGACTCCAAAGGCTATGGAATCGAAGACATTTTGGTTATTAACAGTAAAAGTCCAACGTCACTGTCGCTTAAATTTGAATCTATTACCAAGCAAATTAATCCATATCATTAAATTTTAATCTTTGTAGTTATTTACCAGAAGACCCCTTTTGGTCTGAGATGTCAAAGTTTAAGGTCAAGGTCATTCTTAACTTCACCTTGGATTTGAAAACCGTTTCTGCTAAATTATAAGAGTACAATTGGATACGCACACTTTAAAACTTCGCAGTGAAGGTGCTTGTACAAAGTAAAGATGACATATTTGGGTCGAGGTCACGTTTACCAAAACATTCCCTCTCAAAGTTTTTGAAAGTGAACTTTTGTTATCCATGGATCGTTAACCATAATTTCAGTCTGATGCATAATTATTTAAGTAACAAGATCTCAAAATAGACTATAAAATTTTCATCAGGAACTCTCAATTAAAGTGTTTCCAGCCCTGGGCTAAATGCATGGCATTGCCTTGGCGGTCACTCAGTTTACAGAGTAGACATATATAAATTGTCCCCTCTACAACGTTCGGACCATTTTAAATGTAACATCGCTTTGTGTATATTCTGTATACATATTTATACATAAACATCATGCCCCTTTAGTCAGAATCCAATTTAATCCTTGTAATTCGCGTCAGCCTCCGCGTTTGAAAATTATACAAATAGGCCTACATCATTTATAGAACTTTCCAATTTCGCCATGTAAAGCGATGAGTATCGTTCCTTGCGATTCCTCGTGAAGACAAAGCACATTTATATGTTAATCTGAATAAAAATTAAATTCTACCCAAGCATTTTGTTGATGATACTTTGTAGCTAAACTTTTTTTGTCATTGAAATTGTCAGAAATTAAACATTCCTGACGTCAGCCATTTATGTATTAAAGTAATTAATTTTCTTTATTTTGAAAACCTTTTAATTTCTAACTGTAATATGCATAAGGATTATTTTTACTAGTATATTTAGTGTATTCATATTGCACATGTCTGTCCCTTTTCTTTGTCATTGATAGCTTTTATTGTCAGCTATGATTGTTCACATCTTTTTACAGTTATGTTGACCATAAACGGCGCATCACTCTATTTTTACTCTATTTTTTAAACTTTGAGTAACTGACAAATCAGCACAAGTAACGTTTAGATGAGAATATTCCATATGCACGAATTCCATTGCTAGTGACTTTAACAAGTGTTGATTGTAATATGTGACCTTACCAATGATAAGAGTTTGAGAGCGACACATATTCATTCAGTCTGTTGTAATTAGGCTTATAAAAAGTGTCTTTTGTTGGGATAAGGAATAATGTTGGCATTTGTATTCATGACTGCAGTCTTAATCCACTCGGCATCTACGTCCCCTGATTCCAAAGTCGATGTTCTGAATGAAGCGCTTATTCGTGAGATTGTTTCATCGTTCATGGAAACAGAGGGAAATGATTGCAGAACGTTAGCGAAGGATGTTGCTGATTTGAGTAAAGAAATGAGACAGCAAAGTATAAAAATGGACGATATGGTAACAATAATTGCTAAACAGTCTAAAGATATCAGAGAATTGAAGTATAAGATCAGTATAATTGAAGAGGATAATGAACGTTTACGAAGCTTATTCAATGAGGAAAACGGAACAGATAACGCGACGGAGCAGAATAATAGTCTCACCAACAATGAAAGTAATGTGCCTGTTGGTGATGTTGATGATTTCCACATTAAATCAAGAGGTGTTGAGAACAAAGACGGAAAAAAATATTCGATGAGTCAAAGAATAAGAAAGAGTTCTACGGGATTTGTTGCATTTACGGCATATTTAGATCATTATACTCAGGGTTTGAATCCAGGGATGACAATTAAATGTAATAGAATAATAACTAATCATGGAAATGGCTATAATACATTTACCGGTATATTTACGGCTCCAGTGTCTGGGATATATTTCATAACATATACAATTGAAAGTAACCATAAGAAGACAAATGTACGGTTAATGAAGGATGGCGTTAACATTGTCGACGCCGTTGTACACGCCGATTCAGACTCCTTGGTATTCACACAAACAATGTCCACAAATAGTGCTGTGGTAGATGTGACAGCTGGACAATCACTTTGGCTTGAGACCACTTATGACCATGACGCCGAACTTTTCAGTCTTGAGGATTTTCGTTTAGTAACGTTTACGGGATTTCTACTAGCGTGATTCAACTCGCCTTCTGTATTCAATTATTATGTTAATCTTAAGAGAACTTAAAATAAAAATATAAGGCAACCTTTCTTTTTATAATTAAAGTAATTGTATGTAAAAAAATCCACTTCTTTTCTGAAAGAAATAAATTAAAGAACATATCTGTCTGACTCAATCAAACCGAGTTTGAAAACTTAAAAAATGCTATGTTAGGCAACATTTTTATTTATTTTGTGTATAAAAATTCGTTAAGACTTTGTTGCCACTACACAATACTTGCTTTTATTTTTTAGATATATTCAGAAATACATTTGCATGGTTCAATCTAATCAATAAGTAGAAATCTTTATAAGTAAGAATATCTTCGGTACATTGACTCCAGTATAAGAAGAATCCTCGCGGTGTGCACAAATTTCTGGCATTCTTACGAGTCAGAAAGTTGTCACTTTGTAAATTACATGGTAAATTATAAATTTAAACATACATTCGTTTTAAAAAGAAATGTTTTCTTTATGTGTTCCAATTACTCCGTCAGTATTTCCTTTACTCCATGTATTTATTTACAATACTTAATAAAACAATAATGCACACGTGATGCTATATAATAACACGTGAAAATGAGTCTTTCAGTCATTGACATTGACATGATCTGAATTGTTTCTAAATATAGAACATAAAAATAGTCACGTGGTCTCATTATAAGGCTCTTAACAACCAGGATATATCACTTTATTGTTATATTCCGTTTTAATGTCATCAATAAATGTAATAGCTCTAAAATCTTAAACATTCAAATGAATATGTGATATATTTATATACAGTAGACAATCAAGATTTAGGTCGGGATTTTATATTAACTTAATATGTCGAGTATATTTCCAGCGACTATATATATTATAATATAACATTTTTTTTGGACCTTTATTTTTCTTCATTTGGAGACATTCGGATTTTTCGGTAGAATGGCTGGACTGGGTTTATTCATAGTAATGTTGGCTCTATTTCTACATGAAGGAAACGCAATAGAGGATCAGTTTGAAAGTCTTAAAAACAACGACACGTGCAGGCAAACACTGAAAAGAGGTGAGGTTGTTAATTTCAAATTCAAAATTAGATTAAATTGACGCAAAATACTATGTTTCACTCGAATATATTTATATATGTTTCAGGAGAACCTTTTCCATAATAAAACATATAAATTTTATTTCAATATTTGTTGTAATACGTGTAAATACATGCAGTGTTTACTTCAGAAGTATTTTTATCAAAATTTACAAAAAAAATACGCTTTGCTTTTTCAGTTGAAATGTTTTCTAATGATGGACGCTGCTCGCCGGAACTCCAAATCGATTCCGCTTTGGTCCTTACCTTGCCGAGGCATTCCTTCTCCGTATTGCCCAACTGTGTAAATTGCTCCGTTACCCTGGTGGCCCCTAAAGACAAGCAGATAGTAGCCACGTTGTATATAGTGGGCACAGAAACGTCACATAGTGGCAAATGTGATTTGAACAGGCTTGATATTTACGATGGAAATTATGAAAACGAGAACAATCGTTTATCCGGTTAGTATTCGATCATTTCCGTGAAATCTTAAACAATACAGGTCATAGTGATAAAATCAAACATATATATACATGTATATATTATCAAACGTATAAACTTTATGCTGTTTGATATCATTTTATCAAAAGCTCCGTCAGATTTTGTTTTTCCACCATTTTCATATTAAAATGAGAAAGCGTGTCGGAAGTAACTTGCAGTTTACTAGTATTCTATTAGTGCCGTTAGCGTGCAGCATTTTAAATTTTTCATTTGTCTTGGGCAACCAATAATGTTAACTGCTTTGAGTACATAGTTAGAATGTAGAGATAAAACTTGTGAGTAAAAAATCATGCTGAGGAAGGAAAATAGAGACCCCAAGTTATATACAAAGTCAACTGTTCACTGTTTAAAAAGACCACATTCTATGTAGAGCAATCGCATTTTTTTCAACAGTATCATTTTTTTCAACGTAGACTTCAAAATATTTTTCACCTCTCGGCAGCAACCAACATCTTTGTGTCCCAAAGAGTATAACTATATAGTGCTTGTATATGTCTTTCGAAAAACATGTACTAAATGTTCTTATTAAGATACAGTTTCTTTTTAACTACATCTATTACTATTCTGTAACATATATGTATGTATATTACAGGCCCGGACGGTATTTGTGGCTGTAAGTTTCCGTCAGGTGGTGAGTATAAATCCAGTAACAACTCGATGACACTACATTACCAGACGACGTGTAAGCTCATGAGAATACATGGCGAGTTAGAACTGATTGTATCTGTCGTGGATAATGGTAAGTCAATAAAAGCCAAATAACTAAACTTCGTTTTTAGTAAATGATATCCAAATTTGTGTGTGTGTGTGTGTGTGTGTTTATTTAATACTTTAATTTATATTTGAGAGAGAAAATCAAACGTTTCGTTGTCAGCGAATAGTTTATTATAAAGTGTATTTAAAATGTATCTGTATGCATATTTATTAAAAATTGTCAACTTTGAGAAAAAGAAGGGCTACTTTAATATTTATTTCAGCGGAGCGGTGGCTAAGTGTGTGCCAATCAACCCGTGGATCGTGGGTTCGAGCCCTACTGAGAACACGGCCTCTTTTCTGCATATGATCCCAGTAGGTTTTAACGGGAAAGGGTGTCAAGATTGTTCAAAACAATTTTACCAAAACGAGCTGAAATAAATTGTTAAATCTACAGTATTTTTGTTTCACCCTTTGTCTTTTTATCAGTAAATCCATGAAACTTTAAATTTTTAAATTACAATAATCCAAAATTTCAATCTTTTTTAATAAGACGGGACTGAAAAGGGGCGATTCGAGTTTTTACGAGGAGAGTTATAGATAAAAACTCGTAGTAACGGGAGACGACGTAAGGATAAAATCGGAATCATTGTCACACCGGGAAAATAGCACGTCCCCGGGACATTTTTGAGTGCAAAAACGGAAGTTGCATTGATAAAAATCTCGTCTGCAACGGGAAAAATAATTGTCCCGATGGATCGGACGAAAAGGGCTGCCACAAACATCCTACAAATGGCAGCTGTGCTGGAAAGTTCGAATGTACGGATGGCAACTGTGTAGACAAGAATAAAGTATGTGACGGCAAAAATGACTGCCCGGACAAATCAGACGAAACCGGATGTCACGTGAATATCAACCGAGTGCTGCTGTACGTTTTGATAGGACTGGCAGGGGTGTTGGTGATACTGCTTGTAGTTGTCGTGATAGTATTATGCTGCAAATATTGTTGTATATCGTTTCGTATGGCTTCGGTCTATAGAAAACTGAGCTAGATTTACAGATCTTGAATGATATACCTTATTTTGTCTGCAGACTGAGTTTCTTTTAGTGAAAGCAGTCCAGTTCTATTGGTTTTTTAATAATATTCTTTTGTTCTGAATTGAATCTGATTACCTTGTTCTAAATTATATACTTAAATGGTTTCTTTATATGTTTACGTTGGTTTCTAATGGACATAAAAAGAGAGGCCAATAATGCTGTCATGCTAACAGTGTAATTTCTTCCAATAAAAGACCTTGATAGATCTAAATTTGCATGCACTTAAAAGATTTATCTTCTGTTACTGTTAGTCTTTGATAATGTGAGAGTGACGTGTCATTTAATGTGTACAAAAAAGTGTAGAACCATCGAGGGAAAGGTAAAAACGTGTCTTAAAGAATCGAATATAAAAGTAAGTTTGCATATGAATGGCATATGAATGGTAAAACTCTGGGTGGTGAAATTGTTTTAGTCTTTGTGTTTGTTGTAATCAAATATTTTGTCCCGAGTTCGAGTTTCACTCTATCTATAGTCTTATGCCAATTTTGTAGCAGACGTAAAACGAATTGTCATATATAATTAGGTTTGTTGTACATGTATTGTCTAACTATTTAACTATGTAAAATGTTTATACATGTACCTGTAATACTCTAAGAAATTTATAGACCTTAATCAAAACAGCTTAAGTTAGGTTTTATTGATATATATGGTAAGTATATGGGCTGGAATTGACAAATATACTATTTTATTTGGATTCTAATGCATTTGGAGATCAACACCCCAGTGTCTGTGCTCATAACCATCCAATTACATGTAAGGTTCTTCACTTTAATTTCCAGACAGTCTGTCTTTGCTGCAAGACTTTTGTCTTATTGAGAAGGTAGTACTTGTTTAAAGTAATAGCGTACTGAAAATTTGCATATATCAGAGAGTAATAAATACTGGTAATTAACAAGAACACTCGTCTTTTTTTCTATATATATATTACCAATTTTTTTATTGGCATAACCTGTCAAACAATGTATGACTCATATAATGTAAATGTGTGATCATAGCCAGCACTTGTGTGAACAAACTATGAGTCACTAATTAATCTGTGGGAACAAATAATAAGCCATATTCTTGGAATATATTCTATGTCACATCAAGCACATGTGTGAGGACAAATTATAAGTTACATCCTCAGAGTGAATCATGTCACATCCAGCAAATGTGAGGACAAATTGTTGGTAAAACCCTTGGGATAAATTATATGTGTCACATCCAGCACAAGTGTGAGGACAAATTATAAGTTACATCCTTAGAATAACTTTTTTGTCACACCAAGCAAATGTTTGAGGACAAATCATATGTAAAATCCTTGGAATAAATTGTTTGTCACATCGAGCATGTGTTTGAGGACAAATTATAAGTAATATCCTTGAAATAAATTATATGTCACATCGAGCACATGTGTGAGGACAAACTATAAGTAATATCCTTGGAATAAATTATATGTCACATCCAGCACGTGTTTGAGAACAAATTATAAGTAATATCCTTGGAATAAATTATATGTCACATCCAGCACATGTTTGAGGACAAATTATAAGTAATATCCTTGGAATAAATTATATGTCACATCCAGCACATGTTTGAGGACAAACTATAAGTAATAATCCTTGGAAAAATTATATATGTCACATCCAGCACATGTTTGAGGACAAACTATAAGTAATATCCTTGGAATAAATTATATGTCACATCCAGCCACATGTTTGAGGACAAAACTATAAGTAATATCCTTGGAATAAATTATATATGTCACATCCAGCACATGTTTGAGGACAAATTATAAGTAATATCCTTGGAATAAATTATATGTCACATCCAGCACATGTGTGAGGACAAATTATAAGTAAAGTCCTTGGAATAAATTATATGTCACATCCAGCACGTGTTTGAGAACAAATTATAAGTTACATCCTAGGAAATATTATATGTCATATCCAGCACATACATGTGAGAACAAACTATTACAGATTTAATTTCATTCAAGTCCTCCTGCATGATGCACTTTATTCATTTCACTTTCTTTGACTCGTCATGTTTTGTATCAGTATCTTGACTACCTGCAAAGGCAAAGTTTAAGGCATATTACCATATCTTATACATTTAGTTTTTACTTACTGGTATATAGACAATACTTACTGGTATATAGACAATATTGAATGAGTGATGATTTGATACTAAATTTATTGAACAAGTTGAAAACAATCATGTGAGCTTTTGGTGAGCATAATATTGTAATACGCAACAAGTTCAATTAATATAGTATTGAATCTATACAAAAATAATATTAATATTTTTTATTCCAATTTAAAAAAAAATTTTAAAAAAGTCATAAAAACTATAGTGTAAAACTAACATTGGCCCTGCCCCTTTAAAACGTGTTTGTATATAAAGTAAAAGGCGTCAATTTTAAAATTGGGAAACCCCTGGTGTTATAATATTCTGTTTAAAATTAAAAAGGGGCCTTTTTTTAAAACCCTTTTTCTGCCATGGGTTTAAAGTGATAAAAAACCTTAAAACCCAAAATTTAAAAAAAATTTTAATAAAAAGTATATAAGAGTATTTTGTCTTGTCTTATTGTAACTGAAAGTGATAAGTCTTTGCCATCAGTATTAAAACAAGAAACTGCATGAGTACACACTTTTTATCTTGAGCCTAAACAAGAAAAACAAGGAAAAAATATATTTTAGTCAAACAGAACCTGTTCTTATTTATAACTAAAAGCCATGACTTGTGCAAAGCTATGTTTTGTCAAACAGATATCTGGGTGGGGGTGTTTAAGTGTAGTATATCTTACCTTGATGTATTAATACTAGTCCTGCAAGTATTAAGCATGAACCACACCACCATAACAAAGAGAATGTTTCACCAAAAAGTAACAAACCTAGCAAAGCCTGCAATAAAAAAATGATGAAAAAATAATAATAATGATGATGATGATCACAGTGATGGTGATGATGATGATGATTATTATGATGAATGTTGCATTTCATTCATATTGAAACAACAGTTTTGTTATTTTTGTCATCTTATACTTTTATCAAAATTCATTCAACAGCATTTTACTTTTTCTTTTGTATTCCAATTTGGTTTTAAGCCAGTCTCACTGATATGTTAAAGGTCATGTGTCAAGTTTTCAACTTTACTGGTGAAGAAAAGCTCAAGGTGCCAAATTTATGCATTATTATTAATCCCTAAGCAGGTGTGGGGAGGGCCACCTGAGTAAAACCACAGACCTTCCTTAAGTGATGAATCTAAAAATTCTTCACATAAGAGTACTCAAAGATTATGGAAGGATTTTGATTCCACAGCAGTAATGGCCAGGTACACGCTTCAAAGTGTCAGCAGCTTTGACCAATCGGCCATGGAGGCGCCTACAGCATTTACTGTATTACTTATCATACTTACAAGAAATAAATGAGAATTTTTACAAGCATTTCTTAATACTAAGACATAGCAAGAAAACATTTGTTTTCAAAACTAAACTCATACCACAGGAGCTTGACATTCTGTCAATAATTAAAAAATATAAGCAAATAAGAAATAACGACAAATATACCCCTCTATATTATTTATTTTATAGAGGGGCATATTTGCCATTTCTTCTAAATTTTTTGCTCATACACACTAGTACATGTAACTTACAGACACTAGAAAGTTAGCTCCTGTATTGGTTATGGTTGCCTCTACTGTAGATGGACAAAACTGCAGAGATTTTGTGTAAAATGTCCACATCAAGGCATTGAAGAGAAATATTCCTCCAACACAAATACCTCTAAGTATATAAGATATCTGTAAATAAAATACAATTACATAGAAAATATGAATATACATTTAATAACAGACAAGTTCTTTGTCATAAAAAAAAATTGAGGATTGCCCACAAAACTGTTGTAAGTGTTGTTTTTATTTTACGTATAAGTTACTGCAGTTTTGAAGTCAACCCTCGAAATACACAAGAGAACAGAACAAAATTACATTATTATACTAGCACAGTTGACATGATACATATAAAAACATTTAAATTTATAAATTGAAGTAATATCAGTTATTAGATAGCTTATAAACATATACGGTACATATCATGTATGCTCAGTAACAGTCAAAATGTTACGGATTTTAGGAGAACAAATGTACATCTTGTAAAGTATAAACATGTTTGTGTTATCACTATTTTGTGAAAGCCTGCTTGATTTTATTATAACTCCCATGATCCCAACAACAAAACATACATGATAAAAATAATAATCTTAAAGTAGATATGCGATATGTAATAACCTTAAATAGATATGGTACATGTAATTAGCTTAAAGTAGACATAAAACATGTAATAACCTTAAAGTAGTCATAATACATGTAATAACCTTAAAGTAGACATGATACATGTAATAACCTTAAAGTAGACATGATACATGTAATAACCTTAAAGTAGACATGATACATGTAATAACCTTAAAGTAGACATGATGCATGTAATAACCTTAAAGTAGACATGATGCATGTAACAAGAGCTGTCTGTAGGACAGCACGCTCGACTATTCTAAGTGCTTGATAGTAAAAGAGCCTTGATATTGTTAAATTTTTTAAGTTCACAAAAGGGCTAATTTTTTTTTATAAATTCATGTTATAGGCCTTAGAGAGAGTCTAATTATACAGAATTGGCTTGACTATTAGGAAGGTAATGTCACAAGGGTTTTTTATTGAGTATAATAATACTAATTACCTATGAATACATAAATTTGACAGAAAAGGTACAAAGGCTTGTTATTAAGATGTTTTATCAAGTAAATCACTACTTTATTATTATGAATGCATAAAATTGTCCCAAAAAAGGCACAAACCCTTCAGTAGTTATTGAGATAACAGCTTACAAGCAAAACTTTACCAATGGCATCAATACGAATTATCGAATTTCTAAGTTGAAAAAGGGGAGAAAAGTCAGCCTAAATGCAAGATAGAATTATGGATCTTTGTCAGTGACCTACAATTATGACCCTAAATGCATATGTGAAGTTTTAAATAAATATCTTTAATAGTTATTGAGATATGTAAAACTTGCATGTAAACATTAACCAAGAAACTAAGTAGAAAAGGGGATATGAATCAGCCTTAATGCAAGATAGAGTTATGGAACTTGGTCAGTGACATACAATTATGACCCTCCAATTATGACCCTAAGTGCATGTGTAAAGTTTCAAGTAAATATCTTTGAAGACCGTTAACCTTTAACCAAAATTTCTAAGTTTCAAAGGGGCAAATAATTCTGCAAATATTGCAGACAGAGTTATGCAATTTTGCAAACTGATGTACATTGTTACTATAAATAAGTATTTAAATTTCAATTGATTATCTCAAGCAATAATTGAGATATTTGACTTTACAAAAAACTTTAACCAAAATTTCTAAGTTCCAAAGGGGCATAATTCTGTCAATATGGTAGGCAGAGTTATCCAACTTGTCAATCTGATGTACATTGTTACTATAAATAAGTACTGTAAGTTTCAATTGAATATCTCAAGCAATAATTGAGATATTTGACTTTACAAAAAACTTTAACCAAAATTTCTAAGTTAAAAAGGGGCATTATTCTGTCAATATTGTAGGCAGAGTTATCCAACTTGTCAATCTGATGTACCTTGTTACTATAAATAAGTATTGTAAGTTTCAATTGAATATCTCAAGCAATAATTGAGATATTTGACTTTACAAAAAACTTTAACCAAAATTTCTAAGTTAAAAGGGGCATAATTCTGTCAATATTGTAGGCAGAGTTATCCAACTTGTCAATCTGATGTACCTTGTTACTATAAATAAGTATTGTAAGTTTCAATTGAATATCTCAAGTAATAATTGAGATATTTGACTTTACAAAAAACTTTAACCAACGCAGACGCCGACGCGGACGCTGACGCTGACGCCGACGCTGGGGCGACTACAATAGCTCTCATATTCTTCGAATAGTCGAGCTAATAACCTTAAAGTAGACATGATGCATGTAATAACCTTAAAGTAGACATGATACATGTTATAAGCTGAAAGTAGAAATGATACATGTAATAACCTTAAAGTAGATACATGTAATAACCTTAAAGTAGACACAATGCATCATGTAATAATCTTAAAGTAGATATGATACATGTTATAAGCTGAAAGTAGAAATGATACATGTAATAACATTAAAGTAGTCATGATACATGTAATAACTTGAAAGTAGACATGATACATGAAATAACCTTAAAGTTGATATAATACATGTAATAACCTTAAAGTTGATATGATACATGTAATAACCTGAAAGTAAACATGATACATGTAATAACCTTAAAGTAGACATGATACATGAAATAACCTGAAAGTAGACATGATACATGTAATAACCTTAAAGTAGTCATGATACATGTTATAACCTTAAAGTAGTCATGATACATGTAATAACCTGAAAGTAGACATGATACATGAAATAACCTTAAAGTTGATATAATTCATGTAATAACCTGAAAGTAGACATGATACATGTAATAACCTTAAAGTAGTCATGATACATGTAATAACCTTAAAGTAGATATGATACATTTAATAACCTTAAATTAGACATGATGAATGTAATAACATTAATGAAGACATGATACATGTAATAACCTTTAAGTAGACATGCACGGATTTCATTTTTATCCAAGGCAACAGATGCTCCAAAGAAAACAACGGATTTTGCCATAGGTCAAGGGTGTACTTTAATATATACAGGCTGAAAATACAACTGATTTTCACAGCATTATAACCGATGGGTTGGATCGCCAATCGGTTAATAATGAAAACCCTGGACATTATACATGTAATAACCTGAAAGTAGACATGAATCATGTTATATCATTTAAGTAGACATGATACATGTAATAACCTAAAAGTAGACATGATACATGTAATAACCTTAAAAACGACATGAATAACCTTACACAAGACTTGATACACAATTACATGTATGTGGAAGACAGGCTGATCCATTGATGTTACTTAAGCACTCCTGCTATAATCATGTACAGTAATACTACAATTATTTGGCATTTGCATGTATATGACTTTCACATATCTATGTAATATACTTGATATAAAAAAAATAACTCATTGAAAACACACAGAAAACATACATACTGAAAATTTATACTTACTGAATCACAAACAACACTCATTTTGACAGTCTCAAAACTTATAGCAAAAGTCAAGCATAGTTCATGAACAACATCTGCAGTGACTGCAAGTTTGGCTGACACTGATGCCAAAGCTGCCATCATACCAGCTACAACTGCTAAACACAATCCCCAGGTATGATTGTCCAACATGGTTTGGAAATTCTGATGGTAATGCTGTAAATAACAAGAGCTGTCCGTAAGACAGCGCGCTCGACTTTTTTATTGCTTGCCAATAAAAAAAGTTTTTGCAGTAAAAGGCAATACAAGAATCTCTGTATTTTTAAAGTGAACAATGGCCATGAGCATTAAGATATTTAGTGAAGAATTATTTTACTGAATTGAATATTACAGCAATGTTTATATGACATAATTTATGGTAAAGTGAACAAGTGGATAGGAATGAATTTTTTTAGATTTTTTAAGTTTTTTAGTGCTTGCCTATAATACAAAACATTGACAGTTAAGGGCCATAATTCAAATAAAATCTTTGACAGAATTACCTTCTCCTGGACATGTTTGGGAATCATGATTGTAAACAAGTATTCCAACTTTCAAATTAATATCTCAAACAGTTCAGTCAAAAAGTGGACTGGTACTAAAAACTTAACCAAGATTCTAAGTTGATAAAAGGCCTTAATTTTTAAAACAAATCCTTGACAGAGTTACCTTCTCTTGCGTACAGATGGGGGTAATGATGTGAAATAGCATTAAAAGTTTCAAAGCAATATCTCAAAGGGTTAAGGCAATAAGTGGATTTTACCCATATTCAATGTATTTTCTAAGTCAAAAAGGGGCATAATTCTGTCAAAAACCTTGACAGAGTTATGTCCTCTTGTCTGTTGATGAAGGTCGTGATGGTAAACAAGTATGGTCAGTTTCAAAGCAATACCTCCAATGGTTTTGAAATAAAGTGAGGTGGTACAAAAACTTAACCAAGCTCAATACACTTTCTAAGTCAAAAAAGGGCCATAATTCTGTCAAAAACCTTGACAGAGTTATGTACTCTTGTCTGTAGATGGAGGTTATGATGGTGAACAAGTATGGTAAGTTTCAAAGCCATACTTGTAATACTTCTGAAATAAAGTGGGGTGGTACGAAAAACTTAACCAAGGTGTGACGCCGACGCCGACGCCGGGGCGAGTAGGATAGCTCCCCTTTTCATAGAAAAGTCGAGCTAAAAATGACCTTTCCAAAGTCGTTTGCTAGGGAATGTAACGATTCGCCACACTAACGATTCGCCACATAACCATTCGACACAGAGTAATAACGATTCGCCACAGTTAAATAACGATTCGCCACATGTTCAAATACAAACTTTTTCACACCTGTTTTCAAATTGTTGATGGAAAAAAAGATTCCATTTTATATTTCATTTGTTAATTACATAAATTAATTACACTGAATACAGCTTTTATTGAATAAAAAACACGAAAACAAAATATTTTATTAACAAAATTACATAACACATTTTATAACTTCGTTATATATTTAAACTGGAAAAAATTTACTTACAACTTTTATAGAATAAAACACATAAAAATAAATATTTTATTAACAAAATTACATAACACATTTTATAACTTCTTTATTTATATAAACTGGAAAAATATAATAACTAACTTTTATAGAATAAAAACACATGGAAATAAATATATTTTATTACCAAAATTACATCACACATTGTAGATGAGAAAAACTTCGTTATTTATATAAACTGGAAAATTATACGAATTAAACACCTTTTATTGAATAAAGACACATGAATATTTTATTACCAAAATTACATTACACATTTTAGATAAGTTAAGTATATAACTAACATATTTTATTACAAAATTTACATACATGTACATAAGCTTAATTGCCGCATTGTTTTGAAATCTGCTCACATTGTCAGATAATTAAAGGATTATTTCGGCGTCAATTAAATATTTCTACAACAAGCTATTATTAAAATTAAAGGTGTGACAAATGTTTTAGATATGCATTCTTTAATCAATTATCGTAAATCAATTTTCGTAATGATCACATGTTTTTGCAATATTTTTTTAAATATTTGATATATATATAATATATTTATATATATAAATTTTAATTGACATTTATGTTTATGATTAATTCAATATTTATTTCAACATATAATTACTTTCTTGTAAATGTACTCCTGTAATAATGTTACTTTGATAAATTGAAAATCCGCGATGGGGGCTTTAAGTTCATGTTACGTGTATTAAGAAACATTATTAAATTATTGTCATTGTCAAATTATTAAAACAAAAGGTAAAAATTTGTTGATAACTAAAAAAATCATTGTTAGATCTATAATCAAATTGTGGCGAATCGTTATTTAACTGTTGCGAATCGTAATTACTCTGTGGCGAATCGTTATGTGGCGAATCGTTAGTGTGGCGAATCGTTACTAATTCGTTTGCTATGGGCTTTGTTATAAAGATCAATAGTAATTTGCTATGATTTTAAATTGTAAAATAACAAACAAATGTGTAAATTACATCTTCATACATTTCTCTAGTTTTAAAGTACGAAATATCTTTGGTACGAATACACAGATATTTTACAAAATAAACGGTTCACAATATTCTAACAACCTGTCAGTTAGCTATTATGTGTTGAACGTTTTTGTACTTTTATTTCGGAGCAGTTGATATGGTGAAATTCAAATCAAAACTCAAAATAAGTTAATTTTTCATATTTAAAAAAATATAATTTCCAATTGTTTATGGGCGCAGCCATGTTTCAATCTCGCACATAATTTTCATTTAATATAGACCAAAAAAGAAGTTATAAATTTAAAGTTCAATGAAATTAATTTGCAAAAGTATCCAAATAAAATAAACTGATATTGTTTCCAACTGAACAAATTGATGTACCCAATTATAGGATCGCAGTAACTCATGCGGTAAAATAAAGATGGCGGAAATATCTGTCAGCATGAAGGCGTATGCCAAACTTTTGCTTCATGCAGCAAAATATCCTCATTGTGCCGTAAATGGACTTCTTTTAGCTGAAGATACAAAAACGAGCAAAGAGAAAAAGTCAATAAGATTTGTAGACTGTATCCCACTTTTTCATCTTTCTCTTAGTTTGGCTCCCATGCTGGAAGCTGCCCTTTTACAGGTAAAGCCATAGTAATGTTATCTGTGGTATATGGTTTAATTACTTTTATACAACACAGCACATAGCAATCAGCTTACTCTAAAATTAAAACAGTTGCTTGGGGAATCTATTTACTGAATAAACTTTACTGTACAATGTACACAATAGTCAAAATATTTCCCATTCATACATAATATGAAATTAGGCAAAGCCTATGAATGGGGAAGTCGGTAAAAAAATCCTTTCATTTTTCCGTTTTAAAGGTGTCATTCGGTATTATATGTACCCACTTCCGTTTTCACTCGGAACACTCGACGATTATTATTAATCCGAAAATTTGAGATTTGTTCTGTTATCGGAATACACTGCATTTTATCATTGAGTAACATTGTAAATGGCGGCGCCTAACTAGAACTGACACTGAAAATTTCATTGATAGGTATAGAATTCTATATATTTTTTAATTGTTTTTTATTTGAATTTTCTTTTAAATATACACGTGTAGTCTATAGCCGGGCAAGCCAAAGAAAGCGGGCCCGGACTTTGACTTCCCCGTATAATAGCGCAGTATCTCATCGCGTAGAACAATACTCGACGATAATTATTGATGTGAAAAGTTGCGATTGTTCGTTATCAGAATACCCCGCCTATTAATATTGTTTTACATTGAAAATGGCGTCGCCCCACTAAAACTGACATTGAAAGTTACATTGATAGGTATAGAATTCTAGATATTCTTTAATTTTTTTTATTTTGATTTTCTTTTAAATAATATGAAATTAGGCAAAGCCTGTGAATGGAGAAGTCGATTAAAAAATAGTTTATTTTCCGTTTATAAAGGTGTCGTTCGGTATTTTATGCACTGCTTCCGTTTTCACTCGGAATACTCTATGATTATTATTGATCCGAAAAGTTGCGATTGTTCGCTATATAGCGCCTATTATCGTTGAGTTACACTTGAAAATGGCGGCGCCCGACTAAAACTGACATTGAAATTTTCGTTGATAGGTGTAGAATTCTATATATATTCCTTAATTGTTTTTTATTTGATTTTCTTTAAATATACATGTGTAGTCTATAGCCAGGCAAGGCAAAGCCCCAGCACGCTCAGCCGTTCCAGCCTTTGACTTCCCCGAAATAGTTATTTTTTTATTTTACATTTTCCGTTTTAAAGGTTTCATTCGGTAATTGATGCATCACTTCCGTTTTCTCTCAGAACACATCGAAGATTACACAATAGTCAAAATATTTCCCATACATATAATAGCACAGTATCCCATCGCGTAGTACAACACTCGACAATTATTATTAAATAATCTAAAAAGTTGTGATTGTTCTGTTATCGGAATACCCGAGATATTATCATTGAGTTACATTGAAAATGGCAGCGCCCAACTAGATATGTCACTAAAAATTCATATGTAGGTATAGAATTCTATATATTCTCTAAATTGTTTTCATATGATTTCCTTTTAAGTATACCCATGTAGTCTATAATAGTCTTACTCTGTAGCCGGGCAAGCCAAAGCCTGGGCCCCACCTGGTCCCGGTCCTTGACTTCCCGGTATAATGGATGACATTCCAAAGTGATATATTTAAAACAGGTTGAATATTATTGTTATTAACTTACTAATTTATATTAAAAGCAAATCATCATTTTTATGGGTTGATTTGTGACCAAAAAAAAAAATGATGCGAATTGTGAACAAGGTAAATTGTAAGTCAACAAGCTGATGAATTCATGTATTTTGTTTATTTACAGATAGACTCATATTGTAAAAGTAAAGGCTACGTGATTGGAGGATATTATCAGGCTAATGAACATCTTTCAGATAACTCGTAAATATATATATTTTTTCACCTAGTTTTCATTTATTAAGAAAGTCATAGTCTTTATGAATGATGCATAATAGACTTTATGAATGATGCATCATTATTTATTTACCTTAGATAAATCATTTCGGGTTTAATGATTTTAATTTTCTGTCCTAGATGCTCTATGTTTGAACCCCTTTCAGCCTGTACATTAAAATATCACCCTTGACCCTTGGCAAATTTTCCTTGGCGAATCTGTTGCCTCAGATAGAAATGAAAACCCTGGAAGAGTGACAAGAAACATAGAAAAGCAGCCAGTGTAATTTATGAATTTATGTTGAAGAGAATTACATGTATATTGTAGACAAACATATTTATCAGTTATTTTTTATGCTTAAACCTGTTTTTGTTTTTTTTGTCAGGGTTAACAATGTAGCAAGACATATTGGTAAGAAAATACACGAATATTATCCTGATGCTTGTATATTTATGGTAAGTATATTAAATATGTATTATGTCCATTTAAGGTCAAAAAAATATTGCAAATGAAATTAATATTAAGAGACAACTACCCTAATAATTTGATAATTATGTGCTGATGTTTGATTAGAAACAAGATGAAAAATTAGTAAGTTAAGAATATCCCCCTGAACATGAATTTCTTAAATCTTGCCACAGCATTTTGCTTTTTAAAGTTTTTCTAATTATATTTGTAAAAAGGAATCATGCCGCATTTTGTGTGAGCACTACATCTAGTTATTAATATCCCAGCATACATTATTTGTTAAAATATCAATCCTAAAATATATTTAAACAATGTTGTTTATTAAGTATTGATGTGAATATTTTAAATAGTTATCGGTAGTTCTCCCTACCAAGTTCTGTTTTTATCTCCGGCCTATAAAACCAAAAGGCGGATATTGAAATGGTGCTGTGGTTGTCTGTTGGTCCAGATCATTATCTTAGATTTGGAATATCCAATATTCTTGAACCTGATAGGAATAGGGCATTTAGACAGTAGCCAAATGCCATCAAAATCAAATCACATGACTTTTAGGTCTCGGGGTTTTGCCCCTTGGTTATATAAAAAGTGATGTTTTGTGTAATTGATAAAGGCACCAAAACATTTTCTTCCGTATTCTGTCAATTAATTGTGGGAATATCATTAAAAAAAATAATCGGCTAACTGTTTAGAGCCTGTTCAATCTGCATCCATAGACATGCAGGCTGACCTGGCTCTATACTTGTGGCAAAGGCTAAACTTTTTTAGTTGCTGCAAGGTAACGGTTAATTTTTTTTTGTGATTTCAGATTGACAATAATCGTGTTAGTCCGGAAAGTCCTTCAGAAGTTTATAGAGTTCATACAATGAAGGAAACAGGCTGGAAAGAAGCGGACAAAAGGTTTGTACATTCACAAAGCAGGGATCGAAAAAATTATTTATTAAAGAGCCAATCATCCTGCAGGACTAATGGCTTCAAATTTCTACTCGTTTTTCACGCTATGCTAATCCTCATGCATTTTGTGGATGATTTTCAAAATAATCTTTGCTGATTTTTATTTTACGATGGAAAACTGGTAATAAAACTTGTGTTTTAAGTTATGTAAAGAGCATTGTCATTTACATTCTACTCACACCTGTATCCAATTAACAATGCTTTCAGAGCTTTATAATGTGTGCGATTTATACATAATCGAAAGCACGAGCTTTGTTTCCAATATTCCATTGTTAAATGTTTACAAACACATTATGAGAATTCTGGCAGTCATTGGCTAATTTCCGCTTGTCCTGCCAGATGACCATACTACAATTTTGTACTTGGCCTGCCTCAATCTCTACTCGTAAATACGATCGGACAAAAGAAATTTTCGATCCTTGCAAAGATGCTTTTATATAGAACTGCATTATAAAATTCTTACGCACATACATAAGTAGGGCACTTGAAACAGAAAAATATGCAAAGGATAATCAAGACATATAATCTTGATTAAATTGAAAAAACATTTTTTATGTGCCCCCACTTTAGTGGTGGGCATTTAGATTTACCCTTGTCCGTCCATCCGTTCTCTTTTGTGTCGCATGTAACTCTAAAAGTATTTGACCTTGAGTCATGAAACTTTACAGGAATGTTGATCAGCATGTGTAGTTGTGCACCTGGGTATTTTTGTGTGGATCTATATAGTAATTTTAGAGTTATTGCCCTTGACAATTTTCAACTTGTTCTGCATGTAACCTTGATTAAATTGAAAAAACATTTTTTATGTGCCCCCACTTTAGTGGTGGGCATTTAGATTTACCCTTGTCCGTCCATCCGTTCTCTTTTGTGTCGCATGTAACTCAAAAAAGATTTGACCTAGAGTCATCAGATTGACAAAACAGTGGCGTGTGGGGGCACCCGTGTCCTATGGACACATTTCTAGTTTTATATTTTTTTTTGGTGCAATTTGTCCGATTAAAGTTTAAGGCGTTTACAGGGTTCTCGGGGACGCTTATTTTGGCATCCCGGTACGCATGTTTATTGCAGCTGGACGCAAATATTTCAGAGCAAGGATTCCACGTACGCTTAATTTTGCCCGGGGACGCATAAACATTACCGATTGTTTACAACCACAAATACACAAATGCGTCAGCGCGTGTCAGTCTATAGGTAGGCGGTCCTATGCACATCGACCCGTGAAGCAATTAGCCAATCAGTGATAACGCTTCCGATCATTATCACGCAATAGTGATCAGACTAATGTATACACGCGCTGTACAGTACATGTATTTATGATGTAATTACCAGATATATCACAAGGTGATAATTTTATATCTTTGATCAACAGTTGATTGGAAATAAGCAAATTTTACCGACAAAAGGATAAAATTATCGACTATTTACGCCGCAAGTTTAAAGACTGTTTTCTCAAATTACAATTGAGTGTAATTTTGAATGATTGTCGAATATTTTCGGCATTATAATGATTGTCGAATATTTTCGGCATTTTCTAGGCACAATTTTGCTTTAGTTTCATTCTTGCAAAAACTTTCTATAAGAGTATTAAGAATTTAAGATATTGTGCCGAAATGCCAGGTACACATACGCTTTTCTCTATCCGAAAATTGATCCCGAACATCGGCGATTTCACGTTCGCCAGAAACCCTAAAATTTCGCAAAAATTCTCGGTTTCCAAGCCAAACATGCGAATGAATTGTTTCTTTATTATTTAATCAACATTAAATCTTTAAATGTCGATCTTTAATTTGCCCCCTTTTGAAGATATTTGCTAAAATAATCGTCGATCGGATGAATCTCTTACACACTTTGTGAATCTGTACACGATTTTCCTATTCATTCCGCTAAACGCTGCCTATATACATTTACGTTTTTTTTTAACAAATACAAACTTTTTGTCTTAAGAGTGGACTTATTTAACCAGAGAAAAATTTGATTTGGTATAAAAGTGAGAAAAAAAAACAAACTTCCATGGGTTGATGCATTATAATGAAATAATTTCATAATAAATATTAACAACAAAACAATAATTATACTATGTAGTTCAGAGTTTCTTTTGAATAACTATTTACTTTGGAAGTCTCTTGAACATTCAAAATATCAGCAATGCTATTGTGAACATTGAATGACTAATCTGTAAACATATTTATTGCGACCCGCTTTTGGACTCCAACTTTTTCAGGGTTGGGAGTCCATGGACTCCATGTTTTAAAGTCCTAGTGAGAACCCTGGTTTAAATGCTTTTCATTTTTGGGTTTTTCTGCAGGGTAAGGATAAAGTCACGGTTGTACTATATTTAGTATCTAGGTTGCTATTTTTTTTTCTTTTATATTGACAGACAAACAGTAGATGAAGATACTTTACAAACAGCGTCAGTTTTGTTAGAGCAGGAACAATACAGACATTTAGTGGACTTTGATAATCATCTAGATGACGTGGCGAATGATTGGAGGAATACTAAACTCAATGATATTATAGAGAGATGTCTATAGTGCTAATGTGTAGTGTGTTCAAACGAGGCATTCATATGTATATAAAGTTGGAAATGACAGCGGTCGAGCATTGAAATATGAATTGAGAATCAACATTTCGACAGCCATTTTGGACTCTGTCGACAGGGTCCAATTTTTGTTTGCAGATATAGAACAAATTGATTGAAGGTTGTAGTGAAACATTGGAACACTATGTGAGATGTGTTATGTTACACAGTAGGTCAATGAAGAGACGTAATCCAGCCGTGTTCTACGGATCATTAAGAAAAAAGTGCTTAACAGTTTATTAAGTGTGGAGAAATTGAATGGTTTTGTCAAATAGATTTTACATGCTGCCTTTTGATTGGCTTATTTCATTTGTCAGAGAATTTGTAAATGCTGTCGTTTCATTGGACTATTTAAAAAACGAGGCTTCAGGAAAAACAAACAATCGTATTATAGTGATTGCAGAATTGTCTTTGTTCTTTATTATCAGCTGTAAAATTCATATAATATTATGTATGTTTAATTAAAAAAAAATAACAGTTTAGCACACTTTAATAACTCTTGTATTAGCACAAAAAAATGGTTCACGAAAAAACTGCCATTATTTTAAGCCATTCACAAACTACTCTTGTGAGTGATAAGTAACTTTCTAATGTACATTTAGAGTTTATTTAACATTGCCAGTAAGCTGGGAAATTGTTTGCATTGTCAAAATTCCATAGAAAAATGCTCAGTAAATGTATTGTTAAAAAAGGTTTTGATTTCCTATTTTTTTTTCTTTTTTTAGAGAATTTTGATAACAGTAAATGATTGTTTTGCATGCTGTTTTTTGTGAAAGGGTGAAATGATGTTAAAACTGTTTTTCTGAATCAAAATGTAGTGTTTTTTCCTCCAATTTACTTTAGTTCATTATGTAAAAGAAATGATATGCCAGGCATAAGTTTTTTGCTTTCTTTGTTTTGTGTGTAATGTAGTGCAATACTTAAGTTAATGTAATTCAGAATTTGTGGTTTTATTCTTGAATCCAATGTCAGTCCATGAAAGATACATGTACTTTTGTATTATTTTTATTGATTTTTCACAAAGAATTAATATTAGTATTATAAGGAAAGATAGTTGAATAAAAAATTACATCATGACTGGATAAAACATTCTATCAATTGTAAATTTACAAAATTTCTGCGGTATTCAGTTAATTTTAACAGAAAATTATTCATGTTGCCTCAATTTCAATGTTAATTTATGTAATTGTAACTACTAACAGACTTTCAATTACTATTCCTTTAAGGGCACACAAAGCCTCAGAAATGACTTCAGTTTTCCTTCTCAGGACAAAAACTGTTTAATGTTATTATAAAAAAATTATAAATAATTAAGTTAGAGAATGTTAGATGTTTATCATGTACAGAATGTAGAATGTAAAATAACTTGTCATATTATTGTAAGTAGCCAAATGTTGGCAAAATAGTATTTTATCTACCATTATAAATGCTTCATGTAGGTTACTAGATAATAATATGTATAATATATGGCCAGAATGTATAAGAACCAAACAATAGTTTGTCAGTTATGGTCAATTCAGAGAAAAATATTTTTCAAGTTTTTACTAAATACATGCATGAAGATATAACTGACCCCCAGGTTGGGGCCAATTTTGACACTATGGGCAAAATTTGAACCACTTTGGTAGAGGACCTACAGATTATAAACCAAATATCAAAGCTCTGGACCTTGTACTTTCAGACAAGAAGATTTTTTAGTTGTTTTTTTAGCTCACCTGTCACAAAGTGACAGGGTGAGCTTTTGTGATCGCTTTTCGTCTGGCGTCCGTCCGTCGTCTGTCAATCCGTAAACTTTTACTGTAAGTGACATCTCCTCATAAACCACTAAGTCAATTTCATCCAAACTTCACAGGAATGTTCCTTTGGTGGTCACCTTTAATAATTGTTCAAAGAATTTAATTCCATGCAGAACTCTGGTTGCCATGGCAACCGAATGAAAAAACTTTAAATATCTTCTTTTAAAAAACCCTAAAAGCTAAAGCTTAGATATTTGGCATGAAACATCTTCTAGTGAATGTCTACCAAGTTTGTTCAAATAAAAGCCCTGGGGTCAAAATTGGCCCCGCCCCAGGGGGTCATTGATTTTCCCTATATGCATATAGTAAAAACTTAAAAAATCTTCTTTAAAAGAACCCAAAGAGCTAGAGCTTAGATATTTAGCATGAAACATCTTCTAATGAGTGTCTACCAAGTTTGTTCAAATAAAAGCCCTGGGGTCAAAATTGGCCCCGCCCCAGGGGGTCATTGATTTTCCCTATATGCATAAAGTAAAAACTTAAAAAATCTTATAAAAAGAACTCAAAGAGCTACAGCTAAGATATTTAGCATGAAACATGTTCTAATGGGTGTCTACCAAGTTTGTTCAAATGAAAGCCCTGGGGTCAAAATTGGCCCTGCCCTGGGGGTCATTGATTTTCCTTATTTGTGTATAGCAAAAACTTAAAAATCTTCTTTGAAAAAACCAAATAGTTAGAGTTTAGATATTAAGCATGAAACATCTTCTAGTAAGTGTCTACAAAGTTTGTTCATATAAAAGCCCTGGGGTCAAAACAGGCCCCGCTCCAGGGGTGTCATTGTTTTTAACTAATTATATGTATAGTAAAAACTTAAAAAAATCTTCTTTTAAAAAACCCAATGAGCTAGAGCTTAGATGTTTAGCAAGAAACATCTTCTAATGGGTGTCTACCAAGTTTGTTCAAGTAAAAGCCCTTGGGTTAAAATTAGCCCTGATGGGTGGGGGAATATCATTGTTTTTCATTATATGTGTGAAATAAAAACTTAACATCATGAAACATCATCTAATTGGTGTCTTCCAAGTTTGTTCAAATAAAAGCCCTGGATTTAAAGTGGCCCAGGTCCTGTGGCCTATATGCAGGTGAGCGACCTCAGGGCCATCATGGCCCTCTTGTTTAAATAATGCTTTTGTTTATTTAAAGAATAAATGTAATGTGTTCAAATTTTAATATATATACCTTTTGTGCATGTGTTTTTCTTTGGTGTTTTATCTCTTTTGAGCATAAGGTTCTGTTTATGAGTTACAATGATTGTTTGGTTTCCAACGTTTTTAATCTCCTATTTACGCAACACGATCAAAAACTGCAGCAGGTGTGTACGTTTTTTGGGATTTTTCCCCAAATTCAGGAATTAGGACTCCATAATGCCATATTGTCTTCGACATAAAGCTATAAACAAAATGGGTAGCTTAATGTAGGATTGTATTTAAAGATATCTACTGTTTACATGTACCCATGCTTCTTAGAAGTGTTCATCAGATTGTTGTATTTGTATGCCTTCATTGTAATGTCAGTAACTCAATTTATTAATATAACAATGGTTTCCAATGGCATCCACAAAGATTTTGGCTGAAAATTGAGTCATAATAACTTTTAAATTATTTTTGAACCATACAGTAGCATTAAAGTTTAAAACTTTTTTTAACAGGTTCAAAGGTCAAATATGTAATCTGTATTTTCCAGAAGAATATTGTTTTTCTTCCTCTGTAAAAAGAGTCATTTTGATATATCACTGGAAGAGATTGCATAGACAAACAAGATATGTAATATTACAGCAAGGCAGTAAATGAATTAATAAAAAATCATTTTCATATTTTTGGTGCAAATTCTAGAGCAAAATGTGGCATGTTGGTCTGTTATGTTTAGTTGTGGTATGTATTTTTGAGGGTATCATGGCTCAAGCAACTCTCAACATGTCTTGGTGTGTAAAGATAATAAGTGACACTATTATAAGTGTCCGAGAAAAGAGCGGGGCAATCTCTTGAAAATCGGCTTTTTGTCTTTGCTTCGGTTTTATATGGTAACTTGTACAAAGTATTGGAGCATCAGTTAGAATTATAATTTTAATGAGATTGTGTAGGAGCTGAAAGAACAGAACAGAGGTACATATACATTAATTTTGTAATTCATACAATTGAATTTAAACACTTTGCTTCGGTTTTATATGGTAACTTGTACGAGGTATTGGAGCATCAGTTAGAATTATAATTTTAATGAGATTGTGTAGTAGCTGAAAGAACAGAACAGAGGTACATATACATTAATTTTGTAATTCATACAATTGAATTTAAACACTAATGTGTAATACATTTTTAGCAAGTGTTTGTAGCCTCTTTCTATTATAAATTTTACACATTTTATAATTTACCAAGTTAACTGCCATGAAACTAATTCAATTGCGTACCATCTTTTTGATCTGTTTATTTTTTATTTATTCTGTAATGATGTACATGTACAATGTTGGTGTCTTGTTGTAAATTGTACCGTTAGTCTACTCTATCTCACAAAGTTTATGATAATTATGTATCCATTATTATTGAAAATAAACAGACCAATCTAGCATTTTTCTCTTGTTATACTTGCCTATCATATCTTATAATACTTTTACCCAACATGTGTTATTACACCAAACATATCTCATACTTACCCAACATGTTTAATTATGCTTGACCAAACATGTCTTTAAGCAGGGTCTTTCAGTTTCAAATAAAAAAACAATTGTTATTTTTATGCCCCCGGGCATATAGTAATTGAACCGTCCGTACGAGGTTAACCTAGAACGGCAAGTTGGAAATATCTTAAGTTCTATCTATATTAATGGCTTCATAATTTCCACACTAGCTTATCAATACAAAGTACATGATATTGCCAAGTTATATAACTGTGTCATCCATATTTCCCAGTTATTTCCCTTTTTTCACTTTGAAAATAGGGCCTTGTCTGGTTAACCTATTCCGGCAAGTTGGATTTATCGTAAATTTCTCTTAATTGCTTAATTTATTTAATGATATCTTGCATATTTGGTAGGTCGATACCTTTAATGGTCCTCTAATTTTTTGTGGAGTAAGTGGTCTCTAGGGTCAAGGTCAAGGTCACTGGTTTAGAAAATAAATTTAAACATTTTTGCTCATACAGCCTTTATTTTTTGGTAGATGCCTTTTATGTATAATACAAACATGCCAAGGGAGGTCCTCCTTCTTTGGGTAAAGTAAGGGGTCATTTGGGTCAAGGTCAATGTCACCAATGTTAAAAATAGATTTTTACATGTGTATTAACCATATTCTATAGACAGATGTCATTTATAATTGATAGGAACATAAAATTGGATGGAGTTAGTGGTCAGTTGGGTCAAGGTCACCAGTGCTAAAAATAGATTTTTACACTTTTGCTCATACACCCTTTATTTATTGACAGATATATTTCATATTTGGTAGGAAGATAACTTGCATGGTATTCATCCGTTTGATTGGGGTAGGGATCAGTGGGTCAAGGTCACTTGTGCTAAAAATAGATTTTTACACTTTTGCCCATACAGGCTTTATTTATTGACAGGTGTATTTCATATTTGATAGGAAGATAACTTGCATGGTATTTTTCCTTTTGATCAGTGTGTCAAGGTCACTAGTGCAAAAAATAGATTTTAACATTTTTGCCCATACAGCCTTTATTTATTGACAGATATATTTCATATTTGGTAGGAAGATAACTTGCATGTTATTCTTACTGTGGATGGAGTTAGGGGTCAGTTGGGTCAAGGTCACAAGTGCTAAAAATAGATTTTTACACTTTTACCCATACAGCCTTTATTTATTGACAGATTAATTATCCCCCGCCGATGGAATCGGGAGGGGGATATAGTTTTGGCGTTGTCCATACGTCCGTCCGTCCGAATTTCGTTTCCGGACTAGTTCTCTGCAACTACTGGCTGGAATTCAACGAAACTTTATGGGAATCATCAATATCAAGAGGAGATGCCAATCGTCGGCTTTGTTCCGGTAGCCTTTTAAACCAAGTTATGGCCTGTTTGTTAGCAGTTGCAATAGAAAAAAAATTTCCGCCTTTTTTATTTTCCTTGGAAAAACTGGTAAATTAAGAAATTTTATAATTTTCCCATACCAAGAGAAGCGATATTGCCCTTTGGGTCAGAACTTTAACCCTTCAATTATGGCTTAAATTTTAAAAAGTATAATAAAAAAAGTTCCTGTATTCCAAAAACTAAATTTGGCGGAATTCAAGAAACTTTTTTAACCTTTACCAAGGAATCCTAATTGCCTTTGTTGGGGTAAAAATTAACTAGGTTATGCCCTATTTTTTTAAAGGCAATAAAATTGGGTTTCCCCCCCCCCCCCCCCCCCCCCCCCCCCTACTTCTCTGTAACTACTGGTGGAAAAATTCAATGAAACTTATGGGATACTGAGGAGATGTGCTATAGTCCCTTGTCCGGTATTTTAATCAATTTATGGCCCTTGATTAGTTATGCACTATGCATACATCTCATTGGCATTTCCAGATATTACTATTTAACACAAAGTTATGGCTCTGTTATTGCCCTGAATATTTATCAAGTTCAAAGAATATTACTGTTTATGCCATGATTAATATATAAATAAAGCCTTATGTCTTCAGTTGTTGTGTTAATAATAACCAGTACTCGGCGGGGGATATAAATTCAACGAATTTGCTTGTTTCATATTTGGTTGGAAGATAACTTGCATGGTATTCTTCCTTTGGATAGAGTTAGGGGTCAGTTTGGTCAAGGTCATCAATGCTCAAAATAGATTTTAACATTTTTGCCCATACAGCCTTTATTTATTGACAGGTGTATTTCATATTTGGTAGGAAGATAACTTGCATGATATTCTATAGGTATCAGTGGGTCAAGGTCAAGGGTGCCAAGTATAGATTTCTTACATTTATATATATTTGATAAAGTTGAATATTTATCACTTCACAAGTCATAGCAATCACTTGGCAACTTATATATTTCACAATTACAAAATGCCATGACTCTGTCAAGCTATATAACTTGTGTTTAAAATTTTTTGGCAATGTTTCTGTCCATATCTGAGTGAATGGGTAAACATTTTTTGAAATATTGCTACTGACAAGAATCGGAGCCGGGGGCATTTGTGTTTAACAAACACGTTCTGGTTTGAAGTAAAAACTGATAATCTAATGCAGCCAGGATTAGTTTTCAGTAATTTTTGATCGATTTAACAAAACATTATCTTATTATTTGATTTTTGAACAGTTATGTACTAGGCCAGATTACAGTCAGTAGATAACCTGAATCATGTCACTCGGTCCAGACATTTTTTTTCGTAAAATTGATCTGACTCCTGACCATTCTATTTGAAAGACCCTGCTTTAAGTAAGTTATACCTATCAACTTACCAAACTTATCTGACATGTACATGTATGCTAATACAATATCTCCTGTTCCGGGACTTTATGATCTCCACTAACCTTCAATTGAAGGGCGTCACTGAGTGGGTCATTCATTTTAAGTGGAAGGTTTCAGTTGTTATTTTCATGAGGTGATTTAATTTGTGTCAGGTTCAGGATTTTATGATGTTAGCACTATCACAGAAATAGTTAAATTACTACATTATGTAGAATGTACTCTGTATTAAAGTGTTGAATTTGGATATTAGAATAAACAAATGACACCGAGTATTATCCGACTTGTATGGTAACATTACATACATGAGAACTTGAAACACCAAAAGTATTGTACTAGTTGGTTTGGTTTAAGTCACACTGTCAAGATCATACAGCGACTTTTTAGCAAGAAACCTCGGGTGACCCTCCCTGCAATATTTCAGGCCTGAGGGTGCTCTAAAGTGGAACTGCCAAGCCAGAGGGCTTCCTCACATTATTGAAAAAAATCTGGTCCCTGATGTGATTTTAATCCCATTGTAGTCAGAGTGCTCTGATACCAGTTACCTCGGCCACAGAGGCCCAAAGTCTTATACTGAGCTCAATGTATTTGTAACTGGGGATACAAAATTAGGCCCACTAAGACAATAATTAACAAATCAACTCTGATATTTTGTAATGTATGTAGTTAAAACACATACACTTTAGCTCAAATCAGATAAAAGTTTGATGCTCATTTAAACCATTCTCAAGTCAACTTCCTTGGAATTAACCAGTACTGGTGTCAGATGAGAAAACATGGTTGAGACCCAAGTAGTGTTTCAATCCCACAATCCATGGGTTTGGGGACACCATTATTTAAATCCAGAGCAACACGGCACTGTGTTCACATAAACAAGCAAGATGCATTTTCAATTTAAGTAAACATTTTATTTTCCAAAATTATATCAAAAAGATGAAAATAATGACATTGAAAATGGAACTGATAAATGGCTAAATGAAGTTTTCTATCATCCTATATAACATATGTACAGAGTTCATGCAGCCAGGCTGAACATGGAATGGTTATATAATCATTTTATCATATAAATACTAGCGATATATCCAAGCATGTGTGCATTTCTATTTCAATCATTAAAGCAAGTTATAAACTTAAACTAAACAATGGTAAATGATAACAGGAAAAGAAAAACTGAAAAACTTGGAAAAGAAAAAAGAATGGTAAAATGAAATAAACAAAAAGTTTACCTTGGAAGAAATTAACAAAATTTAATAAGGGTGTTTGAGTGGTAAAAACTACTACAGAAAAAATTGTTTTTTTTCAAGAATATAAATTTTTTTTGCTAAATTGCAGCCATCATTTGAGAGTTTTAATTACAGAATATTTGATTTTATCATAATCTCAATTTTGCTAAAAATATATTAATTATTCATATTACAAATAAAAAACAAAAAACATGAAAAATCAACACAAACATATTAAGGTAAGACAAACTGCTGCTAAAATTAAGCCACTGCAAAATATCAAACTGGTGGAACATTATTTTAAAAGAAGCCAGTGAAAAGTTCAAAGTTGAAAGTACCCAGTGAAAAGTTGAAAGTGGTCAGTGAAAGTTAAATACTAGGTAGTGAAAGTTTGATGGTTAGTAGCTAGCAAAAATTTGAAAGTAGCCCAAAACAAAACAAAAAAAAAGTGAAAATGTGAAAGTAGGCAGTGAAAGTTTGCAAGTAATAGCCAGAGGAAATTTGAAAGAGGCCAGGGTTAAACTACTAGTTATTGATTTGATAATTTATAAATAATGGTTTCGCAAAAGTTGTTGGCAGTAAATTAGAAAGGCCAGTGATTTCACTGACATCTGAGGCTGAGTAAGCACTACATTGTATAATAAATAATAATAGAACATGCAAAATCTGCAATAGTTGGCAAAACAACAACAACACATCTATTCCATTGTACACTACAAAATCAACAAAAAACATCTTTCCTTAAAACATTTCACAACCAAATATACAAGTAGAGTGTAAGTTAAACGAAGACTTATTTTGCAATAAATTTGATAATACATAGAAGACATAATATTGTGTAAGTTATTTTGAATATATTAGTCAATTGATTTTAAAGGAACTCCACTGAGGTCCAAAGCTCTGACAACATACAATTTGAAAATCTTACAAATATCAAGTGAAGCACTCAAAATGGAAAACTCTGCAAAGGATACCAAAGAATTATATACAGAATTAAATTGAAAATCAATTTAGTTTGATTCTTAGCTAGACTTGAGTGAAAAGCCTTGCAACACTTTTCACTTTTGTATCATTTTTCCACAAAATCTTCCATCAATTGGTACACAAATCTCAGAAAATTATTTTCAGTCCTGTCATGTCAAAAAACCTCAGGGGAGTCCCTTTAAGGTAAAATTATGTAAACAGAGACAGTATCACCATATCAAGAGAATGGTAGAAAATAAGGATGATATGATATGAGAGTATGGAAGCATTATCAGAAACTACAATAACTATGCACAACCAACTTGCTACTATAAAATCAAAAATAACATATTACTTTTCCCTATTGCAAACAAACCTATATATGTTTAGTGCAGACATATTGATGTTAAGCTGAATGGGGTTAAAAATTTTTTAGCTTAATTTTAGCTACTCTTGGCTTGCCGGTACAAGTGCCACATGACTAAACAGCCATGATCCTAAGAGGGCTTCAGAGAGACTTACACCTTAGCCACTCAGCCACGCAATGACAGCTTTAGTACATAGGTAGTGTTTAATACACTAAAATAACCTGCAAAACTTTCACCATTATTATAAACTAAAATTCTCATTCTATTCCATTTCCTAATAACCATGATAATGCTTTTTTTACATTCTTTTTATATACTCTTTATATATATTTTTTATGAGGGCATACAAAAATTCAACACTAAGACTAGACAAGTTTTACCCAGTATGGAGAAGACAAAAAAAAACATGTAAAAATTTTTGATTTTTTTGGAGAAAAATATTTTTTTTTAACAAAAAACAAAGAGCATGCAACAAACTTTTCTCGAAGCTTTTTACATAAGCGGCTATAAATAATTGTCTGGCATTACAACTTGAATAAAATCTTCATAAATACAACATTATAAATATTACGACAAAATGAAACTTTTAAACTTCAAATTATAAATAAATGTAGCAAAATCTTAGAATAAAATGTAACAAGCATAGTTTATCTAAGAAATTTACATGTAGGTGACCATTGTATATCATGGTAAACATGATGAATTGCAGGTCTATATTTTGTAAAGATTCAAAACCATGAGGACTATAATTATTCATTGTTGTGTTGCTGTTTTTTTATACACATGAACAGCAGACCATGATAAATGCAACAATAAACTACAGTTACACTTATATTATTTCTTTTGTTACATTTCTATATACATGTATATAAGCATTTAATAACCTGCAATGACATGTAAGTTTGATCTTAAATTTAACCAAAAGAAATCACTCGAATCATAAGAAACAATCACCAATAGCAAAATCGTTGTTTAATTTCCTGTAATGACACATATTTATGAATTTAAGGCGGGATTAATGAAGATCACTGCGCAAAAATCTATACTCTTCTTTTGAAATATTAAAAAAAAAAATGGAAGCATTATCAGAAACTACAATAACTATGCACAACCGATTTGCTACTATAAAATCAAAAATAACACATTACTTTTCCCTATTGCAAACAAACCTATAAAAGTTTAGTTAAGACATATTGAGGTTAAGCTTAATGGTGTTAAAACTTTTTTAGCTTAAGCTACTCTTTTCTTGCAGAAACTGTGTCACATGACAAAGTTGATAATTACAGGATCCTAAGAGGGCTTCAGAAAGGCTTTCACCTTAGCCACTCGGCAACCCTATAGGAATTTTAGTACATGTAAATAATGGTTGATTTACCAAAATAACCTGCAAAAATTTCACCATAATTATAAACTAAAATTGGCATTCTATTCTATTTACTTAATAACCATAATAATGTTGTGTTTTTTTTTCATTCTTTTTATACCTTTTTTATATACATTTTATGACAGCATATAAAAATTCATCACTAAGACTAGATAAGTTTTACCCAGTATGGAGAAGACAAAAAAAAAAAAAAAACATGTAAAAATTTTTTGATTTTTTTTGAGAAACATATTTTTTTTAAACAAAAAAACAAAGAGCATGCAACAAACTTTTCTCGAAGCTTTTTACATAAGCGGCTATAAATAATTGTCTGGCGATACAACTTGAATAAAATCTTCATAAATACAACATTATAAATATTACAAAAAAATGAAACTTTTAAACTTCAAATTATAAATAAATGTAGCAAAATCTTAGAATACAAATGTAACAAGCATAGTTTATCTAAGAAATGTACATGTAGGTGACCATTGTATATCATGGTAAACATAATGAATTGCAGTGTATATCTGTAAAGATTCAAAACCATGAGGACTATATTCATTGTTGTGTTGCTGTTTTTTTATACACATGAACAGCAGACCATGATAAATGTAACTATAAACTACAGTTACACTTATATTATATCTTTTGTAACATTTCTATATACATGTATATAAGCATTTTATAACCTGCAATGACATGTAAGTTTGATCTTAAATTTAACCAAAAGAAATCGCTTGAATCAAAAGAACAATCACCATAGCAAAATCGTTGTTTAATTTCCTGTAATGACACATATTTATGAATTTAAGGCGGGATTAATGAAGATCACTGCGCAAAATCTATACTCTTCTTTTGAAATATTAAAAAAAAAAAATCTTGTGAAATTTCGAATATTTTTCATTATAGTTTCAATATAGTAATAGAAGAGAAAATGAAACTGCTTATTTTCTGCAATGATTACCTGCAATGCAAATAGCATTTCATGGCCAACACAAACAACAAATTAAACATGTACATGTAGACAATTTGTATATAGAACACATAGTATAGGCATAAATGAGCCACGTCACGACAAAACCAACATAATGTGTTTGCGACCAGCATGGATCCAGACCAGCCTGCGCATCCGTGCAGTCTGATCAGGATCCATGCTGTTCGCTTACAGACCCTATAACAATTAGAGAAACTGATAGCATACAGCATGGATCCTGATCAGACTGTGCGGATGCGCAGGCTGGTCTGGATCCATGCTGGTTGCAAACGCACTATGTTGGTTTTGTCGTGACGCGGCTCAAATTTTGATAAAAAGATGAAAAAATTAATATAATATTTTTCACATCGGGGGAAAAAACAAGACTATAACTAAGAAAAATAAATAACTTAATAATACTGACAAATTCTGACAAAAAGTTGTAAAACATAAAACTTTATATAGAAACGTAAATTACACAACCTAATGATATTAAACATAATGAACAGGTTCTGTTACTGCATACATCGTCACCTTAGAGCAGTAACAGGTTAACTCCTATTTAATGTTATAAGGAGTTACCCCGTTACTGCATTAAGGTGCGGAAATATTTAGTTACCAAACAAAAAGAACAAACTTTATATTTCATACTGCACAAATACAAGAGCATGCTTAAAATGAAACATAATCTTGTTCTTTTAAATATTGAAAACTAAAAATCTTATGTAAATTACTATTTGAATATACTTATTTGTTTTGAAAAGGAGATTTTGCTAAACGGAAAGGGAAAAAGTCATACCTTTTTGAAGAAAGGTATATATTAGCTATATGCTGGTTTGGACCACATGGTCTAAAACAAGGAGTATATAAAGTAGACTCATTCTGTATATGTAGTATGTCACTGTATAAAATATAGATATACGGGTGTATTCCTGCAGACTTCCCATGTATCGAAATTTCAGCCTTAAAAAGGGATGCCAAATGATTGTAGCTTAAAGAATATGCTGTCTACTCCACTAAGAATGAGACTGATTTTAACAAGGTACATTTTACAATGTAGACTCCATTGATCTCATTACCGGTAAATCCAGAGCAGACTGTATAAAATACTAACTTACAAAATTTAATGTTATATTTTAAACAATTGTTTGAAAACAACATTGTCAGTTCTTTCTAAAAAATGCTGAGACACAAAGTTAATATAACAAAAACTGACGGTGAAAAAATTTTTTATCTTATTCTTGTAGCAAATATGCCCATGAAAAAAAAAAGATGCACATGTATACGGGATAAAGTAATAATAATTGCAACACTTGCTTACAAGAGTACATATGTTATGTAGAAAATATTTTGTGAATTGTAAAATGACTTGGCTTGTTGACCTAGGTGGGTTGTGTAAATGTCCGTACATGATCTAAATGAAGTCAAAAATAAATACCTATATAACAACGTCCAATATCTGATCTACATTCAATACAATACATCTTTGGTCCTGATAACAAAAAACAAAAAAACTATGATCGATACATGAAATGAAACTGTAGCACTAACTTGTTCCTATTTTACGTGAAACTAAAGTCTTACAATTCCTACAATAACTATGAATGTCCTCAATTGAGTCCAATATGTCTCCTAGCATTTGTACAACTTAATCACAAAATTTATATTTCAACTAACTTTAACAATGTTGGTAAATACAGGTTTGCTCTTCAATTAAATTCTCACCTTGTTAAATCAAATAGACTTGCCCATTTTTCCATCTGGACAAAATCATTCATCATTTTCAGGGAATATTTTAAAATATTTACTGACAGGATAGCTAACAGTGCAGAGCATGATCTGATGGCAAGACTATTACTTCAATACCTATTTATAGATATAATGAAGGCAAATTCTTGTTGTCAGCACATAAATAAGTATAATGTGGACTTTCTGGCTCATAGAGGAAATGCTGTTTCGAAACATATTAGTTTACGATACTCATAAAGAAGGTGGTATCAAACATTACCAAAATGTTTCTAACCTTGAATCACGGACATGCCCTACTTTTAATATTAATCTTACACTTGTATAAAATAAATTCTTTTATATAATATATACACACACAATGTAATTGGTGTCATTTTTAAAGTATAAAAATATTCTATGATAAAACATGACATGTTACTTTAATCATGAAAGTTGAACATATATACCAGACAAATCAACTCTTTGGATCAAAACTATACTTGTATACTAATCACATGACTCGTTCTTAAACTATTAAAACAAGATTTGTATAAAAATCACATGACTTGTCTTAAATTATCAAAACTAGGCTTGTATTCTAGTCACATGACTTGTTCTTAAATTATCAAAACTAGACTTAGATACTAGTCACATGACTTGTTCTGAAATCATCAAAACTAGACTTGCATACTAGACACATGACTTGTCTTGAATTATCAAAACTAGACTTGTATACTAGTCACATGACTTGTTCTTAAATGATCAAAACTAGACTTGTATACTAATCACATGACTTGTTCTTAAACTATTAAAACTAGATTTGTATACTTATCACATGACTTGATCTTAAATTATCAAACCTAGACTTGTATACTAATCACACGACTTGTTCTTAAATTATCAAAACTAGACTTGTGTACTTATTGTAAAAAACATTCAATACAGCTACATCTACATAACAATTACTCACTGTTCAATTATATAATCATGAAAAAACTATCAACATGTAAAACTTGATTTTTTGAGACATAATTCACAATATAAAAGATGATCATTGACAATATATTACCAGACAAACACAATTTCTTTTGCACAATTTACAAAATTTAATCTCATATGGGAATGCTTAAAAACCTTCAACATTCAACCAGGCAGGCAATTTAGTACAATGTAACCTTGTTAGCACTTTGTCAAAAAACAGGAAATTTAGTACTATGTAACCATCTACTTAAATCATCTGCAATTCTGTACTGCTTGCCTAACATAACGCTAGCATTAAACTTGATTATATACTTCTTATATAAATTTGTTGTGACACTGTATCTTTGGATGGCCCTTGTCCTCCGACCCCCCCCCCACCATTGTGTCATGACTGAGACAGTCTTTGTATATATAACGAACACCTATATCATACTATAAAATCTAATATAACTATCGGTTCTATAGAGTTCAGTAAAACATATTTAAGTATTAAATATCTAAGTATTATGCCTCTAGAGTAGTGGGACGGTCCGCCCTTTCACAACCTTGGTAAATATAAATATAACAACATAATCTCGTCGCTGTCCACGTCTGGCAAGACACTGTTTTACATCTCTACACTTCTTCTATCCGCAATCCTTCAACTGTTATCTCGTCATTTAACAATTACGTAATAAAAAATTCTCACGTTTCCCCCCACTATTTCAATTTAACATTTGTCACTAATGTAATCACCACTGTTTGTTTAACTGAATATAAATGTTTAGCACATTAATTATATGTAAGAAAGTGAGACTTTTAATATATCCTCTTTGGTTGCAACGTTTGTTTATTAACACACATATTGACTTGGTCAACACTGTTATAAACATTCAGTTTAACAATGTTCCGCAGTATACTGTTTTCGAAACATTTGTTCCGCTACACTTCTAAACATATTTTTGCCGCCATAAGTTTACTACAGAAGAAACCGGACAATACACGACACCGTCATTGAGATCTACGAGTATAAATGCTCCGCCTCGTCTTCACCTCCGTACATATTGGCAAGTTTAGCAAATTTCGGTCCCCAGTCACTGAGATAATCATAATCCTGATCCTCTGCGCCAGATGATGTTTGTAATGAGCTCAGGGAACCAGCATCACTTCCGCCACCCTCAAAATACGAACTCACGAACACCGTCGTGTGGTGGTGCATTATGGTCCTCGTCAGCATCCTGAAGTCGTTGTTCTATAAAATCTCCTACATCAGGTCTCTCACCTGGTACTGAAAATTAAATTGAAAAAATGATAAATTCAAAATAAACTTTTTTACATATTAAAGTATACATAAATTGTTTTGGTATACCACATGAAAAGCAGGTAACCGATTTCCAATATTTTTGTTCTCATAAACTTGTTAAAAGATAAAATTAAAATTCACTTATGAAGTGATAAATAAATCTGAAGAAAAAAGATCATGTCTTTGACACAGCCAGGCCATCAGTATACATCTGTGTGGGTTAGATATCAGCAAACTCTAACAAGACTTTTTTCAACTTTATTTCACTATTTTCATCGAGAAATCCCTAAAGCTCAAAATAAACTGGCCAAAATTCATATCCATTATACAAATTAGTTAACACAGATAGGGTTAAAAGGAGGTAAGTATGACAAGAATGTATATATTACCTCTCCTGCCGTATTTACCCTGTAAGGGATCATAACGACCAAGTGTATCGACGGTGTCAGGTCTCCTCAATCTACTGATGTCATAACCATCTTCATCTTCCTCACCTGAAACCATAATTATGTAAATGTACAATTTGATATCTTCTCTTTTTGTTTTATTTGGTTGGCTCAATTTAAGATCATATGGCAACTTTTCAGCTTTACTGACAAAAGACCTTTAGGTGCCCTTCTGAGCATTATTTTGGGCATGAACGGCCACCTGAGTAGAACCAGCAATTTCGATAGCTTCCTCACATGACAAAATCCAAAGTCTTTGTTAGGATTGGAACCCACAGCAGTGAGGGGTTCTGTTCTTATATATTGAGTTACCAGGATATTGATTTTCCAATTGGGCATAGAAAGACCTCAGGTGCCAGGCTCTGCATTCTTTTAAGCACACAAGTGCATCTGAGAGGAATTGTCAACCTCCCGTTAGCTTTTTTAGTCAACTTCCTCAAAAGTATGAATCCAGAGACCCTGAGACAAAGGCCTGGGTGAGTACGATAAAAAAAAAAATTTTACCAATTGTCACAATTTACATGTTCTGACATGGAATTTACTTTATACAGTTAAAGAAAAAAAAGCTACATCTTATGAATTTTTTTTTATAAAATTCATAAACAGAAAAATTGTGTTGTTTCCATAAACTTTTGGTTCATTCTCAAAAGAGTTTAAACTTAGAATGTCTCGTTTATTTAACTCACATGAGTACCGTATGTATTTACAAAATAAAATGTTATGAAACAAAATATTAACATGCAAACACCATCCACTCCAAATAATACATAATAACAATTCAATATTAATTATTTACATACCAGCACCTTCCTCATTATAATTGATGACATTTTCCCGTATATCATCATCCGGGTCAATGTCTAGTATATATTTTTCTGGATCTGATTTCTTCCTGAACCGTACATACAGGTAAACTGCCACTGCAAATGCTACAAAGAAAAAAAAAATGCAAGAAAAACTGTAAATATGTAATATTCAAGTATTGTATGGTTACCTAAAATCTATATTTATTCCATGACTGATACTTGTTTGGATGGTATTTATGCCAATTAAAACACATTTTTGATCAAATCTTGGCAGTTGTATTACATAACCAGACTTTCCCGGATAAATACCAATTTCTCCGCAAGCCACCAACTACTAATTCAACATGAATCCTGAATCAGAGGTGAGAGACAAATGACTGTAAGACTCAAAGTCCAAGATCAATTGTCATAAAGAAATTTCTTCTTGCCCGAGGAACGAACCAGAAATCCCTGAATAATTTGTCACATATTTGTAATACAGATTTTCAATGGACTCTCATGATGTCATGATATCATCTAAATCAAGGGTGCTTTCCAATTTTTTTTTCTTTTTAAGGAAATTTGGCAGTATTATAAATGTGTTAAGAAGTTTCCTGACAAAGCTTGCTTTATATAAAAGCTAACAACATTTTATCCTTGTCCTTTCAACAAATTTTATAACTAACAATGTATCTACACTTACCACATAGAGCAAATATACAGGAGAGCAATATCAGGATAAATTCTGTCGTAATTCCTGCGCGAGCCGGATCGGTTGCAGACAGAAGATTGCACAATCTTCCTGTCCAACCTAGCGGACAGATACACGTAAAATTCTGGTCGTAGGGTTTAGTAATACATGTAGCTCCTTTAAAACATGGCTGGTCTCGTTCACAATAATCTATAGGCAGGCAATTATATCCATCGGGGAATGTTCCAGCTGGGCATCTGAAACATTAAGAATGAATACTGTCAAAATACTGTTTAAGTTGTAAAATGGCTCATAAAACATATTTAAAGTTTGAGACATACAGGAGAAGCTTGCATGAATTGTCATTTCATTAATACATAAATATTGTGCCTGAGAGAATGTCACCATAACTCCTGCCTAAGTTATAGAAACTAACTATACTGTACATAAGAACATAGGAATTTGAAACAAACTATAGCTAACCTGCAGTCATATGTGCCCCAAAGTGGGAAACAGACCATAGCGAATGGAAGACCTTCTGGACAAATAGCATTTTTACAGTCATCTCTGTGACAGTCATTTGCAACACCTTCCTCTAGCTCTAGAGTTGCTGCCTCACTAAGTTCATTCTCCGAGTTTGTCATTGGAAACCACTTAGAGTTCAAACGAATGTCTGTAATACATGCTGAAATAAACAAATTAAACCTTATTATGGTAAATATCTTAAATTTGTAAAAAACCATTCAACAACTTCAAGGAAATTTCAAAATATGTACAGACTGAAAAGCAAACAGTGCATACCATGATAAGAAGACACAGATTTGATAGCTTTATATGTAAAATAAGACAGAACTCGCATTATTTTTCCCACTGTCCTACAATTTAACTAAAGAGATAAATACCTGTGAATAGTAATGTAGTAAGCAAAGTTAAATACTGCAAAATCTTTATAATTTGTGGGGAACTAATTATCATAAATTGAATAACTATATAAAATAAGTGCACCTGACAATACTATTTAACAGCACTTACTAGATTGCATTTATAATAAGCACTGATCTGAAGGTAAAAAAAAACCCATTAAAACAGTTAACACATTAAACAGTAGCACAGTGCTGATTTTATAGAAAGAAAGCTTACTGTTATTAAGGTCCAGACCATCAGGTATTGGATTTTTAGTAAATACAACATGAGCACCAGTTACAATCTGATACATGCGTATAGATATCAGTTCACGTCCGTTAAACGGTCCCCAAGTCTCGTTCCTGTAGCGACCCTCGCCACTGTCCATCTTCAATTCAAACCATTTGCCTATCCTGTTCATGTACACTGTATGCCATTGTCCGTTACTAGCTGGAGCTTTAGCGAGCATCAGTGAAGACTCGCCGTTCGCTCCGCCCAGATTATATAGAACTTGTACATGCCCGCCAACCAACTGTTAAATACAAGAAAAGCACAATTTACCACAGTGACTGTAATGCTGAAACTGAAACTGCAAACTAAAGTTAGTAATACTTTGCCTAGCCAGATTGCATATCAGTACAATCTGACCAGGCTCTATGCTGTAAGCTGTCCAATTTCTTTATTTCATCCCGGTATACCTAGAATTTATAATAGACTGCCTCAAAATGGATGTTGGACTAGTCCACATAAGAAATTAAGCAGGATATGGGTGAACAAATAAAAGTATAAACATATCTTGGAGTTCTTCATCAATTAATTGTGTTAATCTTTCAATGTTATGTCCTAAAATCTTACTAAATTTTACTTAACAACAATTTCTACGATGAAACGCTGAAAAAAAAAAGGTCAAAAAAATGCTTATTTCCACAACCTTTTCTAACTTAAGGTTCACATTAAATATATTGGATTATGTAACAAATAATTTATCTCATCGATTTTTTTAACATGATTCTTACCTCAAGTGTGATGAACTCTTCATTATTTGAAGGCAAATGTAGTAGCAGGCCGTCTGGATCCCTGGTTCGGAACTTCAACTGAACCTCTGTGGTGCGTGGATTAATCTCCGTGTTCACAAAGTCGAATTTTAGAGACCAGCTCATAAAACTGTTCATTTTCAGGTCTCGTACTGTTGTTTCTACAATCATAACATTGATTATAATAATATATTTCTATAGACCATGAAGCCGTTTTAAAAACATGCCAATTTTAGCTCGTGCAAACATAGGCTTTGTTTGCTGGGTTTTATGTCACACCAACAATGTAATGGCCACTCTCCAGCTCTATTGGTGGTTGACCTCAGGTGCTCTTCTATGCATTATTTCAGGCATGATAGCTTTCTCACATAAAAACATTCCCTGGCAAGATTTGAACCCACAGAGGTGAGTGGCAAGTGGTGTAAAGTCAACTGCCTTAACCACTTGGCCACTAAGCCCCTAGTAAGCTACTTTGAACTAAGTTTGGTGAACATAACATCTTTTTATCTAGAAATTTTCCAAATTATGCAAGATTTAACATGAAGGCAAGAAAACTTTTACATCTATAACTAAGAAAATCATAATGTCTTGGTTTTGTTTTTGATGGACTGGTCAGATCTTCATCTAAGACAATTTATTTGCTGTACATCAAACTTAAATATGCATTTTTTGAAATATAAGATACATAAATAATGTTGCAGAGGTACAAGGTACAACTGCCTCCATTTAAATGCATTAAAACAAACTAATCTACAGAGCATAAAGAATGGCATATTACCTGTACCGCAGTCATTGGCACCTGGACCGGATGACCTATATCCGGTATGGCATGTGCACTTGTATTGTTCATTGACCATATCAGTCACCTCACATGTGCCATGTTCACCACACCTCGGCCCATCTATGGAGTTTATACCACATACGTTATCCTCGTCCGGACATCCATTAACATGATTCTCTCCCTTAGAATATTGGCCGGTATACAGGTCGTATAACTACAACATAAATATATACACATGACTGAATCGCATCACAGGAATAACTGGATGAAAAGAAAATAGATCTACATATTTGAAACCAAAATTCAGGTTTTTCCTCATTAATAATTTTTATAAAGCTTGTTTTAAAGAGGAGATGCATTTTCAAAATAAAATGCAACTCATGAAAATAGCTGATATGGTGTTCACTCATTGTAATATTTCATTCTAGAACACTTCACACTATTCCCCTACTAAGCAAATAGGGCAGTCAAGTGCTTTATTACAAAACTCACAGTATAAAAAAAAGAAAGCTTACTCATCTAATGATGTCTGAAATGACATCAATAAACCAAATAATGTCATGAAAATTTCTTCTATGCTAAATGCAATTTAACATATTTTTATCAATTAACTTTTTTATTAGCATGTTAAAATGGAAATACATATCAATTTTTCTTGCATTATAGTACAATGCATGCTTGATCCTTTGTTATTTATCAGTCAGGCTTATCTGCCTTCATAATTATATTCTGGCGCAATTTTACTCCAACCGTTAATTATTCTACAATGATGCACACAGAATTTATTAATTCATTTCCTGAATCTTACATTAAAACAAACAAAAATTATCAGCATGATAATTACCTCTCCGTTATGTATCAAGTTTCTCATACAGCCTACAAATCTGATATCAGTGATAGACGTGGGTATAGTCGGCTGTACATATCTGCCGCCTAGCTGTAACATCGTGTTCGTATTGAGGAATAAATTCTCTCCCGGAGTCTTCATGCTGACTGAACAAGGTGAGCGATCGGTAACCCTGCCTGACCCCTGGTCTATCACCAGCATATCGCAACGATCCACTATCATTGTCACTTCCTGTAGTACACAGAAAAACAACATCAATTTTAAACTTCTAAGTAAATACAAAGGACACTGTCAACACATATACTTTAAATTGATTTATGTGAGAAATTCAAATACCAGCATCAAAGGGAGCAGTGGTCAAATGGTTAAGGTGTTTGCCTATATCCGCAGGGATATGCAGCTTTGAACCACTATTCAGGTCATTCCCTTAATTCCACAAGGCAGTACTAATCAGTTTCAGGAAAAGGAATATTATATGACTGATAGAGATATAAGTTTCAAGAATTTATTTCATAATCAGCATTAAAAATTATACCTTTTAAAGGAATATGCCAGGGTTATATAAAGACATAAAGCAGAATGAAAACAAAATAATAGAATTTATATATCTATCTGATATATGTCTTTAATGTAACCCTAGCATATGCCTTTGAAATGTTTTAACTACCACCAGTTGTCTTGCACTAAAATGACATATCATACAAACATTTACATGTTTAGAAATTCTTTCATGCAAAGAAAACAGAGATAGAATTTTGATTTTTTTTTAATATTCATTTTGTGCACACTTATATCCAAGAGAATCAAGGACAATGACTTACAAATGGATAATTTACTCTTTAAAAGCTTATGGCAATAATAAAGACATATACCTCCAGTATAGACCCAGACCATTAAATACTGCCGGCAGCTCAAATAAAAATTTCCGATATTGAAATCCCTAAAATTAACAGCTGTTCAAATGAAATTTTTTCATATCCTTAATGGACAATTCCAAATTCAAAGAAGGACAAGTTCATTACACATAATATGGGTTAGATAGCATAGCATTTCCTTACCTTTCCCTTCCTTACAATATCAACATGATGCCATCTCCCATCATTCAACTTCTGTAAATGTCTATCCCCGTTCAGGTCACGCCCGTCCAAGGTCAAGGTCACACTTCCTGACCCATGGTCAACTTGTAGCACCGGGTAGCCATCGATTAACGACAGAGCTATAAAATCTTGAGGATCATCTCTGCTGAGCTCCTCTACTGGACCGTTATAAAAGATTAAACCATCGGGTTCTTTAGACAGAAACTCTATACTAGTCAAACTGTCCTCGCACTGCGCAAATGGCGCGTACAGCGCGTAACCTCTGCTGAAACTGTGTCGAGTCATCTGACAGCGGGCACCATCAAAACCGTCCGGACAATCTACACATCTAATATAATTATAAAGATTTCCATGAGTCATTCGGAATACATGATCATGCTACAAACTGTACACTAGTATTTATAAATACTATTTTAATAGAATGGTTTTAATACATAATTTTGTGTAGATGTTCTAAGAACAAGAGCGATCAGTAATCACATGTGTCGCCTCATGATGGCCAATTTCATGTTGGGACAAAGTTTGTGACAGACGGACAGACAGACGGACAGTGCACAACTAGACTTGGTACTGATCATTCCTGTAAAGTTTGGATAAAATTGCACCAGTAGTTTATGAGGAATAGTCCGGACAAGCTTTTGCGTATCTGGCAACACACAGAAAAAACACCTTTTATCAAAGGGCCATAACTCGGCCAAAAATCATTCAACCGGAAAACCAGTGCAATATGCGCAAGGACTTGAGCTACAGATCAATCCTGTAAAGTTTCATTGAAATTGCTTAAGTGGTATAAGAGAAGTAGTCCGGACAAACTTTAAAAATAAAAATTATTAAAGGTCCATAACTCTGACAAAAATCATTGAACCGGAAAATGCTGATAATATGCACAACTAGACTTGGTACTTATCATTCCTGTAAAATGCACCAGTAGTTTATGAGGAGTAGTCCGGACAAGCTTTTGTGTATGTGGCAACACACAGAAAAAAACACCTTTTTTATCAAAGGGCCATAACTCGGCCAAAAATCATTCAACCGGAAAACCCTTGCAATATGCACAAGGACTTGAGCTACATATCAATCCTGTAAAGTTTCATTGAAATTGCATTAGTGGTATAAGAGAAGTAGTCCCGACAAACTTTAAAATTAAAAATTATTAAAGGGCCATAACTCTGCCAAAAATCATTGAATAGGAAAATGCTGACAATATGCACAACTAGACTTGGTACTGATCATTCCTGTAAAATTTGGATGAAATTGCACCAGTAGTTTATGAGGAGTAGTCCAGACAAGTTTTGTGACGGACAGACAGACGGACAGACAGAAGACGGAGAAGTGATCCCTATATGTCGCCACTACTCCGTAGAGGCGACACAAAAACTGTATCTCATGTAACAATTGCCTGTAAGACAAATGTCTGGTAATATTTAGGCAGTATCTAAACATAAATCTTAAGAAAATATCATCAAAATTCCATAGCTTTCATACATGTATATTAAAACTATAATTAATTTACAAACCTTAAACCCTTTGAAAGCTTATCATGATTATAACATATAACTTTGATGCTTTGAATAAGTAAACACAGTACCTGACATCTCCCCAATTATCTTTTATACATTGTCCTCCATTCAGACAATAACCTGGTGTACAGTCTGGCGGTGACGAGAAATCTGTTGCAGCACATTGGCATTCTGCTACGACGCTAGTTGCTACACCGATGAAAGACGTGCCGTTAGCGTTGACTAGATTTGGGAAATCTCCGATGACAAGTTTGTTAGAACAACCGCCGGACTCGCATGTTTCCCTCAGACACATGTCGATGTTCACCATGGTGATCTTAATGCCAGCTGCATCTTCAAACTGTAATATATCATTAGTCATCAACATTTTTACAAGCTTAATGGCACAGTATATATAGCTTTTTGTTTTTTTTTAAACCTAAGCATTCATCTATTTAAAGAACATTTGAAGATAATATCAGGCGGTTGTTTATTAAAAGATTAAAAGAACATTTGAAGTTAATATTAGTTACTCACATTTAAAATAGATAAAATATCAGCAAATTACTTAAGTTACAATGAGTAAAGTTATGTTAGTTTGATGCAAGGACACAAACCAGCAACTGTACACTTACCAGAAAAATAAAGAGGTTATAAAAATTAGCAAGTATTAACAATACGTGAAGTAATCCCATAATCTGCTAAATTTCTCCAAATATTGTCCCACTTGAAACTGTCTTTTATCTTTTTAGTTGATATCAAGATAAAAATTTCAAGTAAGTAAGCGAACAGTATAGAGCCTGGTCAGACTGACGAGACTTGCAGGCTGGTCTGGCTCTATACTTGGTGGCTAAGGCTAACCACTTTTATTTACAGCAGTAAGAAGAGGTAAGCTTGATAATTTTTCAATTTTTTGTTTGTTTGGGTTTTTTAAATCGCACAAACACATAAGAGGTCAAAAAGCGGCATACCAGCTTTACTGGTAGAGGAAGACCTCTGCAACTTACCTCTTGTTTGTCTAGGGAAACGAAGCTGTCCAGTTTACTCGGAGGGTAATATGGTGAACCATGCGCAGCATACCTAATGTCTACAAGATTATCTTCTACATTCATTACACTAAATATAGCCACATTGTTCAGTGGAACGTTCAATTTGTCTGCAAGCACTGTCCTAAATTTGTCATAAGGACTCTTCCCATTATAGGGTCTCGTAACGAACTCTTCTGCTGTCATCCCTAAAAAATATTGTTAAATGTAAATGATAAAAGTACAATCAGTAATGTCTGAGTGATAAAGGTATGAGCAAATAGTGTGAGTTTAAAATTTAGCATTATATTTGATTATGACAATAGTAAGTCATGAAATATTTCAAAAGTTTTCATTTAGTTTATGCAAAATTCATTTTAGTTTAATCTATTTAGTTTTAACCCTTACCACCTTAAATATTTAAAATGCACTTGCCATCTTTCAATATGGATATTATCGCCTGTCATTATTAGGCAAAACTTCAGATTTTGTTCTGACTTAGTAGCAAACAGTGCACACCAAGATCAGAGAGCCCAGATGTGCCGGCTGACCTTTGTCTATAGTGATGTCATTGGTAGATGAGGCCTAAATCACATATTTACCTGAGAATCTGATCGAGCCGGAACTAAAAATAGCCTCATCCGTTATCTCTTCCACTATAACTGACACAGTCGCTGTTGCATTTATCTTTGTAAACACTCGAAAGTCATGAACCTTTGCCTTGAATTCATGTTTACCTGCAGGAGTCTGCTTGTTCATTTTGATTAAACCATTGTTCTTGTTAATACTGAAATGCCATAAAATAAGAATAATTTTATAATACTGGTATAGTACTTTCCAGATTATAAGAAGTTTTATTCTTCTTCCTATTTTGAGGACATAATCACGATTCACGAAGGATGTCTTAATAAATTTTAGGGAAGATTAACTGAAATCATCTTTGATCCCCTTATAAGTTATAAGGGAATAAATGATGATTATCAAGTTCAAAGGGCATCAAAGATTATTATCAAATTTAATTTCAATTAATCGCCCCCTAAAATTTTAAAAGACTATCAACTTGACTGATAGTCAAAGTACAACTTCTGCAGAGGGACACCCTACAGGAGACATTGCTGAGAAGTGTTGCTCTAGGAAGGTTAAATCTATTGTCAAGCCTAAAATTTGAAAATTTGAAAATGTCATTGTAAAGAGGTAGTTGCTACTCTGCAAAGGTTGCTCTGTAATTGTTTTACAGAAATTGAGCTTTAATAAACTTTCCATAACAGTCCAAGTGCTTCAGAAAATAAGCATTAAATCTACAAATAGCCAAAGTCACTCAGTGAAATTACACTTCAACTGTTATAATAGTGTAACTTATTCAATAAAATTACTTTACCTTACAAAAATTACCTTTAACATTACTTATAGCTCAAGTTTATTTGTTTTTTAACGCTAATTTTTACACATTTTTAGGTCATATCTCGGTGGTTGCTCTATCTATTCAGCTTTCCTGGACAACTTACTAACTTACTAACAACTGTCACATAGAAATGTTGCTTTGTTTGCGGATCAAACCAGCAAACCTCGTATTACAAATTGAATTCTCTCCTTATTCAGTTCAGCTGGTGGACCAAAGAACCTCAACAAAAACTTTCAAAATTATCAAAACCCATGAATTCTGAAGGTGATCTAAACTTACCTGAAATATTTTGACATGGCAGGAGGTCCAAAGAAGACGTAATTTTTGTCAACAACATCCCAATCATCTAAATCAGCTGAATATACATTTCCTATTATAATATCTTCATCCACACCTGTAACAATAAAACATTGTTCCGATGACTGACTGACTTATTTATTGATTGATTGAATGAATGACTTATTGATTGATTGATTGATTGAATGAATGACTTATTGATTTGATTGATGGATTGATTGGGTTTAAAGATAATAAGTAGATTTAAGCCATAAATATCATTTAAATATTACTATTTCTCACAGCAAATAAAAACAGTTCATTAGACATGAATATTAATTTTCTTTTAACTTTAATTTATGTGATGCCTTCATAATTACAAGAATACATTTAATTGATGGTTTGTCAATAATAACTGCCATATTACTTTAATGTATTAACCACAAAATGCAGCTTTATAGATACATATTACATACATGTGACAAATGAAATGGGCCAAATCTGGATTTTCAGCTGGATTTTAAGGCTCAAAACTGGATTTTTTCATCGACTCGACTTTCAATGCGTGTTTGGCACATTTGGTTCAAAGAATCTACATGTATATTACTCTCAAAATCATTAGATGATTATACTTTTTATGATTTTTTTGTTGATCAATATTAATTTATTTCACCAAAAAATAAATAAATAGATAAATAAATAAGTGTAGTCATACAGGCTATTTCTAAAACAGTCACATTTTCACATTTCATTATTTTCAGTTTGAAAAATTATATCCGTCTTTTCAGTCATTCAATAATTGGCTACAAGCTATTTGAAAACGTGCAACAACTATTCATGAACATAAGACTCTGACAGTTAAATTACGTAACATAAGTAGAAGACTCAAAATAAATGCAAGAATCGTTCTGTTAATTAAATCCACATTTTTGCCTCGGTGATTGTGTAATTCCTAAACAAAACAAAAAAAAATACCCACTCACTAAAAATAGGTTAATTAGACATCTCGAACAGGTTTTTGAATGATCCACTTTAAATGATTCTGCTCACCTTTTATCTTTATCAGTGCGGCACTAATCAAAGAAAATCAAAGGTTGAGCCGAATTCATACATGTAAATTTACAGGGTAGTTTTGATGACGTAGCGTGTAATACCTACTGCCAAATTACAAAAGAGGTCAATTGACTGACACACGACATGTGTTAAGTTAAACATGTGAGAATTACTTTGGGTATTGGAACTGTTTATTACGTCACCTTGCTGTCAATTAGCGACTCAACATTTAATCCTCTATAATTTAGGATATGGACAGATAACAATTAATGCCCGGAGGCACGGTTTACATTTTAGATATAGGTGCTGTGTTTGATTTTTTTGATGTGTATTTATTTTTAAATATCGGGAATTCAAGCTGTAATATCGGGAATCGGGATCAGTGTCGAAATATCGGGATTTTTTAAAATCCCGCCGGGATGTCACATGTATGATATTATGCTATATCCTGTAAGTTAAATGGTTAAAAACAGTGAAGGCTGATGAATATAATTCATTAAATTCTATAGAAATTTGACAGAATTTTCTTTAATAACTTTCAATGATCTACTTCTGCTTCAGTATGAAATAAATTCTTGCAACTTATATTAACCTTTCTTGAACTAAATATCTTAAATAGACTTTCCATCTTTCAATCAGGATAAAACCAATCATAATTTTTAGTGATGATTTAATAATCAATAATGACTGAACAGTGCAGACCAGGATCAGGCAGCATGGACTTGCAGGTTGATCTTGGTCTGCACTGTCCACATGGGTAGAGTGATTTGCCACCAGTAGACTGTCACCAAACAAGTGCTCAAACACATAATTCCTTGGTTGAGAGACAGATACCTTAACCATTAGTTAAACATTCTCCCTTTCCTGAACTAAAAAGTATCAAACCATTTAATAGCCAAACATATAGAACACCAAACTCATTTTTTTATGAGCTAGAAAATATACATATCTTTATATAAAGAACCTTTCACCAGAAAAATTTCCTACACCTTCAACCAAAACTTGCAATGTTAAAAGCTTTGTATAAAGAATATGAAACCAATGATTTTTACACTTACAAACCAGTCTATGTGATGTTTAAATGAATCTTATGTTATGGCCGTCCTTATACACCAGTCAATTGTAGCCACGACTTTGTGAAACCCCCATATCCTAACCTTAATGCATTAAAGGTTTAAGTCCTTCTAAATTTAATGAAAGTTACCCAGTTATTACACTAGGATGACGATATAAACCCTTCCCTTGGTGGTAGAAATAACAATATTTAATGCATTAACACTGTAAGCTTGAATTATATCAGCAAAATAAAAACCATCACACTGAGCTGGCAGTGTGGGGAAAGGCCAAGGTCACATCTTATTTCCCCACTTTCCCCCAACATTAGCAAAAGTGGAATGGGGAAAAAGACTGTACAATTGACTAGTGCATAGGGTAATATTAACCCTTATCATGCCGAGTAAACTACCACTGCTAACTACCTGCAGTGCCGAATTAATTTATGTAAGTTAAGGTTAATTGGGGTTAGGTGATTTAAACCTCTCGTTCTACCTTATTATTTTTATTTGATACTTAAACCTATACATTTTTTAAAAGAAGATTAAAATATCTACTTAATGATATAAAAATTATTTTATTTCATTGAGTTTTAGTTTATAAATTTGCATACAAATATCATAAGAAATGTAAAAAAGAACAAAAATTATTAAGCAAAGTATGTAATAAATCCTCAATATATTCCTGCTCATTTTCTGACTGATCAAAATAATTATCAGTGCTACTAGAACAAGAACTAGAATTATGTATTTTTTCATCATCAAACAAGACATCTTGCACATGCATTTGTCTATTTTGCCCTTCTGTCATTTTTCTGAACTTTTTACAAATGAATAAAACTGAAAACATTCCACCATCCTGGATTATTTATGTTTAACTTGACCCCAGATTATAGAACAATTAAGATATCTTCTCCCCCATTCACTGGTAATTATTTCTTATCAGTATGACATTGCTGATTAGTGTATTCCCCGTTGTGTATTGGATTACTAACAAATCCGTGATATTTCGGTGTCGGCTGCTGTGGTAAGGACATGAAATCCGAGATAACTCGGTGTTGGCATGATAAGGGTTAAACATGTTACATTTTCAAACCAATGAAAAATGAGGGTAGAGAAAGTGAGGAATAAGGAAGTGAGATTTGTATTGTGGTGACAAAACAATTGCCAAGGTAACAATGATTTTTAGAAATACCCTTCCATAATTTACCTGTAGAATTGGAGTCTCCTGAAAAGATTATTTCATTACTATCATTTATAAAGACCAAACCTAAAGTGATGTTCCTATACATTAAAACAATTACCACTGATAGTCAAATACATGTAATTTCTTTACTATTTGTATTTTGAAGATAGGACAAAGAATTTCAGTCATTAGTATTCATCATATTTTACTGTCAAAGTTACCGATGATAAATTTCATAAAACATCTACAATTGGATCTAAATCACATCCTTTAACACAATCTGTTACATAATTTGAAACATTATCTATATCATGATTTGAAACATTATCTCTTACATGATTTGAAACATGATGTATCTGAAATATGATATCTTGCATGATTTGAAACATTGATTTAAAACATGATCTGAAACATGTTCTATTACATGATTTGAAACATTATCCATTACATGATTTTAAAACACTATCTATAATTACATGATTTAAAACATGACCTATAATTTTATGATTTGAAACATTGTTATGTTACTTAAATTGAAATATTAATTATTATATGTTATTACATGATTTGAACACATTCTATTACATTATGTAAAACATGATCTATTACATGATTTGAACATAAATTGTAACATCAACTATTATTACCTGATTTGAAACATTTTTGTGTATATTACATGCTCTATAGTTTGACATGGAAAATGGTCTAACAATGATATGTAACATTCACTAGTATACATGATTTAAATATACAAATTATAAATGATCTGTTACATGGTGAAAAACATGATTCACGAATTACACCAGTACAGCTATTAACTCCAAACAGTATATACAGCATTATTTACCTTTAAAGTCGTATTTATACACGAAGATATCTTTATGTCCGGGACCATGAGGGTGATTGTTCTCATCACCGATCTCTATCGTCATCGTGTTTGTTGCTGTACGACTCTGGGGATCATTTTTTCCCCGCATGTCCGACATTATGATGGGTAAGTAATGAAACTTCTGTTTGTCTCGGAAGAATGTTTTCTGAGCAGTAACAGTTCCTGTGCCCCTACCGTTGTCACCGGCTATAAATAGAAATAGAAATTGTAGTCAATTACCATATCAACATTTCACAAAGAATTTGAAAATGACACTTTCAACAGACCAAAAATCATACCAAGAAAAAAAACAGAGTAACTTTTCCTTTCTAATGCCATTTTAACTTACATGTATGAACTTGTTTAAATTCGTAAGAAATGGATTAATTAATCTTGATACAAATAATTATCATTTCAAATATTTTATAGCCACACTTGTTTAACCTTTTTGAGCGCAGGGGGGATTGTGTTTTATGTCACATGGACACTTAGAAAATATATTATTCATTAGTAGATAAATACCTGGATCAAATTCCATCGTAAACTCTAAGTCTCCATTCTTGCACGTTGGATTCTCTTCACAAGACGGCAGTGCGAAGAAGAACGGAGCACCAAATCTGGCCGTGTCTTTGTCCTCGGCTCTAAATGTGATAACAAACTTGGGCGGCGGTTCCAGCTCCATCACCATGGGTGGGTAGGGCAGTACAAACTGTGGCGCATTGTCATTGAGATCGTCAACAATTATACGTAGAATAGCTGTACCAGTCTTTGGTGGGTAACCTGCACGGAAAAAGGTTAACACGTACATTGATTAAAACAAATATAACAAAACATATTTTGTTAAATTGTTGCCGAATTAATTGTAGTGAATTTGAATAAAATATTATTTAACATCATGACAATTATGTATCCTCTGACTATTTTATACATATACATTAAATCTTATTTTATTCAAATTATTCTAATTTTCCTTTGAAATAATTTGAAACATTCTCATCTAAGTTTATTTATAAGTATGTTTGTTTAATTTTTTTTTATTATAAATTACACTGACACTTTAAAGGTCATATTGTGGCTTTCAAGCTTGATAGAAGGTAGACCTTTGTTGCCCCCTTTGAACATTATTTCTGGCAAAAATCTGCACCAGAGTAGAACCCCTGGCCTTTCATAAGTTGGCTGGAGAGCTTCCTCCGACAGGAGAATCCAAGGTCCCTGAAGGGATTCAAACCACAGTGGTAAGGGGCAAGTGATATGAAGTTTCTAAACAGTTTACATGCCCTAGTATAGACTGTATAGAATGAACTTATCATACAACAAAATCACCTGCGGAAAAAATGGACTTATATTGAACATATACATCATGATTAGCCGATGAAAAGCTACATAACAAATGTATAAGGTTTGGAATTTTAGTTCTGTATACCTTTATCGATGGCTAGTATATGAACCTCGTAGCGTTCTTCAGTGAGTCCAGCAAGTGCCTCCCTGTCTAATGTCTCGCCATCAAAACCACGTTGAACTCTGACCTCACCATTCTGATCTACAGTAAACCTACGATCTGGATCTTTACTACGATCTATAGAATACCTGTGACGGAAATTAGATTATACCTTGTTTAAACCATTGAATCTTATAATGTTTATCAACACAAAATATCTTGTAAAATGGTATATAGTGATAAATATTACATTCATCTCAAACTGGGACTTAATGTCCCACAAACATTTAAATGTTAAAGAATTAAATTTATTGACGGTTACATAGAATACCAGAAATGACTTTAACCTACAGAAAACACTATAAACCCCAGTTTGAATTCAATTTTATCTACCAAAATGTAGATATTTACTGTACTTTCTGTACTTGTTAAGTCAATTTTAACTGTATAACTTCAGATACGATACTTACACTTAAAGCATATCTTAACAAAAAAAGAAAGAACTTAAAAAAATTTTTGGAAACTTAAATGATGGTGAAAGAAAGGCTGCATGTTTCTGCTCATGTTCACATTTTATATATGTCTTGCACAATCACAAACTCACTCAAATTCTGCATTTATGGTATCATCTTTGTCAGTTGCGGTACATGTCCACAATAACGTCCCTTCCGGAATATTTTCCTTGTGTCGGATAGTTTTCACCTTAGGCGTGAACTCCGGCGCATTGTCGTTATAATCCTCTATTGTCACCTCGATGTAGGCCGTGTCTTTATGTAAACCAGTCGGCTCATTGTCCTTTACGATCACAGTCAGGTTAAAGAACTTGATCGTCTCGTAATCTACTTCCTGAATTACAAAAAAAAAATATTAGTATGTGTGTTCATTAACATTTTCTTATGTTTAAAGGCCCAGTATGCCTTAGAAATGGTTAAATTTTTATTTCTCAAAAGCTCTTTATTTTTGGTGTCCTGTTAAAGGTTTCAAAAAGATACTCATTGGCCAATCACCTGAATCATCTTATGTTGTTTTCTTGCAAATAGTACAATTATAGTGATATGGTAATTTGTATGGAAGTTTAAATATTACTTTGTTTACATTTTGATACTATTATGACAAAAAGATTTACTTCCAGTGCTATTTTCTTCAAGTATTAAGCATCTTAAGTGCCCTAAAACCATTATTTAAAGGTTAAAAAACTCATGCTGGCTTTTTCTAAAGATGAACAACGATTAGAGGTAAAGATTTAGTACAAAAATCATCAATATTAGAATGATCTGTGCCCCTCAATATTGTGGTAATATAACAATAAAACAAATCGACTTACATTATAAACAGTAAGAACCCCAGCATTAGGTGGTATATCTTCTACACTGAAGTATGCCCGGTCACTTTCTTTCAGTGTATACGATAATCGTGCATTCTCGTCTATGTCTTTATCAGTTGCCGACACCGTCACAACTGGACCAGACTTCTGGTTCTCCGACATACTGACTTTATAAATTTTCTGAAATATATCCCAAGTATAAAAGTAAAACAAGCCCATTGTACAAGCAGTAGTTGTGAATTTTTTTTTTTTTAAAGTTCATTGAAAATCAAAGCAAATGCCATACTTACATAAATAATCAAAAGTAAATATTCATTTCAACAATTAACTTTTGTTTACTTTTTTCCATTTAATGCCACACATTACATCATTTACCTTAAACATTTAAAACGTCTCAGGCAAGACATCAACACAACATATTTACAAATACCAATGCCCCTCAAACAGCCATTATTTACATCTAATTTATTTGTTTGCTTTCAATAAAAAAGCTCATTTCTAAGATAATTTAATCAAGTAAGGCATTTATCATAAAAAGCTACCTGAACAAACTGTGGAATTTGGTCATTAATATCGAGTATAGTAATCGTTGCTGTGGCACTGGTTCTCTTCTGTTCTACTCCTCGATCTTTAGCTACAATCGGCACAAAATATTGAGCAATATTCTCTCTGTCTAGGGAATCGGCTAGACTCGTCTGTATAAGTCCAGTGGCTGGATTTATTTTAAACAGGTGCTCTCCATTTGGATCTGCCGGTGGATTACCGAACCTGTCAATCTCGTAGATAACCGTACCGTTAAGTCCGGCATCATGATCTGTTGCTACCACCGTCATTACTGACTGATCTGTTATATTTAGAAAAATATCTTTGCATGAATACATAAAAGTTCATTTTAGTATACAAGATAATGCAAATACGACAATCTATAGTAAGTTTTAGAAAAATAATAATGGTAGGGGATATCCAAACGCACCTAATCTTTTTCATCAAGAATCAAGTTAGAAATTCTTTGAAATCAATAATATTGAAAAGAAATTATTTTAAAAAGATTTCATTTAATACAGTAAATACTTTTCTTTTCCAAATTTTCACCCAAAATAATTGACACTGGTTGAGACTAATTTTACAAATGTATCAGGTTCAGAAATTTGTGAATGAACACCTTACCTGCTTTAGAATGTTCCTGTACTGATCCCTTCAGATCACCCTCTCTAAAAACTGGAGCATTATCATTTATGTCCAGAGGTAGGACTTTAACGTAAGCGTATCCGGAAAGTGAAGCTGGGGTGTCAGGCTCGTCCTCTGCCCTCACATTGAACTGGTACACATCACGCCCATGTGGCTGATCTCTGTCCAACTTTTTACGTAGGAAAATTTTACCGGTGTCTGGCTCAATGGTGAAGACGGGATCGGCAGGCTCAGTGCCGTCCCCCGTGATAAAGAACCTAAAATTACTCTGGCGACTCACATCCTTGTCGGTAGCTGATACCTATAATATATATCAATCAAAAATAAGGCACAAAAGTATATGCAAAGTTAAGATCGTTGGAGACTGTTCCATGTATTACCTCGGAAAACAATAAGAATTACTTTAAACATAATCCGTGCCTTGACTGGTAACCCATGTAAAGATTTTAATGTTAACCAAACATAGAATAACAAAATGATGTCACAGGTTCAATTAATAGAAACTTATTTTTAATTGGGTTAGGTGAACACTGAACCTGCGTTTTAATGGTATATTTAAATATCCGACAAATGTTTTGTCCAAAAAGGTCTAAAACAAGAATATTAATAATAATAACTTCTTTGTAATTATATCAACTTGTAAGATACAATAACGCAAAACATCTAGTTTACATCAGAAAAAAAAATTATTCAGAAATTAGTGTTTTGAAATCAATGACACTATAAAACAAAATTATTAATATTAGCCTTGCAAAGCTAACTAGTCAATTAAAGTAAGTTTAGGGGTCATTTAAAGCTTGATCTATTTCAAACTCTGAGAGCAACTTTGTTCATTGTATCAAAACGATTTTACATATTTTTGCTCAGGACCATTCAAGGATCACTAATGTATTGTTTTATCACAATTGATTATGTGTTTAAGGAATAGATGTTGTTTAGACCCAAAGTTTACAACAGACCACAGGCAAAAGCTTGTCACAATACGTCACCCAAGCTACTTATGCAAAAACATTTACACAATCTTACTACAACATACCTGAACAAGAAATTGACCATCAGGATAGGGTGGGATAGTTTCTTCCACTACATTGTTTATCTCGTAAACATTTTGACTGAACTCAGGTGGGTTATCATTCACATCTGTCACATCAATCAGTACTTCCGTAAAGTTTTCAAATCTGCCATCTTGTACCATCACACGTAACTGGTAACTCTGTAAATAAGAGGTAATTTATTTAACTTTATATTTTAAACAAAACTGTTATTATTAAGAGTCTTATTAAAGATGCATGCCTTCATATGAGTATTTCAGAAAAATCAACCTGGGATAAATGTAAGAAAAGTAAATGTTTTAAAATCAACCCGAGAAAAAGTATACTAAGACTTTAAGAAAAGTAAAAATATTCACAATTCAAAGAATAATTTATATGTAATATGCACTTAATAACTGAATTGGCAGTATTTAACACCATATTTGTACTTTCTTGACTGTCGCAGTAACAGCTATTTTAGCATATCCAGAGCTATTTTTTAGTATTCCACGTAGATTATAAGTACTGTTTGCAATGTGTTAATTATTTTCTTGACAATATTTTACCCTTGAATACATTTTAAAATTTTTCATAAAAATTAACTCCAATAAACGCTCCTGTAAGTACAAATATATTACTCTTAAACATTTCAATCAGCCCTTATATCATTTATGATAAGTGTAATGAGAAGTGTAAAACTTTGTGGGTTTTAATATGTTCAGGAAAAACAGATGACTTATATTTAAGAACATATTCTGAGATTTTGAAAACAAAGAGACAGTGCTAAAATGTACCACTAACAAACAAAAATATCGAAGAAACTTCTAGCGACTAATGCCACTTACTGTCGGAGGAGTTTCATAGTCCAGTGTCTTAGCTACATAAATGTCCCCTGTCTTCTGTTTAATACCGAACACGTTATTTACATTCCCTTCAGTTATTGTATATGATAACTGGTCAGCTGAAATTATACAATGATAATAAACAAACCATGATAAATATTATTAGGCATACATGTACCCGTACATAAAAATGAATGAGTGTAAAATTGAACCAAGATATCAAGAATTCTATGTAAACATTAGTAAATTTAAATGATTCCATGTGTATATCTATATGGTTAAAACTACAGAAATGTTGTATATTATGTATGAATGAATGAAGTACTTTACACAGCAAGCTGTTAGCAAGAAATAAAACTTGGTCAGAGGAAAGCATGCCTCCATGTTAAATCAGCAAACACAAACTTGTACAAAACCAACCATTCAAGTAAAAGAATGTCAATTTAAAAATAAACTTTAGAGCACAGTCCATTCAAAATTAAATGTAAGCCAATCAATTAAAATCAAGGAAACATTAGCAGGCCAATATTGATTCTTATTTCAGAACCAAATTGTTTTACAAGAGAACAGAATACAATTTAAAACATTAAATATAAAAGGCTTTGTTCATACAATTTGCTACACATCAGATAACTTAATATTCCCAGCCAATACTTACTTTTTTTCTTTTTTTCTTTCTTAATATATTTAACATGCAAATTATTACAGCAGAAATTAACACTAAAAGAAAACATACAAATAAACATTCCATAACTCAAACAGATTAAAACATATGTATAAAACTTATCAAACAACTCTCAATCAAGTTTTACAAAGGCCTTCGAGTGTCACAGATAAAGTTGGCAGCTCTAACCATCAAAGGAATATTGGTGACATAAATGAATACTTTGAAAAATAGAAGTCAATTTTTAGCCCTTTGTGGCCTTAGCCTTGACCCTACACAGGTCCAAGAGAAATTGCATTTGTGACAAGAGTACAAACCACCCACTATTTTCTATGTTCAATATTTCTTGAGGGATATAATAATTAGTGCCTAATTCAACAGTAAAAGAGTAAGTAAAAATAAAAGAAATTAGCCTTGAACTGATCATACATTCAAACTTTCACTGGAATTTTCATAAAGACTATAGTTTTTTGATGTTTGTTAGGCTTCTTAGTCACACTGATACAGTAAAAGTCATTAGGCAACTTTCAAGCTTTTACTTGTGAAGGAAGATCTCGGATGCCGTTCTGTGCATTATTTCAGGCACAAGCAGGCCACCCAAATAGAACCACCGACATTCTTTAAGCTAGCTGGATAGTTTCCTCTCCATATATGCATTCAAGACATTTTCTCTTTAAAACTATTATGTCCATGACCCTTTTTCCATATTACGATCGGTTAAAACTGATCATTTCTCTCATTCAAAGTCAACAGAACGAAAAATAAACAAATACTATACACGGACATGCAAGACATGAACATAACTTTGACAAAATGTACATGAGTGAGAGACAGACAGACAGACGGACAGACAAGAGAACCTAACTGTGACTCAAACTCAATAATTTCCTAATGATTGGACAATGATCTACATACCTGAACCTGTTAATGAAGATGATAACATGATTTGTTATAATATGTGATAGAAATATAAATGCAAAACATACGTGTGACTATAGATGTTAATGTGTTGTCAAATGATTTAGCAATAAATGTATGTTAGATCTATATACTGTATGAAACTATGAATGCATAGCAAACTTCCAGCGATTAGTATATATGTCATTTTCAATAAAAACGCATTTCAAACTATGAAAATCAGAAATTCATATTTCTTGTCCGAGGCATCCATTTTTCTTGCATATTTAACTGCTTTATTATTGCCCAAATTATAAAAAACTGTTAACAAGAGCCTAACTTATAGTATTCATATAACCATTATTTTTTGTTAAACTGAGTGGAATATGAGGTGATATTGTACACCTATAAATATTTGTTCTTTTCACATAAACTTAATTTGTATATTTGCGCACACATTGTTTCCGCAAAAAAATAGTAAGGCAGTAATAATAATTATATACTTTTTATTTACCTTCGTCAAGATCTTTCGCTACGACAGTAAGAATTCTGCCGTTACTGTCGGCACGTTGTTCAGGTACGGAGATTTCCCATCTCTCCTTTATAAAGTATGGGGGATTGTCGTTCTTATCTGCTATCATAACCTGAACTTGTGCGGTAGCTAAAAATAGAAACATATTAAAGGGTGTTAGTTTAGTCATAATGTAATTTAGCTTAATTCCGATAAAAACTCTAGTTGAACCAGTCTTCAGTTCATGTCATTGAATAAACCCTTGGCTAGGGGTGTCACAGTAAGCAAAAACTTTAACCATTTTAACGGTAACCTAACAAACGTTTTAAACATTAAACCGACCTTACTAAAAGAACTCTTAGATTTTTAACACAAACTTTGTTTCTTTATGACAAGATATGACATTAATTTTGCATTTTGTTGTACCTGTTTAAACAGATAAATATGAAATCCCTTCTCTTGGCAGTAACAATACAATGTATATACAATTATATCAGAACAAGATCAGCTGCTACAACAGAGCTGGCTAATTATGTTCAACATTGTTCGCTTTTCATATATATATATCTTAAAATTTTTCCCTTAAAATGATGAATGGATTTGTTCAGATTGAAAGACAGACAAGTCCACTACAAGTATAAGGGATGGTTAACAGGTTCCTGAACATGATTATAACCCCAGAATAGCTTGAGCTATGTTGATCATTAAATTGTGAGGCAGATACCTTAACCAGTAGGCTGCCTCTCCCTAATAAACAGAATTATAAATCATTTTACTTATGACAAACTCTTTTTGTATTCCTTTTTTGTGAGTGAATATCAATTAAAATCTAAAACAGCAATTTTAAAAGATAAACTAATACTTTATCTATAAATTCAAATTTTGAATTAAATTTGGCTAAATAAAGTATCACAGCCATAAAAGTAGTAGTTTTACTTCAATTTGCTTCAAATAATTTATTTTTCACTGTAATAATATTTGTTTTATGTGCTTACTTATTTACAATTCTAACACGACAGGCATGCTTCCCCATTGAACATAGAAGAACCGAAAGTGTGCATTATAATGCAATACAATCACTGTTGATGTTTTATATTTAGAAATGTGACATAATCATTCGACATGTCACATAGTACATTAGTACGGAAAAAAAACAGGTACAATTTAGCTTAATATCAGGTACGGCAATATTTATTTGTTGATGTTGTGTTAGAATCGAAATAACATATCCAAATCGGTGATTTTATCGCCTGATAAAATCACTGTTTGTCGTTCGGATGTGCATCATTATATCACTCGAGCTAATAATTCATCGCATCCAAACTCCAAACAGTTTAGGATATATTATTTCTTAATATCAATTACAAAGATGGTGTAAAAAAATAAAATTGAGGGCATTTTTCTCCCAGAACCCTGCTCTTTATCATTAAATTGCACAGTTCAATCTAGCTGTAAATTATTGAAGGCCAAAAACCCTTTACAAACATAGAAATCAATTCTAATTATTATAAAAACATCATCTCATTCCTACCACTATTTGGTGTATTCTCTGGGAAATGTCCAGGAGCATCGGAATTGACACCATCTACAGCCTTTATCTTTATATAATACACGCTCTGTTCCTCACGATCAAACTGACTCCGCGTCGTTATAATCCCAGTAAACTTATCAATGTTGAAGTGCATGTACGCATCATTTGGGTCCTCCATCAAGCTGTAACTCACCTATAATGTTCAGTATTTCATATATAAGCCCTTATAGTGACATTGTGCCCATTTTGTCATTGTCAAGTTGTGCTGAATTGACATTATATTTCAAATGATGGTGATTGACCAACAGCTGATATGAAAAATCTTTAGGATAACATATAAATATGCCTAAAATATAAAAAGACTGTCCCACCCTTTTTATAAATTGAACATTTGGGGTAATTTCCTATTGAATTTAAAAAAAAAATTGTAGGGCCATGTAAGTTATTTATCGTTCATACAAAGTAAATTATAAAATTGAAAGGAATTATGGCAAGATATAAACTAATTTGACTTTCAGCTGTTCATTCACTAAATAGCCTTAGATGGGCATTATGTCACTTAAACTGGCTGAAATTAGCCTTTGACACCAGTATAAAACTAGGCCAGCTTAAACATTTGTACAATCTTCAAATTCAAATCACAGCAAATAAGACATAAGAAAATACAATAGACATAAAAGTTACTATAGGGTAAGGGTAGATACAATTTAAGGTTGATAAATTTTTTATCTACATTTGCCAAATTAGCTGACATCATTACAAACAAATTAACAGATAAGATGAGCCTGCCTCCAGATGTATGGTTTGCTAGGAATTCAGCTTAAAATGCATTAGTAACAGCAGTGTAAACACTTTTTGAAGTTAATGTTAGTATCTTATGATAGAATACAATCTCTTTAGTAACAAATACGGAATATTAGGATTTCAAACTTGAAAATGAAAGCAAGCATTAGACTTTTTATTTATTTTTGTTTGTATGTTGGTTATGTTTAACCAGACATAAGTACCCTAGAGATCATTACTGGGACTTTCAAGCCTTATCAGTAGAGCCGTAGAGGAACGCCTTTGGTAATCCTACATGCATCATTTATGCATGAGCTGAAATCTTTGCACAACCACTGACTCTACATAAAGTTGTTTGAAAGCCACCCGACATGAAAGATAATAAAAGTCCACAGGTTGGCTTAAACCTACAACAATGTTGGGCAAGTGACTTCAAATAAGTAGCTGTAACCTTAACTAATCAGCCACATAGGCCCATATTAAGTTCTAGAATTGTAAATACCTCATTGTTTGGGGGATCATGATCCGGATCCACGGCTTTTATCTGTAACACAGTCTTTCCCGGTGGTTCATTTTCTGGTACACTTCCTCGGTATGAGTTACTCAAGGTTGGGTCAAGACCCTCGAACTGTGGCGGCTCGTTGTTCATGTCCTTCACCACGATGATTGGCCGAATCTCAGCAGAGAGTGGAGTCTGCCCCTGGTTCTGTAAACATATATGTTCAAATCCCACATGCGTAACTAGGTATATAGTAAATACTCAACACCTTATTAGCTTCCAACAGATCAACACCATTTAACTTTCTATATAATGAAAATCTCTAACCATTAACCTTTAATGAATTTAAAGATAAATTTTGCTGATACACGTTTTCTGTAGTAACAACAAAGCTGTCACAAGTGACAGTGACCTACAAATATTACCCATATCATGTGTGGTTATATCATTGAGCAATGAGGTTCGTCCAAAATGTTTACAAAGTGTTTCATCTACAATGACAATGGAGTAAATAGGACAAATGGGTCAAAAGGCTAGACCCTCTTTGTCTTCAAAACTATTAGTCAAGCTAAAAATATCCTATTTTGACAGTAGCTTTATACAGAATATAATACACATACTGTAACCCTCAAGCGCAGCTCGTATCTGTTTTGAACATTATAATCAAGCTGTCCCTTCAAGATAAGTGTAACTGTATTTCCTTCTTGATATATCCTAAATGGCCCTAACTGTTGTACTGTGTTCTCCATCGAGTCAATCAGTGCAAATGACAGACCATCGAACGGTGCCTCGGTGTTTGAAGAAGCTTCCATGACTGCTATGATATATGGTATAGTAGCTGTCTCTTTCACTCGATATTCTCTCTCGTAGTTATCGTTATTCCACGTGGGCGGGTTGTTGGTACGATCAGTTATACTAATGGTGACAGAGCTGTACGCACTTAGTGGAGGGTCGCCCTGATCCTCGGCCTTTACACGCAGTATTACAGAATCTCTCTACAAAGATGTACATAAGGAAATTAACAAGCAAAACTTGAAATTTAAACTGGAAGTAATCACTTTATCCTTAATCATAGAAAACTTTATATATATTTACAAGATAATTAGCACAAATTTTTATGCATGAATTTCTGTTCCTTTAAAACAAATCTGACAAGATAAACTATTGTTTGTGTTGCATTAAAACACGATTCTTGTGACATTAAATGCTTTTTTAGAGACCATCATTTGATACCTCCAAGGCCAATCTGCACATTTTCCGATCATTATTTATAGCATTTTTGATTATCAAATTCACTCACAAGGGGCACCTCAAAATTCACAGCAGGGTTGGTCAATTATATACATATTCAGAACAGTCAGGTTTACTTCAGTACATGAACTACAACAATGCTTACCCCATATAGCCCTTTATCCAGGTATATAATACCAGTGTCTGGCTCAACGCTGAAGAAGTCTCCAGGATTATCTGTCAATGTGTAGATGATATTTGCATTTTCCCCTTCATCTCTATCAGTAGCACGCACGGCAAAAATTCTACGTCCCTGTTTAACAGATGCCGACGATGATTCGCTGACTGATGTGGCGTATGACGGAGAGTCGAACGTTGGGGAGTTATCGTTGATATCACCAATCTGTACCCAAAACGTGCAATGTGAATCGAGGGATTGCGGCTCACCCTGGTCAGCAGCTTTTACGGTGACCGGAATGCTGCGTGCACCAGTTAGAGCCTCTCGGTCAAATCGTACTGCTGTTACGACTCGTCCGTTTAATGGGTCAACTTCGAACTGTTTTGGTTGCCGTGGTGATGTAACAATGGAGTATGTGATATTACCATTGTTTCCTCTATCATTGTCAATAGCTGTTACCTGTAACACAGATGATAATTTTTGTAAGAAAACAGTTTCATTCTTTGCAGTATTCACCCATGAATATAAAAGTTATATTAATTAAATAAATCAACTATCTAGAACACTTAATTAAATATATTGCCATTGACATTTTTCTTACATATTCAAATAATGATTTAACGATAAAATGTCAAATTACCTACTTTTTCCTTTCTAATCTTAAAACATCTTTTGATGTCACCTTTAATGGCTTTAAGGGTCATTTTCTCATGTGGTTGTTCAATTACAGCATATGTAAGAAAATCAGGCAATCAAATGTCTACGTGAAAAATCTAACCTGAACAACAAATGTTCCGATATCTTGATTTTCCAGTACAGTTGGCGCATAGTTACAACTTGGAAACTGTGGCTGGTTGTTGTTTGTGTCTTTGATCTCGACTATGATAAAAGTGTTACTGGACAGAGACTTCGCCTCGCCACAACATGAGCCGTCGTCGTACGCTGTGATGTTCAACGTATAGAAGGGAATGGACTCTGGCAGGCCTCTTGTCAAAGTGATCAAACCTGAGTCGGGGTCAATGCGAAATGGTGGACTTTGTGTGTTCATCGCTGTAAAAACAGACAATAAAACATAGTAAGCTACATCAAGTAAAAATATCTAATAAAGTGAAACAATTAGGAATCCCATCACATTTAGACATAGACACATCATCTATCATTATAAATACATAGAAGTGTTACTTAGCATATAAAAACGTGTCTCAATTTGGGACTTTTTCAAAGAGTGGGTTTTGTCACACTGAAATCCAACAAGGCACAGAACCATAATATGATATGGTTGTTAACTTAACACTGATGTTGTGCCTCAGCAACTTGTTTATGAAAAAAAAAGCAAATATCTCAAAAATGTGATCCAATATCATTAACAGTTTATAAATAAATCTCTTTATAATACCTCACAATAAATGCATATAACCCTTCTATAATCTGAGGATTATAAGAAACAATGTATAGAAGAATGACAATTGTTTTGTTATTCAAATGCTTATGTTGATAATGGCATGTATATGCTATGAGTAAAAAAAACAATGACAGCTGCACTTTAAAGCAGTCTGATCAATTCCTTTACCGTTAGCTTCTCAATTTTAGCTTTTTTACATTAAAAACTCTAAAAATGACAATAAACACCCATTACGACAAAATATCACAGTTCCAAATGCAAAGAAAGGCAAGTTCATTATATTTTAGCATAGGAAGGGTTAAATACATTATAGCATTAATGTTTCATAGTTACATAAAAAAATAACCAGTTTTTTTATCTCTACTAAGGTGTGACATTTTGTAAGATCTTTAGAACATAAGATACTTACTATAAATCCTTAGGTAATTATTCTAGCATTTTAAAAGTATTAATTGCCATGTATAATTATCTAAGGTACTTATTGCAATTATGGCATCTTAAATGTATTTTTATATTGTGTCTTTGCAATGTAAGAAGGAATAATTTTCATATATAGAGGCTATTAAATGAGTGAAGATTCTTTACTTCCTTTATTGATTAAGTTCAATAAATTTAGTAAAGTAGCCCCAGGTATATATATAGAGAGGATATTCGAGTGGTATGAAATATGATAATTTTCATATCACAAGATGAAAATGAATCTTATATTCATGGAGAAAATTTGAATTTTTTTTATTTTATACTATTTCTCTTTTTTCACCTTACAATCGAGACTTCTCCTTTGATTATGTGTAATGAAAAAACACCAGTGAAAATTCGGAATATATTCCATGTATATATCTTTATTTTATATCTTCTATTACGTTTTACATAATTATCTTCCCATGTCCCAGGACTGGTGATCTCTGTAAGAAATTCAAATTTTTATATTTTTAGCCAATTGAACTTCAGTGAAATTCCTTTAACTGCTATTACAAGTGAAAATCACATACGTGTAAAATAATATTTAATATTATCTCCGTCAGCATCCGTTGCCTGTATGATTGTTACGACACTTCCTGCCGTCTGCTCCTCACTGATCTTGGTCAACAAATGCTCGCTGCCAATGCCAAACACTGGAGCCTCGTCATTAACGTTGGTAACATACACGATAACGCTCGCCATACCAGATCTTGGGATCCCACCTTTATCTCGAGCAGTCACATTAAACTTATACTGATGATCAGTGCGGAAGTCAAAGTCAAGTTTTCTGTAGGAGAGACAATAAAGATGTTCACATTTCATTAGTTAGGACCTATATAATTTTGTTAGAAATCTTACAAGTATTTTACAATGTTAAATTTCTGAAATTTCACTGAAAAAAAATAATCTTGATACATGTACACATAGGAAATTTAATAAATTGAAAATTGCAGCTTCAAGGTCAAGGTGAAGGTCACATACCAGTCCATCTCTTACTTAAGTAAGTCAAAAGCTCTTCAGTTTGCAGACTGTAAGCTACTAGCTTATTACTTGAACAATTTAAGTTCAAGGTCACAATTTTCTGCATAGACAAAAGAACATAGAGGACAAAAAACATCAAGTACTGCTGATCTATGGACCTTTCCGGTGTTTACAGTTTAATGTTAATTGACTAACTTGTTATCCAATCGCTACACTGAGATAATACATAGTCACTGGTTGACCTGGTTTGCACAAAAGAACACATGCTTATGTTTGTGATACTGTTTGTGAGCAGTTGACCTAGCAATGAATGGAAAAGGTGTGGCTAAATGTTCCGCTACGAAAAAACGGAAAGGTCCATTGCCACATGTGGAACAAAAAATTTAAACAATATACAGTCTAACTTGCCCATGCGACCACGTGTATTAAGCGACTTTTGTTTTAAACGACCACTTTAAATTCCCCCCGATCATTTTCTCTCTTTATCTTTAATGTATTAAGCGACTTTTGCTCAACGCGACCAGCGACCGCTAATTAGTCACCTAATTGACATCAATCTTTTCATTAAACGACCACTTTTACCTGTCAAGTAATTGTGTTTTTAGAGAACGCCACCTCGTTATGTCACAAGTGTCAGCAATCAAAACACAACAATAAACGTGTGAAAAACTCTATTTCCCATACCGTTTTAGCGTATGCAAATGAAGTTAAGTATACGCGTGACGTGTATTATCCAATAATATCGGATAAACAATGCAACGCTCCGCCCATACTGAGATGGTGTATACGCTTCGTTTGTTGACATTTAGACTGCATTGAATTGACCTTGAACTTGATCAGCCATTAAATTAATCGTAACAAATAGATGTAGTTTGTTTTATTTCAAATGAAAAATGCACAACAGAAAACATCTTCACTAATAGGGTTTTCGTGTTGGAGGACAAGGAAAAACAACGGAGAAGTTAAAAAATTCTGGAAAAAATGTCAAACATGTACGTAATGGATCAAAACTGATTTTGACAATAAATATCAGAGCGTTATTTTTACATTTGCATCAGTTTAGATTATCGGAGCGTACTTATTATTCAACATTTATATAAAAATGAAGTTGAAAAACAATCCCATCGAATAAAAAAGATGTCATTTATAAATTTTGACTTTTATATCATGCTGACTGTCTTAAGAGACCGTTTCATTAAGCGACCGTTTTTGGTCTTTCCCTTGCCCGGTCGCTTAATACACGTTTGACTGTATAATGCAAACATTTACATAAATATCATATAAAATATACAGTAATATTGTATAATTTAATAATTCATTAATCATATGTACAGAAAGTAATCAACTGTGAGATGATGTATTTGCGAATCTCCGTTGTAACACAATACTCAGTAATTGCCTCCAGAATACAGAAACTCTCTGACAAGTTAGTGAAAGCTCAATGACAATCATAACAACCTTCTTTGTTCCTAACCATCAATTTTTTGGCGGGGAAAAAAAGTTCCATGCTTAGATTCCTAGAGATGTGCGGTAGATTACGCATCAGAGTAGGTTATTTAAAACATTTTTTTGTAAAGTGTTTCTAATTCTGTAGTGTGATAATTCTTTATTCTATGTTTGAAATGAATGATGAAAATAGAGGATATTGAATGAGTGTAGGTTTAATACTAAATTTATTGAACAAGTTGAATAAAATCATATTATGCGAGCCTCTGGCGAGCATAAAATTGTTTTATTCAACGAGTTCAATAAATTTAGTATTGAATCTACACGAATATAATGTTCTATTTATCACATATATAAAATAAGAACGGTAAACTGTTAACAAGAGTCATTTTTCTTTGACGCGCCGATAGTGTAACGCTAACATTAGCGCGCTTTAACGCTATGTTTATAGCGCAAATTACGTGACGTCAAAGTGTTATTACACTAGTGTAATATTGACTAGTGTAATATCGTTTTTATTAAATGGCTTTATTACACTCCTGCGCCGCGGTCTATGTGATAATATCGAATAATATCAGGATAAAACTTTTAGGGTTACTATGATTTTGATTTTTTTTTTTTTTTTTTGGCACGAGTGTTTTGATTTTTTTGCATGAGGGTTAAAACTTGAATAATTTCAACACTTTTATGACCTAATTAAGGCTCATACCTGAAATTGGGCAGCTGTGGCTGAATGTTTAAGGTCTTCATAACCATGTTTTCTTGGTTTGAGCAATACTGGGGTCACAACAATGATTTGTTTCAAAACTAAACATAAATACATAGTTTTACATGTAATGTTCAACTAATTCAAAGACCTAAGTTCATAAAAAGACCCTCAAACCATGGGGCCATTAATCCCCTTTTGTGAATACATTTGTAAAATTAACGTACTGAGCAACTGTGATCTGTCCTACATATTGGTTGTTGATGAATTTTGTCTGTATACTGAAATGGTTGTCACTGACAAAGTACTGTAACTCCCGATTTATACCAGAGTCCCTGTCTGTCGCCATAACTGTAAAATAAAACATAATTATCTGATGCTAATTCTGAATATATAAAAGTACATCACTACAACTAACATAATACAAGATTTTACGTTTGCTTATTACTGGTTTCATTCATGATTGGTGAAATCTGACCAAACTCTATAGTGTTGGTTGACAAAATTCAAATTTTCATCTTGATATCCCCAAAATTGATAATGGACAGTTCCGTAAATGGAAGCTAGTCCAGTCTTTTTTTCTTTAGAAATTCGGCAGGATAAGGGTTATAACCACCTACTGTATACAGATAAAGAGTAGACAAAGTTAACACACCTTGTAAAGGTAAAGCTGGACCTCCAACAGGGGTATTTTCTGACAGCATGAACGTGTACGTTGATAACTGAAACTTCGGACTGTTGTCATTTACGTCTGCTACATCGATTATCAACTGAAATTATGAATAAGTATATCATTCATCATATAGAGAGAAAATAACACAACTGTACTTTCATACATTGCATAAAAAAATTGTTATAAATTTTGATACCATATCAAAAGGAGAGATACAGCAGGTTCCCTAGCAGAACGTTTAAAAAAAATAAAATAGGCGAAAACAGGGAATAAATAAAGTCTGTACAAAACTAGCAAAAAGCCAGATTTTACAAGTTGTAGTAATCAGATGTATGATAAACAAGATTGCATTTGAGAAAAATGCTATGCCACCGCATGGTTCAAATTTCATAGCTGTACATCAAAGGACAAGAAAGTAGGTCACATCATCAAAATCTAGGTCACCTGATATCAAAAGTTCAATTTTACAACTAAAACTGTGCACATGGTCAAAATGTCATTGCTGTACATCAAAGGACAAGAAAGTAGGTCACTGTCCATTGGGCAAGGCATAATTTTGACCCAAGGGTTTAATTCAAAACAATTTGATACAGGTCCACCAAACAACATTTCAAGTCAAATATCTAAGCTATAGCTTTCTCCCATTCAGAAAACATTTGTTTTATTTTCTGTTTTTACTATGTGTACATAATGAGAATCACTGCCCCCGGGCAGGGCCAATTTTGACACCAGGGGAAAATTTTGAACAACTTTGGTAGAGGACCTATAAATGATATTATATATCAAACATCAAAGCTCTATGCCTTGTACCTTCAGACAAAAATACTTTTTTTATTTTTTCACTATATGTACATAATGAAAATCAATGACCCCCGGGCGGAACCAATTTTGACCCAGGGCTATAATTTGAACAATCTTGCAAGAGGTTCAGTACACAATGTTTTCATGCAAAATATCTTAACTCTAGCCTTTGTAAATTTAGAGAAGATGATTTTTTAAGTTTTTACTATATAAATATATATATAAGGAAAACCTATGGCCACCGGGGGCGGGCTAATTTTTGACACAAGAGGCAAAATTTGAATTACTTTTGTAGAGTACCTTTAGATGATATTATTTAAACAAATATTAAACTCTAAGCCTTGTACCTTCAGACAATAAGATTTATTTATTTTTTACTATATGTATATATTGAAATCAATGACCCCAAGGGCGGGGGCAATTTTGACCCTAGGACTATAATTTGAACAATCTTGCTAGAGGTTTACTACACAATGTTTTCATGCAAAATATCTAACCTCTAGCATTTGTCAATTGCTAGAAGAATTTTTTTTGAAGTTTTTACTATAAGTTTTTTACTATATACATATAAGGAAAACCAATGACCCCCGGGGCGGGCCGATTTTGACCCCAGGGCTATTATTTTGAACAATCTTGGTAAGGGTCTACCAGACGATGCTTATGCAAAATATCTAAGCTCTAGGCCTTTTGGGTTTTTACAAGAAGGTATTTTAAGTTTTTACTATATGAACATAGTAAAATCAATGACCCCCGGGGCGGGGCCAATTTTGACCCCAGGGCTATAATTTGAACAATCTTGTTAGAGGTCTACCAGACAATGCCTTATGCAAAATATCTAAGCTCTAGGCCTTTTGGGTCTTTACAAGAAGATTTTTTAAATTTATTCTTATAATTCCTTTTGGTTGCCATGGCAACCAGATTTCTGCATGGAATTAAATTCTTTGAACAACTTTGGAAGCCCTTCACCCAAGGAACAATCCTGCCAAGTTTGGTTGAAATTGGAATCGTGGTTTTTCACAAGAAGATTTTTTAAGTTCACTATATAATCTATATAACACACACACAAACACACACACAAACACACACACAAACACACGCACACACACACAGGTGAATCGCTATATGCCACCGCATCGCAGATGCTGCGGTGGCATAAAAACCATTATCTTAATTCATATTTTTATTTCATAGCAAACATCATTTTAAATATCGCCATTTGAACACTTTGTTCTTTGAATGAAAGCAGTAATATCCAATCATTATAAAAAAGTGTTCATCTTATTAAAGGGAGAAAGTACTCTATAAATTATTTATGTAATTAGAGAGCAAGTGTTTCAACACCAGGAAAAGTATGCCCCTTTTCATGTCAAAACTCCTTATTGTGATGAAAAACTAGCAATATTATGGGTGTTAAATAGGAACAACGACAAACTTGGCACACTTTAAAAAACTGGAAAAAAGTTACTGCAAGCCTGACAAAAGGAAGACAGTTAATTCAAACAGGTTTTAGATTTTTTTTCTTAACAAGTTGAATGAAAAGGTGAGAAACTCTTATTGTCTGTTAAGATATTCAAGTTTCAACCCAGAAATGCTATTTGACCTATGGATATAGGTGTTTCAAAACCTACACATATAGTCGTAGAAGTCCATGCTTTGTAACTACATAATTATGAAATATCCAAAATATTGGCCAATTAATAGAGGACCTGTGAGAAACAGCAAGACTGAGGGACAGAAGAAAAGAGGGAAGGACCAAATAACAATTATAATTATTACCCCCCAAGGCCACCACCACCCCACAACCACACAACACACAAACACAAAAAACTTCGGCAGCATTAAAAAAAAACACAGCAAAATTAACAACACCAAAGCCTTTAGAACTGAGGCAGTTATGTTTTTCCTGCCATTTCCTGAACCACTTTGAAAGTAGAGTAAATTCAATTAGGCATTGAAACTGCACGAAGTTAACTTAATTTCACGTAAAGATTTCTTCAATCTAATAAAATTAGATTACAACCTGCAGAAACTGGAGCCATTAAATATAATGCATTCAAACTTTATGTGTTTCAATACCAGGAAATACCAGATTTCCACTTGTAAATGTAATGATTTTTGAGAAAAACAGAATCGAGAGTAAATTTCTACTCCAACAATACATGAGGAATTTTTAAGAGTAAAAGAGTCATCAGGAATGTAGCTAGATCTAAAGTAATCATTAGGCCAACTTTTTAGGGGGTTTTGGAGCATACACCCACCAATCCGCCCCCATCCCCACAACAAGTTTGTTTTTTTTACTCTGGATTGTAAAAAATGCATTTTGGTCTATGTTTAAATATGAATTATAATATCTAACAATAAATATGTTCTGGGGATTATTAGAAATTGAAAAGAGACAAATACATTTTTATTTTGTCACTTTCTTGAAAAATGGGTCAGGTGGCAACCTACATAGCTTGTAGAAAGCTGCATCACTGGTCATGAATATACTTATGCTGGTTGGGAGAAATATCACCAATTTTTGAAGATGAAATTGGGAATTTTCTACTATTCTGTCATTTTGGAAAAGGCCTAATTCAGCATTGTATACAAAAGAAAATCACTGTGTTTATGTAAGACATGTTGCAGACATGGTGCCTAGAATATACCTGCGAGGTGCTTGAGAGACCAGTCTCTTCCTCAGTGGCGGTAACATTCAGCGTGTACTGGTTTGGTAGTTCCTCGTAATCTAAATCTTGAAGAGTCTCGACATATCCGGTACTGGTAATGCTGAACAAACCGGACAATTTACCATTGGCCTTGGTCAGGTTAAACGTTGTCTTGTTATGAACCGAATCTTGAAACAGTTTCAAACGAATCCGCAAAAAATTATTGTCCATGTCTAATATTCTGAAAAAAACAAAAGAAAAAGAAATGTATTGCTGACCAGACAATTTGAACTTTGACAATATTTTGGTTGGCTTTCTACCAAGACCTTGCTGGTACTAAAAGTGATTTAAGCCTTTAACACCAGTATAGAGCTGTCAGCCTGCATGTCTGTGCAATCTGACCAGGCTCCATACTGTTAACTGACTTTTTTTTTAATATTCATATTGATATCCCCAAAATTGATAATGGACTGTCCCAAAACTTGAGGCTGGACAAGTCTATTCAGGAATTTCAGCAGGCTGAAGTGTTAATTTAGGCTGACACTGGAAAGGTAAATCGGGAAATTTTTTCTATCATTATTGTAACAAACACAACATAATAAATGGGTATCCAATATATCATAATGTGTTCAAAAGTCATAACTCTACAATACAGCATAAACTGTTTTTCATATAAAATCTTTAGACAACCATTTTAAGGAAGAAAACAACATCTTAAACTATCTATTTTATTGATAAACAGTGTCTGGAAAAAGCCTACATTGCAAAATAAAGCAATGTTTCACATGACAAAAACAAATACTGAAAGTTGTTGCAAATGGGCAAAAAAGCGGCTTATAAATATTTGATGACACAGCAGTTTTCACTTGCATTAATATTCCCAGGATATTGTACAAATGTAGCTAAATCTACAGATTTCAGAGAGTTCTCAATAAAAGCACTTAGAATTTCTACTTGTATGATATTTGTATAGATTAACATGTATAGATTTTTCTGCTGATCTAAAAACTTGATTTGTATTTGGACAGCTGTTGTAACTTTTGACTTTAGTAGATACATAATAATTTACAATTACTATTTTACAATTTAAATATTACTTTTGCAATAAATGTTATTAAATTAAAACAAATTGTTCATTTTTATTGCTTAACCTGAAATTCGGATAAGTATCAGCAATCAATGAATTTCATAGTACTTACATGTACATACAATAATCAAATTTAAATGAATCAAATTATTTTCATAGCAAACACTTAAAGGAACGAGTGTTACCATTTTGTATCAATCAAGGAAAATGAAGTTGGGGAAAATTCAAACAAATTCCCAGAAGACATTGAAAACTTTTAAGTGTTTTAAGTGTTGATAGCAGTCCATTGCAACCAATACAAAGCCAGGTCCCAGCCTGTATATCAGTGCAGTCTCACAGACCAGATCCTATGATTTTGTTTGTTTGGTTTGGTTTTATGGTGCACCAACACAATATATGTCGTATGGCACCAGAACACTTTTGAAAAGATGGTTTGGTACTCCCACAACTGAATATTACTATTCTGATATTGATATTCCATAAAATACAAGTGGACTGCTCCAAGTTAAGAGCAGACTAGTCTATTACCTAAAATAAAACAGTGAATGGGTTGAATTTATTGTTTTATCAGTAATGGGTAACTTACTTGCTTCCTGGACCACTTCTCTCATAAACTTTAGCCCTGAAAGGATTTTCAAACAGCTGAGGAGGTCTAAGTCCGACAAGAACTTTTACCACGGCAAAGTCGGACTTCTGCGATGGCGAGGTTCCAGCTGCCATGTCCTGTGCTGACACTACTAACGTGAACTCTACACCGTTTGAGAACTGACCAGGACCGCTCACCATTGTAACGATTTTACCAACAATATCACCAGTGTCTAGGTCTTCCTCCGTCCTAATACGAAATTTCCCTTCCCCACCTGTAATGAATAGACAAAATAATCGTGAATTAACAAAAATTGACAAAATAATCATGAATTAACAATCAGTTTAAAATTATTTTCATTGTGGCAGTGTAAGAAAACTACAAATATTAAATTTTAGTATAAGCATCAGGGTCTCTCTTGCAACAAAATACTCAGCCAATAAAAGTAACAATAATCTGTAAACAAGTCCTGTCTGGGGAGCAGCACAATCCATTAGTAAATGGGTAGTGTTGTTAAAACATTACCGTGTATTCGAAATAATGACCATTAACAACAAGAGCATTGTTTTTTTACTTTTAAGAAAACAAGTTTAAGTTTTCCTTTTTTTTTTTAAATTTTAATAGGTCTGACTTTTCACAACCTTTCTTTCATATATAACAAAGTTAAAGCAAGTTACAGAAAAAAAAGAAGAGCTAAAAACATCTTCAGGAAAGTCAATGAAAACCAGTATTAAATACTAAGCTTTGCTTTTTCTTTAAAAAGTGGAGCTAAAAGTATTCTATTTTCTATTTCAAGAAAATCAAACTTGACAAAAATGATTTCAAGAAAGTAAAAATATTCACAGTTAAAGAAATAAATTACATGTTATATGCCATTAATAGATGATTTTGCAGTACATTTATTTATCTGTCCATATTTCGACTGTATGACTAAAGTTTAGTAAAATGGACTATTTATGCATATTCTGACCTAATTTTGATAATTTTCTTAGATTTTAGTGCCGTTTGCAATGTGTCAATTACTTTTTTATTCATTTGATGTCATTTCATGAAATTTTTTAATAAATTTAAAAAATCTTCATAAAATTTTTCATAAAAATATAAGCATGAATCTGAAGGCATGCTGCTGTAAAAGTCTTTATTGTTTTCATATCATCTTTCTCATTCAGTGACAACAACCCTGATATAACTACAATCAGACAGTAATGTTGATGTTGTTTTTCTCTCATATTCACTTAATTGTCATTATAAAGGTCTTAGCTTCCCTTGTACAGAAAGACGAACATTTCTATATTGACCTGTTGCTGACCTTGACTTGTTAATATAACTTGTAGCTTAGTGTAGCTTTTAATGATACAGAGCTAGGAGAATGAGAGAGAGTGAGTTTGGACAGGAGAGTGTTAAACACCGAAACAATGACAAGTTTATGGCCAACAGCCATGTAATTGACTGCTATGACAAGCTAATATCTTAAGATATTACAATTTTCTTTATGCAGCCTCCTCTCCTCTAACAGTAACATCGCTTATTTTAAGAGTTTTTTGATTAACTGTCCCGCACTGCAGACAAATTATATCATTACCCATCACATTGCATATCATATATCATAATGATAAATATCATATATCCTATTAAATGATAAAAGTCTACCTCTCCGTGTGATAAATGTGTCTGCAGTGCACAGAAATTCAAAGAGAACTCTTCACTATTATAGAAGGTGGAGGAAGGAAAGAACATTAACTTTTAAGTAAAACAAAACATTGGTGGTTTAATAATGCTCAGGTGCATCAAATACACATGGCTGAAGCAATGAACAGAGGGCCACCTAAGGTCTTCATCCACGAGTAAAGCTTGAAGCATAACGCCATACAACTATAATAGCATTGGCGCCAAATAAAAGTTAAACTCCCAGAATACGTGACTTTTGTGGTGATTACGAAATGATAGAACAGGACAGGTCCTCGATGCTATCAAGGTAAAGTAAACCCAGGCATTGACTTATGTGTAAAATGCGAATATAATGGGTGCATTATTCTAGTGCAACCTCTTAAATTAACAAACGACTACTCCATATTAAAAGCAGCCTATATTGACTTATTACATAGATATTTACATTGAAGTCAACTTTAAATCAGACTTTATATGGATTATTCTCCTAGATTATTCAGCTGTTATATAACATAATACATGTACATGTATAATAGGGTAAAAATATTTTGCCATTGATGTCTCCTCCAAGTATATGACTTAACAATTTTGTATATTTTCCCTGCACTCTTAAAAAAAAAACTTTATAAAACAACCACCTCCGTGTTGTGAACTATTTTCATTTTCCCAGCACCCTTAAAAAATCTTTATAAAACAACCCCCTTAGAAAGACTTCACAATATTTATGTCTCAAGTACAAATGACCTTTTAAGGATGCACCTGAATAATCCTGGAGAATAAATCCTTATAAAGTCTGATTTAAAGTCAATGTAAACAGATGCTTGAAAGATATCTAAAATTGGCTTCAATTATGACAAAAGAATCTCGATTTCCTGCTCCATTAATGAGAGAAAAAAACATGAAAATGTTCCATTATCATGCTATTGTCACAGAGGCATGGATTTTCATAGAATCCATCATGATATACAGGGATCAATCCATCACTACTACTCTCTGATAACAGAAAACCCTGTGGAGACAGTCAAGCAATTGTTTTGTTGTCATTAAGGAAACTATAGGATTTCACGCTGATGCTAATGAATGTTTGAACACAATTTTTTTTTTTTAGTTATTGGAAAATCATAGACAATCATAGACGATCAAAACGACTACATATACAGACTGTTGATGCTTGGTATGGAGATTTGGCCGCGATCTTAAAATTCTTAAAAAAATCTTACATATGCAAATAATTATAGTAACAGTATGCATAAATGCTATATATCTGCTTCAAAAATTATTGTTTGTTTTAATTTTAAGAAAGGATACTTCCAAAATGCATGTATGAAACAAATATGGAAGTAAAATGCCTTAAAAAAGAATGGCGAATGGAAAACAGATAACACTACTTAATTAGTGCACAATATTTTGTTGCTGAACATTTTATTTTGTTTATGTACAATATTTATGTGTGCTAAATTATTAAACAGAGACATTGTATGTTACAACCCTTTTCGAGAATTGAACCATAAGGTTATGGAACCAATATAATTTTACTATTGATAAATTTTATAAAAATATTTTATAATATATATCTTTTATACCCTTTAAATTCAACAAATAATATTCATTGTAACTTCTAAACTATTACAATAAGTATATATGTATGGAAGTATGAAAAGCACATTAATATAAAGAATACCGAGTAACAGGTGTGTTATTTATACTTAAACATATCATAGAAATTTCACAGGTGTGCTATTTATAGCACAATGTATAAACATATTCCCCTTCGACCTGCCCTAACATTTTGTTAGCATTGATTACTCAATTACCATTTTGCATCATTATCTTCATTTGACTTCAATAAACATTGTACATTTATTCTTTAGAGTTAAACAAATGTAAAAGATTCACTGTTGGAACTATGTTTTAGTCGTTAGGATACAGATGCCGTTGACAGCTATTCAGATTGCATTAAAGTAGTTCTTAAAAGACTCATTGTAGTTTCCTATAAGGTAACCTAGTGTAATAAATTTCTATAATTTCCTAGAATTTAAGATGAATCCTAATTACACATGGCAGAAGATTCTAAGTAATGAGCCAGAGCTATAATAGTAAATGTGTAAGTTATCCTAATTTCAGACCATTTGTAATTTAGCTTAAACAAAAAAAGGGTTTCAATGATATTGCACTATTTCTCATGCAAAATTCATATACAGTCAAGCCGTGCCAGTGCACAGAGTAAATTCTGTATGTGCCTCATTTCAATAGATTTTCTGGTCAAAATGATAATACAATGTCTGTGGTATAAATGTAGGAAATCAATTGAAGTTGGCTGTTTTAGAAGAGAAAACCCCAGGAATATAACTGTTTTACATAGGGAACAGATTACTGGAAGTTTCAGGTAGCAATTAAGGTAAAATATCCCCTACGTTCTTTTAGCAAGTCTGTCACAGTTGACGTACTTAATTACATTGATATGGACATGAACTATTTGAAAACACATTGAAAAGAAAATTGATAAATAATCCTGAAAAAATAAAATACAATAACATGTCTACATATTGTTGACTGTATGATATATGCAACATAATTCTAAATCAAAGAATCTACTATTCATCTGACCTTTACGTCAATTGACAAACATGCAACTTTATATTTTGCTGTTTTCCATGATGAACATATCAAGCCTCTATTACATTACCCTCAGTAGATCTACCAGCTCGTTCCAGAAACGGATTCCGAAGTGTTTCTATAAGCATATAGCTTCCAACACAATCAAACTAAAACAAACTCTGCATAAATATTACAAAAATAACAATTTAAACATAATTTACCTGATTCAAGGTTATACTGAAGGCGTGAATTCTCGTCTGGGTCGTACGCATACAGAGTGTATACATTCTCACCGAGACCAGGGTTGGTGGAGACGGTCGCCAAGAATGGTACAGGTTTGTTCCGAAACACCGGTTTCTCATCGTTCTTGTCTTGAACACGAATTGTCACCTCAACTATTGTATGATCTGGAAAATATATAATGAAATGGTTGATTAAAATCTAATTTAAATAGATTCAAAAGAGCATTTCTTCATTTGGTTGAGTTTTCAGCCTGTATAACTGGAGTGCATTCATCATATTGTATAATATTGTGTTTCCATGAAATCTTATGATCTAATAATTTTGAACCCTGATAATTATTCAGTCTTATAATATTGCATTTACATGACAATCTTGTAAGTCAATAATTATCAAACCATATTCTAAGTCTTATAATATTGTATTTTCATGACATTATCTTATAACCCAATAATTATCAATCCATATTTGGTCTTGTAATATTGCATTTACATTGGACAATCTTGTAATTCAAAAAGTATCAACCCATATTTAGTCTTGTAATATTGCATTTATATGACAGTCTTACAATGCGATATATAACTATTATAAAACCCTATTTAATTTTGCAGCATATTAATGACAGTCTTATAAGTTTATTAACTTGGGCTATATGCTAATTCTGGAATTTAAGGAAACCAAACAACAATAAATTTCTTTTCCTTTGTCATGTACAAATTGCTTCAGAAACATAACTCTGTCACTTTGATGCCAAACAAATAATTGGCATGTCCCATAATTCCCCCCCGACACTGGCATATTATAAGACCTGACAAAACAAGGCAGAGTCATTTTAGCCGCCTGTCTCTTTAAGTGGACACAACTATGGCTGCATGCGTTTTAAGTGTGGTCGATCAATTACCAGGGCCCATTTCTCGCCCTACGGGGAGCTGTGACCAGTCACCGGGATTAATTTCATGCTTCACTCGGATGGAATAATGAAATTAGGGACATCTTTGCCAAGCGAATGAGCTGAATTACAGTCAGCAAACATCTTCATTAGCAAGATATGATTCATGACTTTATTTATCTGATCACATTTCATGATTTTCTCCATCTTATAATAGTTTATAGCACTCAATTATACAGCAATGAATTTTCTTCACCATCCAAATTGAACAAATGATATACAAAACTGCCAAGTCATTGAAATAGATCAACAGAGAATAAGCAAAATAAAAAAGATTGAAAGATGCTCAGCTCTTATCCTGTTTATCCTAGACTGAATTAACTTTATTAAGTCACAACAATACATATATTTAACACAACAATACATATATTTAACCAAAGACTAAACATTCTCCAATTTTTATATTTATGTTATATAAAGTACACAAAAGAGTTTGTAGGCTTTTTCCAAATTGTTACTTGAAATAGCTCAAATGTTGCTGCATCAAGAAAAAGTTTTGGCAAATTATTCCATTTGGCTTTACAAATGTTAAAACTCAAATTTAACAGGATTATAATATATAATTGTTCTCTTGATGGCAGCAACAGATTCTACCCATGTGACCTGTGCCAGCAGATCATTTGTTGGCACTATTAGCTATTCTGTCAATGGATATTTTCCCAAGAAAAAGATTTTGTCCAGCTTGTCACATCCATGAAAATAGTGTGTTATATTTTGTCTGATAAGTTGCTTTTATTTCATCATCAAGATAATAACTTTAAGCAAATTCAAAACATCTTTATTGATGTCTACCATTAATTCTATTGAGTGAAGCATTAATTGTTTATATTGAGAAATAAAAACAAACATGTTTCACTGAAGAAAAATCACTCTTTTTCTTTTTTATTTTGTAAAAGCTTTTTTTCTTCAACATTCTTTGCTGAGCTAGGAGCCTGACTGTACAGAGATATCTGCATGATCTATTGTAAATCTCAAGACCATGAAAGAACGGCAGGAAAGAACGTGTAAACATGAAAACACCACCACTAGATCTGTCAGTAAAAATTGATCAGATACATTGTTTGCCTCTTAAACTCACTTGCATTTTTTATTTCTTATCTCAGAAAAAGCAGGGTTTTTTTCCCTTGTAGACTGACAGACTGGTAGGAGCCTAGGCGTTGGTAAGTACATGATGTATACATAAAACAACCATTGTTCCATGTATAAACATTCATTTACTCATTCACTTCACTTCATTCATACATTGTGCCCCTCTTTCTTTCTCCATAAAACACTCATTATCTTCCCAATAATAAATGATATTACATGTAATTTTCTCTAATCATCATAAGTATATATTTAGATTTTTCCTAGAAGTTTCATAACTGTAATAATTTAGCTCTGTAAATATGATGTGAGCATTCATTTATGAAACTTTTGTTTTAAATATCCTACGTATAATTTTTCTTTTCATAAAATTAGAAATTTTATAATTATCTACCATCAGTGGAGACTAAGCAGCCATTTATATAGAGTATTTTCATTGGGGGTAGGGGAAATCAATATGTTACCATTGTTTCCAAAGTCCACTATTGGAGGAAGTGACCATGTAAGCTCAAGTAATAGACTGTATTAAACCAGATCTAGTGTGATCCCTGATTTTTTTTTAATCACCTAGATCAGGCAAATGTTAAACCTTTTATTTATCAATTACCCTGCTGCATTTGTGTAATGAACATACTCAATCATCCAAGCCTTCCTGGGGGTGGGGTTGGGGATGGGGGAATTTAGGGGTGTGGTGTGGGTGTTGGGGAATCATCCCTTTTACCAGATTTTTGTCTTACTTTGAATTTGGAGCTGTTCCAGGGATTTCAACATTTAAACACTGACCAACTGAACATATAAGTGAGAGACTGCTCAGGTCATTAAACTCAAGCAGAAAATAAGACCTTAAATTATTTAGACACTATACACTTTAAAGTGTTAAAATAACAAACCTCTTTCAGAAACTATAAACACTGCAGTTTCCTGGTTTTCTCATTAATAATTATGCCTCTATAACTTAATTCTATTTTGGGATTGACAAGATAATAACTTAAGTGTCTGAACAGTTTTCTAATATAAATCGTGCATTTTGTAAACATATGTTTAGCAATCATGGAAGATAAATAATTTATTATGTAATAGTTGAACATTTGTCTACAGTAAACACAAAATTGTAATATTTTCCTCTCTGCTGTGCATACAGAGTTGAAGTTTTACTACTTATAAAGCTTTATCTAAATTATTTTACTTACTGTATAATTCTGTTGTTCCCACAATTAATTTCATCTTTATGGTCAATTCTCCAAAGAGTTGATTGAACGTATCTGTTATTTATCACACAAGTTTATTTTGTATGTTAACAGAATAAAATTTTATGGAAAAAAAATTATGCTGGTATGTTTATTAGGATATTTTACAGTTTTGCAATGATTTTGTGCATATGTGCGATATTTCAGTGTTAAGGAAATATACAAACATATTTCTTTCATACAGGTATTTTGGAAGTTCTTTTTTTTTCTTCAAAATTCAAACAAGAACTTTTACGGCAGATATAATTATAGCTTTATACACTTTAATACATAATAATACATAAGAGGAGTTAACTAAATGAACCTTTTATTCAACAGCACTTCAAACAAAATTGTACAGGTTTTTATCACCTTCCTACTTATATTTTACTGCATCCACCTTCAAACATGCTGTAAATATAGCAGCGTAATTAGTTTTCATTGACAGGAAATGTACTTAATTGATAACATCCCAGCAACTGTTGTATGTCACAGTAATTGACTTATCAAACAATTAAATATACCAATTAACATTACACAAGATGAAAAAAATATACAGCTTAAAAAGTCCTTTTTTTGGTTGGGTTTTACCTAAAAATGCACCAATTAATACAGTAAAGGTCCTATGACTTTCCAGCTTAACTGCAGAAAGACCTCACTGAGGTGCCCCTTCTTGCACTATGTCAGACACAGAACAGGCACCCAAGTAACTAAAGTACCACCAATATTCCATAATCATGCTGGATATATTCCTCATTTGAAAGAATCTAAAGTCCCTTGGTTGGGATTCAAACCCACAGAGCAGTGACTTGGGCAAGTGGTTTGAAGTCATTACCCTAACCACTAAATCTCAAATGCCACAAATATTCAGCTATATTTCAATTATTTGTTCTTTGGCCTTTATGCAGTCTGTGCGAAAGTCCGTCGGTCCTCGGTCCTGGCTGAATAAAAATCATGCGGTCCGAGAAAAATTCCTTTCCGTCAGTCCTCATGTCCGAATAAAATTTTTAAAAAGTCAAAAATATCAATGACATGATTGATAAAAAGTACCCGGTGATGCAAAGAATTTATTAAAGAAGATATTGACCAACCTTAGATCTATTTTGTACCTGTCAAATAAATACAAGTTAGCTTTGTCTTCAAAAAGTTTCATCAACAACGTTAAATTTTGCCGTAAATTACAGATTTGAAAATTTTGTTTTATGATGCCTATTGAAATAGCCGATGAGTTACAATCTTAAAATAATCAAAAAATATTTAATCTAATATAATCAAAATCAACAACAAGTAGAATTGTGAATGTTTCTGTAGGAAACAGACAAATTTTCAATTGTCACATATTTTCGCGATGCCGCTTTTTATCATTAAAAAAATCGAAACTAAAAGGAAACTTTGTTTTGTTAAAATGTGTGTAATAACACTTAAATGTAGTTTAAGAATCAAAATTACTAAAGATATTGTTCACATTAGTTGAGAAGGAGGTATTTACCAGTATGTGTTTGTCACATACAATGAATATTTACTTATGGGTGGGGGGTGTGTGGAGTGAATCTGGAAGAAAACAGCATAATGGTCTGATGATGTAGGGTTTTTGAAATTATATTTCAAATCTTTTCAATCACTTTTATGGTTCAATGTATTCCATTTGGGACATACTACCATTTTCCTGAATAAAAAGCTTTTTCTGTGCTTGGGAGTCCAAGGACTCCTCTTTTTAAAAACTTAGTGAGAACCCTGCTTAAGTTATTTCAATTGGTCAGCATCTTCTTATGTTTCTATATTTATAGTCTCACTAATTTAAAGAAAGACAATCATTTTTACATTCAACCGAGTTATTATAACATAATGCTTGAAATGTCTGGGCCGGAAAAATATCAT